AAGTAAACCCTAAACGATGAGAGGTTCAGGGAGCTTCTGGGTTGGTGCACACACGGAGGTGCCCAGAGTGTGCATGGAAGTGCTGCCCCTCTCCCACTGTAACCTGCCCTGTGTACCTCTTCCAATTGGCTGTTCCTGGATTGAATACTTTAACATAAACAGTACTGGTCCATCAGGTGCTTTCCTCAGTACTGGGAGTCATTCTGATGAATTACCAAACCTGAGAAGCAGCAGTGGGAACCCTTGATTGACAGCTCATCAGTCAGAAGGGCAGGTATCCCCCGTCCCGGGATGTGTGGTCCCTAAAATGGGGGCGGCCTCGTGGGACCAGGCCTCTACTCTGGCGTTTGTGCTTACCGCAGGGTGGGGGTCAGAATCAATTGAATTGTTGCATACCCAGTTAGTGTCTGATAATCGGAGAATTAGAAGATTGCAGACATGATTGTCTTTTAAAAAAGAAGTTATTAGAGTAGAATAGAATATGTTGGAGTGGATCACATCTATGACTTTTTTAAGACTTTTCTGTCTCACGAAAGGGGCGTCTGTCTCTGTGTGTGTGTGCATGCATGTACTGAGTTGTGATATAAAATGTGTTTCTTTTTTTTTTTTGAGATGGAGTCTCATTCTGTTGCCCAGTTTGGAGTTCAGTGGTGAAATCTCCGCACACTGCAACCTCTGCCTCCTGGGTTCAAGTGATCCTCCTGCCTCAACCTCCTTAGTAGCTGGGACTAAAGGCATGCGCCACCATGCCTGGCTAATTTTTGTCTTTTTAGTAGAAATAGGGTTTTACCATGTTGCTGAGGTTGATGTTGAATTCTTGGCTTCAAATGATCTGCCTGGCTCAGCCTCCCCAAGTGCTGGGATTACAGATATGAGCCACTGTGCCTGGCCTAAAATGTATTTCTTACTGGTGTCATAGCCCCCTCCCCCCCCAAATCTCTAAATTGATGAAATTCACCAAGCTGAGATTCCAATATCTTATCGTCTGGGGGAGAATCCAAATGTGCGTGTCTACAGACTTCCAGGGCCACAAGAGGATGAGTGCTGTCACACGTGGCGAGGTTGGGGAGAACCTCAGGAGAGAGCAGACTGTGGGTGAATGAAGGGCATTGGCGTTTGCTCTTGGCAGGAAGGGTGGCCAGGTAGTGAGCAAAACAATCAGGTGACAGGTGGCTGGGAAGGGCTCAGCAGAGGAAGGGACAGAGGTCAGATACTCAGTCTCTCTGGCTGGCTGGAGCTGTTGGCTAATGAACCTCAGGCTTCCTCATCCGTGAAATGAGGATGATTTCTCATACTAGTCTAAGGTTCACTGACACAGGCTCAGCACAGGCCTTATTTAGGATGTGGTTGTTACTGGTTCTGTTATTTTTTATTTTTGTTTTTGTTTTTGTTTTGAGACGGAGTTTCGCTCTTGTTACCCAGGCTGCAGTGCAATGGCGCGATCTCGGCTCACCGCAACCTCCACCTCCTGGGTTCAGGCAATTCTCCGGCAATTCTCAGCCTCCTGAGTAGCTGGGATTACAGGCACGTGCCACCATGCCCAGCTAATTTTTTGTATTTTTAGTAGAGACAGGGTTTCACCATGTTGACCAGGATAGTCTCGATCTCTTGACCTCGTGATCCACCCGCCTCAGGCTCCCAAAGTGCTGGGATTACAGGCTTGAGCCACTGTGCCTGGCCTTGGTTCTGTTATTTTAGTGGTGATTCCTAATCTATAACATGAGGGAGCACCTGTATGGTCTTTGAGTAGATTTCAAAAGCTCTGCTTGAAAACTTTTTTTTAATTTTTATTTTTTTTGAGAGCGAGTCTCACTCTGTTGCCCAGGCCGGAGTACAGTGGTGTATGCTTAGCTCACTGCAACCTCCACCTCGGGGGTCAAGCGATTTTCTTGCCTCAGCCTCCCAAGTGGCTGGTTCTACAGGTGCGTACCACCACCCCCAGCTAATTTTTGTATTTGTAGTAGTGATGAGGTTTCATCATGTTCACCAGGCTAGTCTCGAACTCCTGGCCTTAAATAGTGACTCACACTCCTCAGCCTCTCAGAGTGTTATGAACCACCACATCCAGCCAGGATATAGATTCTTTATTAGATATATAATTTGAAAGTATTTTTTCCCAGTCTGTGGCTTGTCTTTTAATTTTCACTTTCTTTTCTTTCTTTTTTTTTTTTGAGATGGAGTTTTGCTCTTGTTGCCCAGGCTGGAGCGCAGTGATGTGATCTCAGCTGACTGCAACCCCCACCTCCTGGCTCAAGTGATTCTCCTACCTTAGGCTCCTGAGTAGCTGGGATTATAGGCGTCCATCACCATGCCTGGCTAATTTTTTGTATTTTTATTGGAGATGGGGTTTCACCATGTTGGCCAGGTTGATCTCGAACTCCTGACCTCAGGTGATCCACCCACCTTGGCCAAAGGGCTAGGATTACAGACGTGAGCCACCACGCCTGGCTCAGCTTCTTAGCAAGTTTTAAAATCAAATAACATAAGTCTTCCCACTCTGTTCTTATCTTTTGAAATTGTTTTACCTGTTGTAGGGTTTTTTTTTTATATTTCTGTATAAATGTTTGGATCAGCTTGTCTATTAAAAAGGTTAGTGGAATTTTGATCGAGGCTGCATAGAATGAAAGTACCAACCAAGGAGGCTTGGTGTCTTGACAATAATGAGCCTTCCCGTCCACAAACATGAAATAGCTTTTCTTTTAATATATCTCAGCATTGTTTTTGTAGCTTTCAATTTATGTGTCTTGTGATTCTTTTGTTTATTTCTATTTTATTCTTTTTGGTGCTTTGGTGAATGAAATGTTTTTCTCAATTTCAAGATTGTTCATTGCTAGTATATAGAAATAGAATTGGCCAGGCATGTTGGCTAATGCCTGTAATCCCAGCATTTTGGGAGGCTGAGGTGGGAAGATTGCTTGAGCCCAGGATTTCCAGACCAGCCTGGGCAGCATGGTGAGACTTCATCTCTACAAAAAAAAAAAAAAAATACAAAAATTAGCTGGGTGTGGTGGCATGCACCTGTAGTCCCAGCTCCTTGGGAGGCTGAGGCTGGAGGATGGCTTCAGCCTGGGAGTTTGGGGCTGTAGTAATCCATAATGGTGACACTGCACTCCAGCCTCGGTGACAGAGCAAGACCCTGTCTAGAAAGAAAAATAAGAAAGATTTGATTTTTGTATATTGATTGTGCCCTGTGACCTTGCTAAATTTATCAGTACTAATATTGTTTTATGGATGCCTTAGAATTTTCTATATATGAGATAATGCCATCTGCAAATATAGTTTTCTTTCTTTTTTTCTAATCTGGATGCCTTTAATTTCTTTATTTGCCTCATTATTGATTAGAAGTAGTAAAAGTGGGCATCTTTGCCTTGTTCCTGGTGAGAAGAGGAAAGCAGTCATTCACCATGAAGTGTGATGTTAGCTGTGGGTTTTTTATGTGTCTTTTATCAGATATCATAAATTCTCTTTTATTTCTACTTTGCTGAGAATTTTTATTATAAATCTGTGATGGATTTTGTCACATACTTTTTAAAACATCTGTTGAAGTCTCCATGGATTTTTTTGTCCTTTATTCTGTTAATATGGTATATTATATTAATTAATTTTCAGATGTTAAACCAACCTTGCATTCCTGGGATAAATCGCACTTGGTTACAGAGTATAATCGTATTTACATGTTGCTAGATTCGGGTTGCTAATACTAGTCTCATAGAATGAATTGGGAAGCATTACCTCTTCCTCTGTTTTCTCATTCATTTATTTTATTTTACTTTCTATCTCTCTCTCTCTCTCTCTCTGTGTGTGTGTGTGTGTGTGTGTTAGATGGAGTCTCTCTCTGTTGCCTGGCTGGAGGGCAGTGGCCCAATCTTGGCTCACTGCAATCTCTGCCTCCTGGGTTCGAGCAATTCTCCTTCCTCAGCCTCCTGAGTAGCTGGGATTACAGGCACGCACCACCATGCCTATCTAATTTTTGTATTTTTAATAGAGATGGGGTTTCACCATGTTGGCCAGGATGGTCTTTATCTCCTGACCCTCCTGGGCCTCCCAAAGTGCTGGGATTACAGGTGTGAGCCACTGTGCCCGGCCTGTATTTTTATATTTTATTTCATCTTATTTTATTTTGGTTATTAGAGACAGTGTCTTGCTCTGTCACCCAGGCTGGAGTACAGTGGCATGACCATAGCTCACTGCAGTGTCAACCTCCTGGCCTCAAGCAATCCTCCTACCTTGTTCTCCTGAGTAGTGGGATATAGGCATGTGCCACCATGCCCAGCTAATCATCCATTTCTTTCTTTTTTTAAAAACAAATTTTATATTTGTGTATTTATTTATTTTAATTTCTCCTACTGAGATCAGGCGCGGTGGCTCAAGCCTGTAATCCCAGCACTTTGGGATGCTGAGGCAGGTGGATCACGAGGTCAAATGATCGAGACCATCCGGGTCAAAATGGTGAAACCCCATCTCTATTAAGATACAAAAAATGAGCTGGGCATGGTGGCGCGTGCCTGTAATCCCAGCTACTCAGGAGGCTGAGGCAGGAGAACTGCCTGAACCCAGGAGGTGGAGGTTGCGGTGAGCCGAGATTGCGCCATTGCACTCCAGCCTGGGTGACAAAAGCGAAACTCCATCTCAAAAAAAAAAAAAAAAAAAAAAAAAAAAAAAATTTCTCCTACTGAAAGGAATCATTCGTTTCTTTTCAACGGGATATCTTACAGCCTTTGAGGGCATGGCCAGGAGCAGTTTTGTTTTCTCAAGGATGTCATAGAGTTCATGTCTGCAGCTCACAGTGTCATTGTCTGTGTCCCCAGCTCCACATGCTGGCAGATGTGCTGCAAACTGGGCAGGTGCCCTGTGTCTCTGAGATACCTTACCCGGCACTCCTGGCACTCCTCTGCAAGCCATGCCCTGATCCTCCCTGCAGGGACTGGGGATTGGGTCTGTTCACCCAGAAGCCGGGATACCTGGCTGAGGGCACCTCTCTCCCTCTTCTCTTTGAATAGAGTGGCCACAAACCCGAAGGTGCGGGAGCAAGCGCGGCTGGAGCTGAGCTTCGTCAACTCAGACCTGCAGATCCTCAAGGAAGAGCTGGAGGGGCTGAACATCTCATTAGGGGTCTATCAGAACACAGAGTAAGTGCGAGCAGCGCCCCTTCCAGAAGACTCTGAGCTGGAGAGCCTGCCTGCCTTCAGGGTCTGCACAAAGAGGCCAGATAGGGTTCTAGACGGGAGTGGCAGCCCCCACTTTGGGAATTGAGAGAACTGTCAGGTTTGGGGTTGAGCAAGGTGCTAGACTGGAAGGGAGGAGCCCATTTGTTAGGAAATAGCTCATTTGTTGGGAAATAGTGTTGGGCAAAAGGCATTTGTGAGGCCAGGCATGGTGGCTCATGCTTGTAATCGCAGCACTTTGGGAGGCCGAGGTGGGTGGATCACCTGAGATCAAGAGTTCGAAACCAGCCTGGCCAACATGGTGAAATCCTATCTACTAAAAATACAAAAATTAGCCAGATATGGTGGCACACGCCTGTAATCCCAGCTGCTCAGAGGCTGAGGCAGGGGAATTGCTTGAACCTGGGAGGTGGAGGTTGCAATGAGCCAAGATCATGCCACTGCACAACAGCCAGGCCAGCAGAGCAAGACTCTGCCTCACTGCAACCTCAAGCGATTCTCCCGCGTCAGCCTCCCAGGTAGCTGAGATTATAGGCACCCGCCGCCACGCCTGGCTAATTTTTGCATTTTTAGTAGAGAGGCCCCCCCCACCTCAGCCTCCCAAAGTGATGGGATTACAGGTGTGAGCCACCACACCCAGCCTGCACTATTCTGTTTTCTAAGCAGATTGTTTCTTTCTTAGCACAGTTGATCTTTACACTCTTCTAGGAGGAAGGTAGAAAAGAAAGGACCTTATGGTGCAGACGGGAAAACTCAGGGAGGCCCAAGGTCACCTAGAGGGTGCCGTCAGTGCCACATTGGGGTTGGGGTGTCGTGGAGCTGGAACTCAGGACACTTGCTCCTCCTCTTCTCATTGCCTGGACAGTTGCAAAAAAAAGCAAACCTTGCTTCCCGCCCTGCATGGCTTGGAGGAGCCTTCAGCAGGATTCAACTTTTCGTACCAGGGATGGGTCTCGCCTGCCTGTAGCACAGCCGTGCCACAGAGCCCGGTTCAGCTCACAGCCACATTGTTCCCTTGCCCTGCCCAGCCTTCCTGGTCTTCTTGTGGGGCAGGGCTGAGAAGCCCAAGGAGGTCTCCTGTTACAGGTCAGGGAGCTAAATCCCTGTTTGCAAAACACAGCCTGAGCTCCGTTCACTTCCTGCTGGCCCTGCCCCTAGGAATGTAGGCAGAGGGAGCACTCCCTGGGTGGGCAGCCATGGTTACTGAGTGAGGTGGTCAGCTGGGGAAGAGGGGGTGGACGGTGTGTGACCCTGGGCTGGAAGGCAGGTGCACTTAGGTGTCGGATGGGGCTCCTGCCCTGATGGCATCTCCTGTGCTGGTGGTGGGACACCTAGACACACCCCAAAGAGGCGCCTACGAACCTCGAGTTGCGAATGTGGGGGTGTTGGAGAGCTGCCACAGCCGTGGTGCCCACTGAGGGGAGCAGAGGAGGAGGGGATGAGGAGCTGACAAAGGAGGCCCAGGGCAGCAGGGTGGTGTGCCCAGGCGGGAGCAGCAAGTGCGCCAGGCACAGACCCCGGCATATGATAGACTCTCAACACAACTGCTGAAAGAAGCATTGAGACCGGGCAGGGCACGGTGGCTCCTACCTCTTATCCCAGCACGTTGGGAGGCCAAGGTGGGCAGATCAGTTGAGATCAGAAGTTTGAGATCAGCCTGGCCAACATGGCAAAATCTCATCTCTACTAAAAAAAATATACAAAAATTAGCCGAGTATGGTGTCGCATACCTGTAATCCCACCTACTCAAAGGGCTGAGGCAGAATTGCTTGAAGCAGGAAGGTGGAGGTTGCAGTGAGCCTAATTGCGCCATTGCACTCCAGCCTGGGCAACAGAGCAGGACTCTGTCTCAAAAAAAAAGATAAGCATTGAGGTGTTGAGCCTGGAAGATAAATCAGTCAAGATGTCAGGGGCCTGATGTGTTAGGTGGGGTGGTCCAGATGTCTTAGGGAGCTGGGGTCAGTTTCAGAGCAGAGGGTGGGGTGTGACCAGAATCGTCCTTATGCAAAATGAGCCTGCCAGCTAGTTGAGTACTTGACGGGGCAAGGAGAGGGTGTGCCCCTTAGCTGGGCTGCTGGCAGGGCAAGGCCGTGGGGTGCACAGTGTTCTGATTGGGGGTGTTCATATATACCTTGTTGTGTTCCTCACAGGGAGGCATTTACGATTCCCCTGATTCCTCTTGGCCTGAAGGAAACGAAAGACGTTGACTTTTCAGTTGTCCTCAAGGTAAATCTCAAAGCACCCAACTCAGTGTTTAAAATGGAAATAGGCCATTTGCGGTGGTGCATGCCTGTAGTCCCAGTTACTTGGGAGGCTGAGGTGAGAGGATCACTTGAGCCCAGGAGTTGGAGGCTGCAGTGAGTTGTGATCATGCCACTGTACTCCAGCCTGGGCAACAGAGTGAGACCCTGTCTTCAAAAAAAGAAAAAAATGGAGATAGAGAAAGTATGTATCCCTTGCAAGGAATGGCCTTAGGCTTAACAGGTAGAATCAGTTGATAGCTACAGAGTGACCCTGAGCCCTTTCTCAGCCAGCTACGTGGATAATTTGTGCATCTATTCCTTCCATATTTTTGTTGTCACCTTTGATGGCTTCTGAAGCTCCTCCTGGGTCTTGGGCAAGGCAGGCTGGAATCCCAGGCTGGCCTTCTCCGGGAGGCCAGGTCAAAGAGGATCTGTCATGGATATGCTTTGAAATTTAAAACGTATGTCCTCTTTTATTAATAGTATCTTTTTTTTTTTTTCTTAAATTGTGTAACCTATTTAGGTTATGTTTTTGGAAGAAGAGCTAGAGTTTTTTCTCTAACATTTTATTATGAAAATTTCCAAACGTCTCAAAAAATGTTAAGAATTTTATAGTGAACCTCTGGTACTCACTATGTAGATTCTTCTGAGAATATACTGCTATCATTTATTCCTCACATATCTGTCCACCTATGCGTTCTTGTGTCTGTTAGGTTGGTTCAAAGGTAATTGTGGTTTTTGCCGTTGAAAGTAATGGCTAAAGGCCAGGCACAGTGGCTGACACCCGTAATCCCAGCACTTTGGGAGGCTGAGGCAGGCGGATCACTTGAGCTCAGGAGTTTGAGACTAGCCTGGCCAATATAGTAAAACCCTTGTCTCTACCAAACATATAGAAGTTAGCCAGGCGTGGTGATGCATACCTGTGATCCCAGTTACTCGGGAGGCTGAGGCAGGTGAACCTGGGAGGTGGAGGCGGAGGTTGCAGGGAGCCGAAATTGCACCACTCCCCTCCAGCCTGGGCGACAGAGTAAGATCCCGTCTCAAAAAGAAAAAAAAAAAATTAACTGGGCATAGTGGCATACATCTGTAATCTCAGTTACTCGGGAGGCTGAGGCATGAGAGAATCACATGAACCCAGTAGGCGGAGGATGCAGTGAGCCGAGATTGTGCCACTACACTCCAGCCTGGGCAACAGGCTCAACAGAGTGAAACTGTGTCTCAAAAACAAAAAAACAAAATAAAAACCAAAAAAAAACAAAAAGAAAAAGAAAAAAAAGAAAGTAATGGCCAATATCAGTCCATCTTATTTTTGTGATGCGATTTTATTTATTTATTTATTTTGAGACAGAGTTTCGCTCTTGTTACCCAGGCTGGAGTGCAATGGCACGATCTCGGCTCACTGCAACCTCTGCCTCCTGGGTTCAGGCAATTCTCCTGCCTCAGCCTCCTGAGTAGCTGGAATTACAGGCACGCGCCACCATGCCCAGCTAATTTTTTTGTATTTTTAGTAGAGACGGGGTTTCACCATGTTGACCAGGATGGTCTTGATCTCTTGACCTCGTGATCCACCCACCTCGGCCTCCCAAAGTGCTAGGATTACAGACTTGAGCCACCGCGCCCGGTGATGCAATTTTAAAGGAAATCAAAGATGTCAGTTCACTCCCCTTAAATATTTGAAGAACCAGAGTCTTTGCTTGTATGTTTTCCTGCCACATTCCTGGGTGTCTGGACTCCTCTCCTGTTCGGCAGATCCTCAGAGGCCCACATGTGCCTGGCCCTGTGCTGAGTGCCAGAGGTGCCACCAGCCCTGCCTGCAGGCCCATGGGTCAGTGGGGGATTCAGGTGGGAAGTGGGATAGGTGCTCCAGTGGAGCACCCAGGAAAGACCATGCCTCCAGGCTGGGGCCAGGAGACCCTCCTGTGCCTGGAATACCCTCCTCTGCCTTCTCTCCTCAACTCCATCCATTCGAGTTTTTGACCAGTTGACTCCAGCTTCCATCAAGGAGGGGAAAGGGGATGAGGTGCAAGGTGACCCAACTTTGTGCCACACAGCCCAGGTATCAGTTATAGGAATTAATCATAGCATCGCAGAAATTGCTTCAAAGAAATATTTTACGTTCTTTTTTTTCTTTTCTTTTTTCTTTTGAGACAAGGTCTGACTCTGTTGCCCAGGCCGGCATGCAGTGGCATGATCTCAGCTCACTGCAACCTCTGTCTCCTGGGCTCAGGTGATCCTCCCATTTCAGCCTCCTAAGTAGCTGGTAGTACAGGCATATGCTATCATGCCTGGATTATTTTTGTGTTTTTCTTTCTTTTCTCTTCTTTTTTTTTTTTAAAAAAAAGAGTTTTGCTCTTGTTGCCCACGTTAGAGTGCAATGGTGCGATCTCAGCTTACCACAACCTCCTCCTCCCAGGTTCAAGCAATTCTGCCTCAGCCTCCTAAGTATCTGGAATTATAGGCATGCACCACCATGCCCAGCTAATTTTGTATTTTTAGTAGAGATGGGCTTTCTCCATGTTGGTCAGGCTGGTCTCAAACTCCTGACCTCAGGTGATCCGCCCGCCTTGGCCTCCCAAAGTGCTGGGATTACAGGCGTGAGCCACCGCGCCTGATCAATTTTTGTATTTTTCATAGAGACAGAGTTTCCCTCTGTTGCCCAGTCTTAAACTCCTGGGTTCAAGCAGTTCTCCCGCCTTGACCTCCCAAAGTTCTGGGATTTACAGGCATGAGCCACTGTGGGAATACTGTGCCCGGCTTATGTTACTTTCCATGATAAACCTGTCAGTTGGCTCATCTTGGACTATTAGTTTAGAAAAGAAAACATGGCATTTTGACCACTACTTTTTTTTTTTCTTTTTTTTTTAAATAAAAAAAAATTAAACATAAGAGACAGGGTTTCACCATATTGGTCAGGCTGGTCTCGAACTCCTGACCTCAGGGGATCCACCCGCCTCGGCCTCCCAAAGTGCTGGGATTACAGGCATGAGCCACCACACCCGGCTGACTACTACTTTTTTTCTTTCTTTCTTTTTTTTTTGAGATGGAATTTCCGCTCTTGTTGCCCAGGCTGGAGTACAATGATGTGATCTCAGCTCACTGCAGCCTCTGCCTCCTGGGTTCAAGTGATTCTCCTGCTTCAGCCTCCTGAGTAGCTGGGATTACAGGTGTGTGCCACCATACCCAGCTAATTTTTATTAGTAGAGAGAGGTTTCACCATGTTGGCCAGGCTAGTCTTGAACTCCTGACCTCAGGATCTGCCCACCTCAGCCTCCCAAAGTGCTGGGATTACAGGCGTGAGCCACTGCATCCGGCCAAGAATGCAAGCATTTTTTTTTTTTTTAATGTTTTATTGCTTTTTAGGTTTTGGGGTACATGTGCAGAGCATGCAATACAGTTGCATAGGTACACTCATGGCAGTGTGTTTTGTTTGCTTTCTCCCTTTCACCCACATTTGGCATTTCTCCCGCATTTTTTTTTTTTTGAGACAGAGTTTCGCTCTTGTTACCCAGGCTGGAGTGCAATGGCGCGATCTCAGCTCACTGCAACCTCCGCCTCCTGGGTTCAGGCAATTCTCCTGCTTCAGCCTCCCAAGTAGCTGGGATTACAGGCACCCAGCAGCACACCTGGCTAATTTTTATATTTTTAGTAGAGATGAGGTTTCACCCTGTTGGCCAGGCTGGTCTCGAACTCCTGACCTCAAGGGATCCACCTGCCTCAGCCTCCCAAAGCGTTGGGATTATAGGTGTGAGCCACCATGCCCAGCCGCTTTTGTTTTATTATAAAGAAATAGGGCCAGACGCAGTGGCTCATACCTTTAGTCCCAGCTATTTGGGAGGCTGAGGTGGGAGGATTGCTTGAGCCCAGTGCTCGAGGCTTCAGTCAGCTGTGATTGAGCCACTGCACTCCATCCTGGAAAACAAAATGATACCCTGTCTCCAAACACACACATACATACACACACACACACACACACACACACACACACACACACAGTCCTTTTTTAAATCAGTGAATGAAATAACATATATTCTTCAGTAAAGTTTAATAGTTGTCTGCTTAATTATATTAATTTTATCCCTAGAAATGTACCTTTGCTGCTATTGTGAAAGGTATTGTTTCTCAGTGAAGTTTTTTTTTTTTTTTTTTTTTTTTTGAGACAGTCTCACTGTGTCACCCAGGCTGGAGTGAAATGGTGCAATCTCAGCTCACTGCAACCTCTATCCCCCAGGTTCAAGTGATTCTCCTGCCTCAGCCTCCTGGGTAGCTGGGATTACAGGCACCTGCCACTATACTCAACTAATTTTTTGTATTTTTAATAGAGATAGGGTTTCACTGTGTTAGCCAGGATGGTCTTGACCTCCTGACCTTGTGATCTGCTGGGATAACAGGCATCAGCCACTGTGCTCGGCCTACAAAGACATTTTTAAACAAAAAATTAACTTCAACTTCATCACATGCCACGGCAGGTATGGTTTTGGAGCCTTTAGTAATGGAGTTGTTACTGAAGCAACACAACATTTTAAAACCTGGGCACAGGGCACAGTGGCTCGTACCTGTAATCCCAGCACTTTGGGAGGCCGAGGCAGATGGATTGCTTAAACCCAGGAGTTCGAGACCAGCCTGGGCAATGTGGCAAAACGCTGTCTCTACTAAAAATACAAAAATTAGCAGCGCATGGTGGCGCATGCTCATAATCCCAGCTACTTGGGAGGCTGAGGCATGAGAATAGCTTGAGCCTGGGAGGTGGAGGTTGCAGTGGGCCGAGATCCCAACACTGCACTCCAGCCTGAGCGATGGGAGTAAAACTGTTCTTTTTTTAAACAAACAAACAAAACCTATGGCCAGGTGCGGTAGCTGACACCTGTTATCCCAGTACTTTGGGAGGCTGAGGCAAGTGGATCACCTGAGGTCAGGAGTTTGAGACCAACTGGCCAACAGAGTGAAACTGTCTCTACTAAAAATATAACAATTAGCTGGACATTGTGGTGGGTGCCTGTAATCCCAGCTGCTTGGGAGGCTGAGACAGGAGAATCACATGAACCCGGGAGGTGGAGGTTGCAGTGAGTGAGGATTGTGCCACTGTACTCCAGCCTGTGCTACACAGCGAGACTCTATACTTAAAAAGAAAAAAAAAAACTGTATAAAATTAAGAAAATAAATTCTGCCTCTTTGAAAATCGCTACAGTGTTCAATCTCCTGTAAGTTTTTCTTCATTCTGCCTTTTTAAAAATGGGGCCACAGTTAACATATTACTGTTATGCAGACATATGATTTTCAGTCACATTTTATGGTATCTGACCTCATTTGTCTTAAAGGATTTTATCCTGGAGCATTACAGTGAAGATGGCTATTTATATGAAGATGAAATCGCAGATCTTATGGATCTGAGACAAGTAAGTTCTTGTGTGCAGCTCAGAGAGGAGGGTGGCTTTTCTGAGTTATCAGGATGCCCCATTATTGCATGCTTGTGAATTGCAGGTGGATGGAGGTGATGGTTGGGGGGTGCTGGAATCGCCCATTCCACTTGCTGCATAAGAAAACCATAGAATTCTTCTCATGAAAAAGCAAACTGATAGTGGGAAAAAAGAAAACGATAGAAGGGGCTGGGTGCGGTGGCTCACACTTGTAATCCCAGCACTTTGGAAGGCCAGGGTGGGCGGATCATGAGGTCAGGATTTTGAGACCAGCCTGGGCAACATGGTGAAACCCTGTCTGTACTAAAATACAAAAAATTAGCTGGGTTTGGTGGCGGATGCCTGTAATCCCAGCTACTCAGGAGGCTGAAGGGGGAGAATTGGTTGAACCCAGGAGGCGGAAGTTGCGGTGAGCCAAGATTGTATCACTGCACTCCAGCCTGGGTGACAGAGCAAGACTGTCTCAAAAAAAAAAAAAAAGGCCAGGCATGGTGGCTCACGCCTGTAATCCAAGCACTTTGGAGGCCAAGGCGGGCAGATCATCTGAGGTTGGGAGTTCAAGACCAGCCTGACCAACATGGTGAAACCCCGTCTTTATTAAAAAAAAAAAAAGAAAAAAAAAAACAGAATAAAGAAAACCATAGCCGGGTGCCAGGTGGGTGCCTCATGCCTGTAATCCCAGCACTTTGGGAGGCCAAGGCAGGCACATCACCTGAGGTCAGGAGTTCGAGACCAGCCTGGCCAACATTGTAATTTTGTAAAAATACAAAAATTAGCTAGGCATGGTGGTGCATGCCTGTATAATCCCAGCACTTTGGGAGGCTGAAGCAGGTAAATCACCTGAGGTCAGCAGTTTGAGACCAGACGGGCCACCAGCATGGCAAAACCCTGTATCTACTAAAAATATAAAAATTAGCTGGGCATGGTGCTGCACTCCTGTAATCCTAGCTACTCGGGAGGCTGAAGCACGAGAATCACTTGAACTCGGTGGGTGGAGGTTGCAGTGAGCCAAGATCATGGCACTGCACTCTAGCTTGGGTGACAAAGTGAGACTCTGTCTCAAAATAAAGGGAAAACTGTAGAAGGGGAGAGACCGGGGTTGGGGCTGGATTCCAGGATTTCTGACTTCCTCCCAGGTTCTTTCCACCCTTCCTAAAGTTCATGATGCCAGCAGCGAGGTCATCATACTGCAGAAATAGTTACAGGCACCTGCTGGTGTGTGCAAGGCACCTTCTGGGAAGGGCTGTCAGCTGTGTCCTCCTCTGATCCTGCCCTCTGGGGTTCTTTTCCTTGCAGGCTTGTCGGACGCCCAGCCGGGATGAGGCTGGGGTGGAACTGCTGATGACATACTTCATGCAGCTGGGCTTCGTGGAGAGTCGATTCTTCCCACCCACGCGGCAGATGGGACTCCTGTTCACCTGGTAGGTGCCTGAGGTCTGCGCTGGTGCTTCATGTGCCATGGCAGCCACAGTTTTGGAGCCTCAGCATCACAGATGCCCCTCTCTGCATGCTTCCGTGTACCTCAGCCCCCTTTCCTATCTTGCATTTATCTGGGGGAAGTCTAAAAAATGTCAATACATTGTTATTTATTTATGAAGGGGGTCAGCGGGGAGATGGCTCCAACAGACTGTGGCCTCTTGCTTCTCAGAACAAGGAAGCCAAGAAGAGACATTTTTTTCTTGCTCGTTGTATCATTGGGAAGCACCGGGGCTCTGAGGTGAAATTAGCCAGAAGCAAGATTCTTGTCTCAGAATAGACAGGGGCATGCATGTGTGTGTGTGTGTGTGTGTGTGAGAGAGAGAGAGAAAATCAGGTTTTGTTCAACGAGACAAAAGCACCAAACAGAAATAGATCAGGTTTCATTTGAAATGGGGTCTCGCTATGTTGCACAGGCTGGTCTTGAATTCCTGGGCTCAGATGATTCTTCTGCCCCAGCCTCCTGAGTGGCGGGACCACAGGCATGAGCTACATACTCAGCTTTGATCAGATTTTTCAAATGTAAGCACAATATTTGATTCTTCTCCCCAGTTGCTATTTGCAGATGGGATTGGGCATGTCAGAGTGGTATGACCATAGATCCAGTTGGCATTTTCAAAGATTAGTATAGTTTAAATACTTTGGAGGCCGAGTGCAGTGGCTCGTGCCTGTAATCCCAGCACTTTGGGAGGCTGAGGTGGGCGGATCACTTGAGCCCAGGAGTTCGAGACCAGCCTGAGCAACGTGGCAAAACCCTGTATCTAGAAACAGTACAAAAATTTGCTGAGTAAGATGGTATGCACCTGTAGTTCCAGCTACTTGGGAGGCTGAGTCAGGTGAATCACTTGAGCCTGGAAGGCAGAGGTTGCAGTGGGCGGAGATCCCTCCACTGCATTCCAGCCTGGGTGATAGGAATGAAACTCTGTTTCAAAAAAGAAAACAACTTAAAGAAAGATACTTTGGAGATGACACACCCTTTCTCTGAGTGTCCTTAGTAGTGTCAGTGAAAGGAGAACACCTCCTTGTCGGTCAGGGGCATATCAGAATTAAAATTTTCCACAGCGGAGGGATGGCTACTGATGCCTACCTGAAAGAAAGCAAAGGAAAGGGAGGTGACTTTTCATAAAAATGTAGCAGGCTGTCTGCATGGCTGAAAGGGTGAAAGGTGGTTTCTCCTTAGTCATGAATTAGGGAGAAGCTGTCTGCACACCCCTTGGTTCATGAGTGAACTTTAAAACAAGTCCTAGGGCCAAGCCCAGTGGCTCACGCCTGTAATCCCGGCCCTTTGGGAGGCCGAGGTGGGTGGATCACCTAAGGTTAGGAGTTTGAGACCAGCCTGACCAACATGGCGAAACCCCGTCTCTACTAAAAATATAAAAATTAGCCAGGGGTGGTGGTGGGCGTTTATAATTCCAGCTACTTGGGAAAGCTGTGGCAGGAGAGTTGGTTGAACCCCAGAGACGGAGGCTGCAGTGAGCTGAGATGGTGCCACTTCACTCTAGCCTGGGCACAAGAACGAAACTCTTGTCTCAATACATAATTAATTAGTAAAACAAACAAGTCCTAGGCTGGATATGGTGGCTCACATCTGTAATCCTAGGATGTTAGGAAGCCAAGGTGGGTATATCCCTTGAGCCCAGGAGTTTGAGACCAGTCTAGGCAACACAGTGAGACCCCATCTCTGCAAAACAATTAGGGAAAATTTGCTGGGCATGGGTGGTGCATGCCTGTAGACCTGGCTACTTGGGAGGCTCCGCTGGGAGGATAGCTTGTAAGCCCACAAGGTCGAGGCTGCAGTGAGCCACGATCATGCCACTGCACTCCAGCCTAAGCAACAGAGTGAGACTTTGTCTGAAAAAATAAAGAAGTAAGACAAATCCTGAGTTTTTAGATTTCAGAAAAAATTATGAGGGGTTAGTAATTACCATATTTCATTTAGGAGGAGCCATATATGTGTGTCTATATGTGTGTATACATATATACATACACGTATACACACACACTTTTTTTTTTTGAGTCCGACTCTGTCACCCAGGCTGGAGTGTAATGGTGTGATCTTGGCTCAATGCAACCTCTACCTCTCAGGATCAAGCCATCCTCCCACCTCAGCCTCCCAAGTAGGGTTTAAAGGCACATGCCACCACACCCAGCTAATTTTTTTATTTTTGGTAGAGACAGGGTTTCACTATATTGCTCAGGCTGGTATTGAACTCTTGAGCTCAAGCCATCCACCCACCTTGGCCTCTAAAGTGTTGGGATTACAGGCGTTAGCCACCATGCCTGGCCCACATTTTTTTTTTTTTTGCAACGGAGTCTCGCTCTGTTGCCCACACTGGAGTGCAGTGGCGTGACCTCAGCTCACTGCAACCTCCGACTCCTGGGTTCAAGTGGTTCTCCTACCTTAGCCTTTCAAGTAGCTGGAATTACAAGCATGTGCTGCCATGCCTGGCTAATTTTTGTATTTTTAGTCAAAATGGGGTTTCACCATGTTAGTCAGGCTGGTCTTGAACTCCTGACCACAGGTGATCTGCCCACCTCAGGTTCCAAAAGTGCTGTGATTATAGATGTGAGCCACTGTGCTTGGCCTTTTTCTTTTTCTCTTTAAAGATAGGCATTATTTAGAATGGTACTTTTTTTTCTTACAAAGATCAGGTCTTGCTGTGTTGCTCAGGCTGTTGAACTCCTGGACTCAAGCAGTCTGCCCGCCTCAGCCTCTCAAAGTGCTAGGATTACAGGCATGAGCCACTGCACTGGTCTGGTACTTTTTTTTTTTTTTTTTTTTTTTTTGAGATGGAGTCTCGCTCTGTTGCCAAGGCTGGAGTGCAGTGATGTCCTCTTGGCTCACTGCAACCTCTGCCTCCTGGGTTTAAGCAATTCTCCTGCCTCAGTCTCCCAACTAGCTGGGATTACAGGTGCGTGCCACCATTCCCAGCTAATTTTTGTATTTTTAAGTAGAGATGGGGTTTCATCATGTTGGTCAGGCTAGTCTCGAACCCCTGACCTTGTGATCCACCCGCCTCAGCCTCCCAAAGTACTGGGATTACAGGCATGAGCCACCGTGCCTGGCTTGACCTGGTACATTTTTTAAATAAAAGGAACTTACCTGACACATGATTATCACCCAGAGTCCATAGTTTGCGTTAGGATTCATTCTTGTGTGTGTGTATTCTGTGGCTTTTGGTCAACGTAGAATGGCAGTGGTCCACCTTTGCAGTGTCCTACAGAATAGTTTCACTGCTGGAAAAATACTCTGTGCTCTGCCTGTTCCTCCCTCCCTCTCCCTAAATCCTGGCAATTCCTGATCTTTCTTCTGTCGCCAGGGTTTTGCCTTTTCCAAAGTTGGAATCTTACAGTGTGCTGTATGGTAGATAGCAGTGTTCAGGTTGGCTTCTTTCACTTAGTAATGTTTCTTTTTTTAAAAAAAAAAAAAGATGGGGTTTCGCCATGTTGGTCAGGCTGGTCTTGAACCCCCGACCTCAGGTGATCCACCTACCTTGGCCTCCAAAGAGCTTGGATTACAGGCGTGAGCCACCATGCCCTACCCACTTAGTAATGTTTCTTCTGCATCTTTTCATGGCTCGCTGGCTCATTTCTCCATTTTTAGTGCTGACTAATATTCCATTGTCTGGATGTCCCACGGTGTGTTTATCTGGTCACCTCCCGGAGGATGCCCTGGCTGGAAAACCTTATTTTTGCGTGTGGCTGTGGCAGTCAGTGTGATTAGTCCTGTCATCTTGTTTGGAAACAAAAGCCTCATTGCATGTGCATTCTGGAATTTTATTATTGAAATGTTTTGGCTGTTGCTGTTGAGTCTTATTCTGTCGCCCAGGCTGGAGTGCAGTGGCACAATCTCGGTTCACTGCAACCTACGCTTCCCGGGTTCAAGTGATTCTCCCATCTCAGCCTCCTGAGTAGCTGAGATTACAGGTGCCCACCACCACACCTGGCTAATTTTTGTATTTTTAGTGAAGACTGGGTTTTGCCATGTTGACCAGACTGGTCTTGAACCTCTGACCTCAGATGATCCACTTGCTTCGGCCCGCCAAAGTCTTGGGATAACAGGCATTGGCCACGGTACTCAGGCAACCCAGGAGTTTGACAACAGCTTGGGTAACATAGTGAGACCCCCATCTCTACAAACATTAAAAAGGTTAGGGAGGTATGGTGGCATGCACCTGTAATCCCAGCAATTCTCATGAGGCTGAGGTGGGAGGATCTCTTCAGCCCTAAAGTTGGAGGCTGCAGTAAGCTATGATCATGCCACTGTACTCCAGCCTGGGCAACAGAGTGAGATCCTGACTCTTTTTTCTTTTTGTTATTTTTGGAGAGAGTCTCACTCTGTCACCAGCCTGGAGTACAGTGTCACGATCCTGCCTCACTACAACCTCTGCCTCCTGGGTTCAAGCGATTCTCCTGCCTCAGCCACCCAATTAGCTGGAACTACAGGCCTGTTCCACCATGCCCAGAAAATTTTTTGTATTTTTAGTAGAGTTGGGGTTTCACCGCGTTGGCCAGGATGGTCTTGATCTCTTGACTTCATGATCCCCCCGCCTGGGCCTCCCAAAATGCTGGAATTACAGGTGTGAGGCACTGCACCCGGCCACAATCCTGACTCTTAAAAAATAAAAAGTAAGAATTTTTTTTACGTGTACCCAAAAGTAGCATTAACTAGCCAAGTAATCTGTATTCTCGGAATGCATTTCTTTTACATAGGTACGACTCCCTCACTGGGGTTCCTGTCAGCCAGCAGAACCTGCTGCTGGAGAAGGCCAGTGTCCTCTTCAACACTGGGGCCCTCTATACCCAGATTGGGACCCGGTGCAATCGGCAGACGCAGGCTGGGCTGGAGAGTGCCATAGACGCCTTTCAGAGAGCCGCAGGTATGTCTCCTCTAGGGCTGCCTGGACAGAGCCTGGGGCCTGCCCAGGGCATCAGGGGACCCCCCACTGGAGAGGGTCTACAGGTCATCCCTCGCAAGGACCAAACTAGTCTCTATCCCTGGTGTAACTCCCCATTAAGAAACTTGCTCAGTGGTTCAAACCTGATGGCTGATGCGCATGGTGAATCCTGTGGCTGACGATGTATCTTTTCCAAACAAGTGGCCCTTGGGATGGCAGTGCATTGACTGTTTCATCACTGTCATGAAGATCAGAATAACTTTTCCCAAATAGTGAAATTGTAGGCTTCTTGTTCTTGTATTAGGTGTACCTTATCAGTACATGTTACTCTCTGTACGCTTTATTTCACCTGCATTCTGCCAACTTCTCCAGCTTGTGGTGGGTGATCTCAACCCTTTGTCAAGTGAGGCATTCAAAGGATGTCTCGTAGCTCAGGTCCCTTCTGGGAACTGTCTTTATTTTATTTTATTTTATTTTATTTTATTTTATTTTATTTTATTTTGAGATAGAGTCTCGCTCTTGTCACCCCAGCTGAAGTGCAGTGGCATAATCTCCACTCACTGCAGCCTCTGCCTCCTGGGTTCAAGCAATTCTTGTGCCTCAGCCTCCCAAGTAGCTGGCATTATAGGCACGCACCACTACACCCCAGCTAATTTTTGTATTTGTGGTAGAGACGGGGTTTCACCATGTTGGCCAGGCTGGTCTCGAACTCCTGACCTCAGGTGATCCACCCTCCTCAGCCTCGCAAAGTGCTGGGATTACAGCTTCGGGGGACTTTCAGTTGCTTTTCCCATTTTAACCTCCTTTTTCCCAGCCAGTCGTTGAGGAAACTTGTCTTAGTATGAGAAAGAGGTGCTGGGTAGAGGAGAAAAGCAGCCGAGTGCTTACACACATAGAGGATGGGGGTCACGAGACCCAGTGCTGTGGGTGAGCCTGGTGCGGCTCACACATGCCCATGGGTTCTGCTGTATAGCAGGGCCTGTGTCTGGATCAGACTCTGCATGGGGATGGTTGCAAGAGCAGGGCACAGTGCAGACCACAGTGTGGTCCCCACGTCCTCACATGCTGCCTTCTGGGCTGATCATCAACATTCTGCTTAGGGATAGGAGCTCCTTCCACCTGTGTAGATCATTATCTGATATCACTTTGCCCTGCAAGCTCCTGAAGAACCATAGTTTTGCCACTTTGACTCATTGTGGAATCTCTGCTGCTAAAATGATTGGTGACCAGCCTGGGCCACATTGCAAGACCCTGTCTCTACAAAATATTTAAAAATTAGCTGGGCATGGTGGTGCATGCCCATGGTCCCAGCTACGCCAGAGGCTAAGATATGAGGATCACCGAAGTCCAGGAGTTGGAGACTGCAGTGAGCTATGATGGCACCACTGCACTCCAGCCTGGGTGACAGAGTGGGACTCCATCCCTAGAAAAAAATTTTTTTTTTATTAAAAAATCGGCTGGGTGCCGTGGCTTATGCCTGTAATCTCAGCATTTTGGGAGGCTGAGGTTGGTGGATTGCTGGAGCCCAGGAGTTTGAGATCAGCCTGAGCAACATGGCGAAACTCCATCTCTACAAAAAGTACAAAATGAGCTGAGAGTGGTGTGCATTGCCTGTAGTTTCAGCTACTTGGGAGGCTGAGATGCGAGGATCAGCTGAGGTTGTGGTAAGTCAAGATTGTGCCATTGCACTCCAGCCTGGGCAACAGAGCAAGACCCTGTCTCAAAAAGTGATTATTTAAAAAAATACAAGATTGGACCCTTGGGATGAAGTGATGTGCTAAGATTCTAAGTACGAGTCGATTTCTTTCGCTGTGAATCTTTTTTCTGGACTCATGTTTCTGAGGAGTCTTAGGCAGGCACGCTTGTGTTCTGTCTCCGAGATTACAGCAGTGGAGACAAACTGTAGACAAAATGAAACAAGCGGGAGAACTGTGGGGAGTGTGAGAGAATCCCAGGGGAGCTCACAAGCAGCAGGTGCCCTCCCTCTGCAGGGCTAGGTTTTTTTTTTTTTTTTTTTTTGCTCAGCAACAAAACCAGAGGAACCAGTTAGATGAGATTCATGTCAGAGATTCTATTTCAGTTACAGATTGATTGTCAGCTAGTGCTTCAGACAATTAATTTTCTAAACTATAAAGAAGTCAGTGGAGGGCTGCAGTGTGAAAACTTCCATTGGAGCACACGGGCTGATTTTTTTTTTTTTTTTTTTTTTGAGATGGAGTCTTACTCTGTCCCCCAGGCTGGAGTGTAGTAGTGAGATCTCAGTTCACTGCAACCTCAGCCTCCCAGACTCAGGCAATTCTTCTACCTCACCCTCTTGAGTAGCTGGGATTACAGGTGTGTACCACCATGCCTGGCTAATTTTTATAATTTTAGTAGAGACAGGGTTTTGCCATTTTGGCCAGGCTGGTCTCGAACTCCTGACCTCAAGTGATCCACCCACCTTGACCTCCCAAAGTACTGGGATTACAGGCGTGAGCCACCTTGCCTGGCCAGAATAGATCTTCCTTGAGGTCCGGGGAAAAAGCCCTGGACTGCTGAATAAGTCAGGTTTTATGTGTGAGCCTGGCCCCCTGTGAGTCCCTCAGTTCTTCTCTGCCTGCTGTCTGGTTTCACCTCTATGCCTGTCATAATGGAATTTTGTCCCAGGTGACACAGGAGTTGAGGGAACAGGCTGTCTTTTTTTTTTTTTTTGCTCAATAGAGATTTAAGTGTTTCAGAAGATAATCCAGTTTTTAAAAATTATGTTAAAAGGCAGGGCAGCGTGGCTTACACCTGAAATCCCAACAGTTTGGGAGGCCAAGGTGGGCGGATCACCATGTCAGGAGTTCAAGACCAGCCTGGCCAACATGGAGAAACCCCATCTCTACTAAAATACAAAAATTAGCTGGATGTGGTGGTGTGTGCCTGTAATCCCAGCTACTCTGGAGGCTGAGGCAGGAGAATCACTTAAACCCAGGAGGCAGAGGTCACAGTGAGCCAAGTTTGTGTCATTGTACTCCAGCCTGGGCAACAGAGTGAGACTCTGTCTCAAAAAAAAAAAAAAGTTGTATTTAAAAAAAAAAGTGTGTGTGTGTGTGTGTGTGTTTATATATAGCAAGAACTATTTTAAACTTTTAAAATTATGATAAAATACACATAATGTAAAATTATCATTTAATTATTTGATTAAATTTTTAACACATTTTAACCATTTTTAAGTGTGGAGTTCATTGGCATTAAGTACATTCATATATTCACACCTTCATAGTGTTGTTCAGCCATTACTACTAAACCTGTCCAGAGCTTTAAAAAAATTTCTTTTTGGTTAGGCAGGGTGGCTCACACCTGTAAGCCCAGCACTTTGGGAGGCTGAGTCAGGAGGATCAATTGAGTCCAGGAGTTGGAGACCGGCCTAGGCAACATAGGGAGACCCCCCCAACTGTATAAAAAAAATGTAAAACTTAGCTGGGTGTGGGTTAGTGCATGCCTGTAGTCCCAGCTCTTCTGCTTGAGCCTAGGAATTCAAGGCTGCAGTGAGCCATAATCATGCCACTGCACTCCAGCCTGGGCAACAGAGCATGGCCTTGTCTCAAAAATAAAATAAATAGATTAAAAAATATATGTATTTTTTATTTTTTTAAGAGACGGGGGACTTAGTATGTTGCCGAGGCTGATCTTGAACTCCTAATGTCAAGCAGTCCTCCCACCTTAGCCTCCCTTGTAGCTGGGATTACAGGCGGTACCCACTGGGCCCAGCTCTCTCTGGAACTATTTCATCATCCAGACCGAGACTCTGTACGCAGTTAAGCAATAACTTCCCATTGCCCTCATTTCCCAGCCCCAGCTAACCTTTATTCTTCATTCTGTTTCTGTGAACTTGACTATCCCGGCTACCTTATCTAAATGGAATCCTACAATATTGGTCCTTTTTCGACTGGCTTGTTTCATTTAGCATAATGTCCTCATTTACATTGTAGCATGTGTCAGAGTTTCATTGCTGTTTAAGGCTGAAAAATATTCCATTGTATGGATAGGCCACGTTGTGTTTATTCATTCATGCTCACGGGTGTCTGGGTTGTTTCTACTTTTCGGCTCTTATGAATAATGTTCACAACATTATTCACATGGGTGTTCAAGTATCAGTTAAGTCCCCACTTTCACTTGTTTGGGGATATACCTAGGACTGGAATTGCTGGACCATATGATTGAGAATCATATTTTTTAGTATGTTGTAGGACGCTGTTTTAGGACAATTATTTTTTCTCCTATCTTTCCTTTTTTTTTTTTTTTTGAGATGGAGTCTTGCTTTGTCACCCAGATTGGTGTACAGTGGTGAGATCTCGGCTCACTACAATCTCTGCTTCCTTCTGGGTTCAAGTGATCTCCTGCCTCAGGCTCCCAAGGAGCTGAGACTATAGGCACACACCACCATACCTGGCTAATTTTTATATTTTTTGTAGAGAAGGGATGTCACCATGTTGCCCAGGCTGGTCTTGAACTCCTGACCTCACGTGATCTGGCCACTCTGGCCTCCAAAAGTGTTGGGATTACAGGCATGAGCCACCGCACCTGGCCTCCTATCTTTCTCTACAGCAACATGGTGAGGTAAATATGAACCTGAACTAATGGGCAAAACATTTTCCACTTTTAGGGGTTTTAAACTACCTGAAAGAGACATTTACCCATACTCCAAGTTACGACATGAGTCCTGCCATGCTCAGTGTGCTTGTCAAAATGATGCTTGCGCAAGCCCAAGAAAGCGTGTTTGAGAAAATCAGCCTTCCCGGGATCCGGAATGAGTTCTTCATGTTGGTGAAGGTGGCTCAGGAGGCTGCCAAGGTAAGAATTCCTGGTTCCTGTGACTCTGGGGAGTGGGCAGGAGACGCCGGCGCAGGAGCACTGGAAGGAGCGGGGACTTCCCACGGGAGCCTGCCTGTGACCTGGGCAGTGTGCCAGCTCTGGCCAGGGCTGCTGGCTTGAGTTTTCTTGGCAAGTGTTGCTGTTTCAGATACGGATCACTGATTCCATCTGCAGCTCAGCCTAAAAACCAGCATAATGACGGCAGCCTGATTCCCCGTTAACTGTGACAATGACGGAACAAGGGGTTGCTTGGAGTTGCTCCCAGATTCTGGAGCGGCCCCTTGCAGGGGCTGCTGCATGGGAAGAAGAAAGGGCTCTTTCTCTGCAGTTGGGTTCATGAGGGCCCTTGTGCCAGGCTGCCCCTTCCCAGTGCCCCTTCCGTTTCAGATGGGAGAGGTCTACCAGCAGCTGCATGCAGCCATGAGCCAAGCACCGGTGAAAGAGAACATCCCCTACTCCTGGGCCAGCCTGGCCTGTGTGAAGGCCCACCACTACGCAGCCCTGGCCCACTACTTCACTGCCATCCTTCTCATCGACCACCAGGGTAAGCGTTGGGGAGGGTTAGGGGGTTTGGCCAGGGTTGTGGTCCAGCTGCCCTGGGGAGATTCTGAGCTGAGCAAGAGCTACCTGCCCGCCCTAGAGATGCTCACAGGCCAAAGGCAGAGGATGGGAATGACCTATGACTGAGGCAGTTGCTGCACAGGCCTCAGTGGGGAGATAGGGGTTATAAGTTCCTTTGGAGGGAGGAAGAAGGGACACCTTTAATTCTGCCTGGGTGCAAGAGTTTTCACCTGGAATCTAGAATCTAAGGGAATGCCAAAAATGCAGGAATCAAGATAAATAACATTTTAAGGTAATATTTTAAAAGAATCAAAATTAATGCAGGCCGAGTACAATGCTCACACCTGTAATCCCAGCACTTTGGGAGGCCGAGGCAGATGGAGCATTTGAGGTAATGAGTTCAAGACCAGCTTGGCCAACATGGTAAAACCCCGTCTCTACTAAAAATACAAAAATTAGCCGGGTATGGCACACACCTGTAATCCTAGCTACTCGGGAGGTTAAGGCAGAATGGCTTGAGCTGGGGAGGTAGAGGTTGCGGTGAACAGAAATTGCACTACTGCACTCCAGCCTGGGCGACAGAGTGAGACTCTTTCTCAAAATGATAATAATAATAATGCAAAAAAAATCTGTGATGATAGGAATTTTATTTTGTTTATTTTTAGAGATGGGGCTGGGGTACAGGGGTATCATCATGGCTCACTGCCTTCTTGAACTCCTGGGTTCAAGCAATCCTCCCACTTCAGCCTCCCGAGTAGCTGGGACTACAGGCACATATCACCACACCAGTTAATTAATCCCAGCACTTTGGGAGGCCGAGGCCGGTGGATCACGAGGTCAAGAGATCGAGACCATCCTGGTCAACATGGTGAAACCCCGTCTCTACTAAAAATAACAAAAATTAGCTGGGCATGGTGGCGCGTGCCTGTAGTCCCAGCTACTCGGGAGGCTAAGGCAGGAGAATTGCCTGAACCCAGGAGGCGGAGGTTGCAGTGAGCCAAGATCGCACCATTGCACTCCAGCCTGGGTAACGAGTGAAACTCAGTCTCAAAAAAAGAAAAAAAAGGAAATTTTTTTTGTAGTGATGGAGTCTCACTATGTTGCCTAGGTTGGTTTCAAACTCCTGGCCTCAAGCAGTTGTCCCACCTTGGCCTCCCAAAGTGCTGGGATTACTGATGTGAGCCATCATGCCTGGCGGAAATTTTAAATAAAGATAGAGATCACTAAAAGTCAGTGCTGAGCTATATTGGAACTTTAGACAAAAAAGAAATTTGCATGTTTTAGTCACCATGGGCTTTTCTGCATTAATTTTGATATTTTTAAATGGCATTAGGGCAGGTATGGTAGCTGACACGTGTAATGCCAGCACTTTGGGAGGCTGAGGTAGGAGGATTGCTTGAGGCCAGGAGTTTGAGACCAGCCTGGGCAACATAGTGAGAAACTTTTGTCTGTATAAAAAAATTTAAAAATAAAAAAATGCATGAAAATATTACATATTGACTTATTTACTGAGTTACATGTTTAAATGTTGAATCCAAGGCAAGGACTGACTTTTACCTATAGCTTAAGTGGATTTTTTTTTTTTTTTGAGACAGAGTCTTGCTCTGTCCCTCAGTCTGGAGTATAGTGGTACGATCTCAGCTCACTGCAACCTCCATCTCTGGGTTCATGCAATTCTCCTGCCTCTGCCTCCTGAGTAGCTGGGACTATAGGCACACACCATGCCTACCTAGCTAATTTTTGGATTTTTAGTAGAGATGGGGTTTTACCTTGTTGGCCAGGCTGGTCTTGAATTCCTGAACTCAAGTTATCTGCCCAATTTATCCTCCCAAAGTGTTGGGATTACAGGCATGAGCCCAGGCACCTGGTCAGGGGTTTTGATGTAATAAGTACCAATCCAGGCAGCCTCCTGAGGAATTAAAAAGACAGCCTCTTCTGTCTTTAATTCATGGCAGAGCTGAGATATGAACCCAAGGAGCCATATGAACCCAAGGAGGTATATGACCTTGGGCAAGTAACTTAGCTGTCCTCTGCCTTGATTTTCTCATCTGTAAAATGGGCATATGGCAAGAACCTACCTCACAGGCTGTCATGAAAATGAAGGGCCTGTATGCAAAGCTCAATAGTGCTTTGTATACTGTAGGCTCTCTGAAAGTGTAAGCCGCCACTCCCAGCACTGTGTAGTCTATTAGGCGGGACAAGAAATACTATATAGTACCTCAGTGATTGCTGCAGAGACAAATGTGGCAGCAGGTGGACTGCGTGCTGTAGTCGTGGATGACTTCTCAGAGGCGGTGACGTTTGAGTTTGATTTTTTTCCATCTGCACAGGAGGGAAGGGTCACCCTAGAGGGAGTGAAGTGTCAGCACAGGAACAGAGGCTGAGGGTGCTAAGGAAGTGGAGAGTGGTTTTGTGAGGTTTGAGAGCAGGATATGCACACACCAGGGAAGGTGGGGTTGAAGCAGGAAGGGGCTCTGCTGCAGGGGTCCAGGCTGGGCATGACGGGGTCTGGGCTATGCTAGGAGGTTCTGTGTGGGGAGTGGGTCGGAGGAGGTATTGTGTTGGGGCTCAGGGTCAAATTATGAACCTCTGGAGTTTGGCTGGTCCCAGTGAGCAAAAGCTTTGGGGTAGCCGGGCATGTTGGCTCACGCACTTTGGGAGGCTGAGGCAGGAGGATCTCTTGAACCCAGGGGTTTGAGACCAGCCTGGGCAACGTAGCAAGACCCCATCTTTACAAAAATGGCGTGTGGTGGTGCACATCTGTAGTCCTAGCTACTCAGGAGGCTGAGGTGGGAAGATCACTTGAACCCAGGAGTTCAAGGCTACAGTGAACTGTGATTGTGCCATTGCAGTCCTGCCTGGGTGACAGTGAGACCGTCTCAAAGAAAAAAAAAAGCTTGAGGGGCTGGACAGCCTGGGGTGTGTCCAGGGTACAGAAAGGAGACCCATGATCCCAAATGCCTTGTGAAACTGCAGAAGAGAGGAAGCCGGAGACGTGCTGGAAAGAGAAATCTCTCCGTGGGTCTGTGGCGAGGTCCACGAGATGGGATTTAACCTGTGGTTCTCTTTGCAGTGAAGCCAGGCACAGACGTAGACCACCAGGAGAAGTGCCTGTACCAGCTCTACGACCGCATGCCGGAGGGCCTGACACCCTTGGCCACACTGAAGAATGGGCAGCAGCGCCGACAGCTGGGTGCGTGTCCCCCTGCCCCCAGACATGAGTCCCACTGGGTGCCCAGCTTGTCCTGCTCACAGACAGCCAGAGAGAGGTCCTGGGAGAGGGGTGTTCCCAGCCATTGTGGCTGCTTTGGGTTCAGAAGTCATGAGGCGCAGTCCCCAGCCTCAGAGGTCTTCTCAGGCTGTGTTCTCACGAGTTCCAAAGCACCCAGGCCTCCTACTGTGGGGCCAGGACCTTGACCATCTCCCCGGGGTGCATGGGGTGGGCCTGTGCCATGCCAACAGGGAAGGAGCTGTCTGTTGATTTCCTTATGCCTGGCTTTATTACCAAGAACACCTAGTGACTGGTGATGAAGTGCCCTGGTTTGGTCTCTGCCATGTCTCAGTGTGAATATCTCTTCCCTTGTGCAGACCTGACCTCCACCACTCTAACCTTCCCCACTGTGCACCACCCGTGCACACAGACGCGGCTTCCCATCTCAGTGATGGCAACTCCCACCCCTCTAGGTGCTCAGGATGGAAACCTTGGACTCACTCTCCACTCTTCTTTTCTTTCCTCTTCTTTCCTCCTTCCCTCCCTACCTCTCCCCTCCCCTCCACTTCCCTTTCTTTTCCCCTCCCCACCTTCTCCTCTCCCCACCTATCCTTCCTCTCCTCCCCTTTCCCTTCCTCCTCTTCCCTTCCCCTCCTCCTCACCTCTTCCTTCTCCTTTCTCCTCCCCTCGCCTTCTACCCTCTCACCTCCCTTCCTCTCCCCTCCCATCCTTCCTCTCCTTACTTCCCCTTCCTCCTTCCCTTCCCCTCCTCCCCCTCCCCTCCCTTTTCTCTTCCCCTCCCCTCCCCTTCCATCCTTCCTCCCCTCCCCTCTCTGTCCCTCCTCCCCCTTTTCTATCACCTTCCCTCCCTTTTCCCATCCCATCCCTTCCCTTTCCCCTCCCCTCCCCTCTCCTCCTTGCTCTTCTCTCCTCAGCCCTCCCCTCCCCTCTCCTTTCCTTGTTCCTTGTTGCTTTCCTTTTCTTTCCCTGTCCTTTCCTTTCTCTGCTTCATTCTTTCCTTTCTCTCTCTCTTCCCCATGCACCCTTTCTCCCTCCTTTCTTCTTTCCTTTTCTTTGATTTGCTTTCTTTACAGCATTTTGCTCTGTCCCCCACGCCTCGAACTCCTGGCTTCCAGTGATCCTCCTGCCTCAGCCTCCTGAGTACCTGGCACTACAGGCATGCACCACCACACCTGGCTAATACCGTGAACAAATTTTGCAGAGATGCTATGTTGGTCTCACTATGCTGCTCAGGCTGGTTTTGAACTCCTGGCCTCCAGCAATCGTCCCGCCTCTGCCTCCCAAAATGCTGGGTTTACAAGAACGAACCATAAGGCCCAAGCTTCTCTTTTCTTACTTTCTCACCCTACATTTGATTAGCAGATCCCTTTGGCTGTACCTAGCGCATCTCAAATCTAGCCACTTCTTACCCTGCTGCCCTGTTGGAAGGAAAACCCCATCCCTGGTCTTCTCTTACCATCTCCACCTACCCTGCTCTGTTTTTCTCTATGACCTCACCACCACCTGATCCATTACATGCTTCTCTGCTTGTTGGTTACCTGTCTTCAACCACTACACGTAAACTCCTGGAATCCAGGGGCAGCCTGTTTCTTTACTGCTTTATCTTTAGCACCCAGCCCATTTGGTAAATATTTGATGAGTGAACGTCTTATGGACACAAGTGAGCTTATTACATGTGCATTCAGGAAGGCTTGGAACTGGGCACGGTGGTTCATGCTTGTCATCCCAGCACTCTGGGAGGCTGAGGCAGGAGGATTGCTTGAGGCCAGGTGTTTGAGACCAGCCTGGGCAACACAGCAAGACCCCATCTCTCCAAAAAAAAAAAACAAAAACATTATCCCAGTGTGGTGGTGCATGCCTGTGGTCCCAGCTACTCAGGAGTCTGAGGCGGGAGGTTCACTTGAGCCCAGGAGTTTGAGGCTGCAGTAAGCCATGCTTGCTGCGCTGTACTCCAGCATGGGAAACAGAGTGAGACCCTATCTCTAAATATAAAATATAAAATGAAATAAAATAGTATATTAATAAAAGTCTCAAGCTATCCAGGCAGATACTTTAGAAAAGAGAACGTCCACCCTCTTGGGCTGCCCCTTGAGCCCTTCGCCTCTGCCCGGTGGATGCACAAGTCACGTGGGTGCTGGCTTCCGTCCACAGGGAAGTCCCATCTGCGCAGAGCCCTGACGCATCACGAGGAGTCGGTGCGGGAGGCCAGCCTGTGCAAGAAGCTGCGGAGCATCGAGGTGCTGCAGAAAGTGCTGTCTGCGGCACAGGAACGCTCTCGGCTCACATACGCCCAGCACCAGGAGGACGATGACCTGCTGAACCTGATCAACGCCCCCGACGTTGTTGGTGAGTAACCTAGACTGTGTGCCCAGTGTGGGGGTGCCTGTGCCACAGACAGAGCATGCCTGGCCTGTGGGGGTCGGGCAAGCCCTTGCTGCATGCTGGGCACTGGGAGGGCAGCACAGGCAGGGACCAATGTGCTGCTTTTGCCCTGGAGTTCTCTCTCTTTTTTTTGAGATGGAGTCTCGCTCTGTTACCCAGGCTGGAGTGCAGTAGTGCAATCTCAGCTCATGGCAACCTGTTTCCCAGGTTCAAGTGATTCTCCTGCCTCAGCCTCCCAAGTAGTTAGGATCACAGGCGCCCGCAACCATTCTCAGCTATTTTTTTTGTATTTTCAGTAGAGATGGGGTTTCACCATGTTGGCCATGCTGGTCTTGAACTCCTGACCTCAAGTGATCCACCCCACTTTGCCTCCCAAAGTGCTGGGATTACCGGTGTGAGCCACCACACCTGACCTAGATATTCTGTTCATGCAGTTGTTCTCACGAGTAATCAGCCTGTCTTGGGATCCTTTGTTAGAAACTGACCAGACTTCTGTTAAGGGTAGTCCAAGCCTTCTGCGAAGATGCTGGTGGGGATATGGAGCTGTCAGGGGTCATGATTTGGCAAAACTCCTTTTTACTAGGAAATCCTCATATCACTCATTAATAATGAAAAGGTCAAGCACGGTAGCTCAAACCTGTAATACCAGCACGTTAGGAGGCTGACGCAGGAGGATCACTTGAGCTCAGGAGTTTGAGACCAGCCTGGGAAACATAGTGAGACCCTATCTCTACAAAACATTTTTTTTTTTAATTAGCCAGGTCTGGTGGCATGCACCTATAGTCACAGCTACTCAGGAGGCTGAGGCAGGAGGATCACTTGAGTCCTGGAGGTCAAGCTACAAGAAAGCTGTGATTGCACCACTGCACTCCAGCTTGGGCGAGAGAGCGATACCATCTCAAAATAATTATGATGAAAACAGATAGCACAGTATCTCAGAACTGTGTCCTGTGAGGCGTGAAGCTTCCATAACAGTTCCTGAACAACTGAAACATAGATGACTTCTCAATAGGGTTTTTTTTTTTCTTTTTTTGAGAAGTTGTTTCGCTTTTGTCACCTAGGCGCTGGAGTGCAATGGTGTGATCTCAGCTCACTGCAACCTCCACCTCCTGGGTTCAAGCCTCAGCGTCCTGAGTAGCTGGGACTACAGGCACGCACCACCATGCCCGACTAATGTTTATATTTTTAGTAGAGACAGGGTTTCATCATGTTGGCCAGGCTGGTCTCGAACGTCTGACCTTAGGTGATCCACCCACCTTGGCCTCTCAAAGCTGGGATTACAAGTGCGAGCCACCCTGCCTGGCTTCCTCATAGGGTTTTATAAGTGCCAAAGAAGCCCACTAAGCCCCTGAGATATCAGGAAGCCCCGTAAGTAGGGGACGTGTCTGGTTATCGCTCCTTGGTCCCAGCTTAGGAATGGGACCTAATGGAAGGTGGAGTTCACCCGGCGTCAGGGGTTAAGCTGTGTTTCATCTTCTTGAACTACTGTCTAAACCCAAGGGAAGGGACCTGTGACTAAGAGACAGTGCCCTACCGTCTCCTTCCCAGGGATCACTTTTTTTTTTTTTTTGAGATGGGGTCTTACTCTTGTCGCCCAGCCGGAGTGCAGTGCATGACTTCAGCTCACTGCAACCTCTGCCTCCTGGGTTCAAGCGATTCTCCTGCCTCAGACTCCCGAATTGCTGGGATTACAGGCACCTGCCATCACACCTGGCTCCTTTTTGTATTTTTAGTAGAGATGGGGTTTCACCATGTTGGCCAGGCTAGTCTTGAACTTCTGGCCTCAAGTGATCCACCTGCCTCAGCCACCCAAAGTGCTGTGATTACAGGTGTGAGCCACAACACCAGCCTTTAATGATCACTTTCAATTACAGAAACATTTATCCTCCCATTTATAATCTTCTTTTCTAGCTAAAACTGAGCAAGAGGTTGAAATTATATTGCCCCAGTTCTCCAAGCTGACAGTCACAGACTTCTTCCAGAAGCTGGTATGTTGAATGCTCTTTACATAAATGACCTAAGGGGACAGCTCTTCAATTTGGCGAGTATGGTGTCTTAGTCCACGTGGGCTGCTATAACAAAATGCCTTGAACTGGGTGGCTTTGAACAGCAGAAATATATTTCTCATAGTTCTGGAGGCTGGGAAGTCCAAGACCAAGGTATGGGCAGATTCGGTATCCAGTGAAGCCTCCCATTCTGGTTTATAGGTGGGGCCTTCTACCTGCGTCTGTGTCCTTATGGCAGAAAAGGCGGATGAGTTCCCGTGGGCCTGTTTTAAAAGCATGTATCCAATTCTTCTATTTTTTTTTGAGATGGAGTTTCACTCGTGTTGCCCAGGCTGGAGCGCAATGGTACAATCTCCTCTGCCTCCCAGGTTCAAGCAATTCTCCTGCCTCAGCCTCCGGAGTAGCTGAGATTGCAGGCATGTGCCACTACGTCTGGCTAATTTTGTCTTTTTAGTAGAGATGGGGTTTCACCATGTTGGTCAGGCTGGTCTTGAACTCAACCTCAGGTGAGCCACCTGCCTCATCTCTCAAAGTGCTGGGATTACAAGTATGAGCCACTGCGCCTGGCCACGTGTATCCCATTCTTGAGGTTTCTGCCCCAAGACTGAATCACCTGTCAAGAGACCCCACTTCCTAATAATTACATTGATGATGAGGTTTCAATATACAGATTTTGAGAGGGTACAAACATTCAGACCATCGCATTTTTATTTAATTCATTTATATTTATTTACTTATTTATTTTTTCAAGATGGAGTTTCTCTCTTACTACCCAGGCTGGAGTGCAATGGCGCAATCTCGGCTCACCGCAACCTCCGCCTCCTGGGTTCAAGCAATTCTCCTGCCTCAGCCTCCCGAGTAGCTGGGACTACAGGCTGCGCCACCATGCCCAGCTAAGTTTTGTATTTTTAGTAGAGACGGGGTTTCACCATATTGACCAGGATGGTCTTGATCTCTTGACCTAGTGATCCACCCGCCTCGGCCTCCCAAAGTTATATTTATTTTTTAATTGTTTGAGACAGAGTCTTGCTCTGTTGCCCAAGCTGGAGTGCAGTGGCGCTATCTCGACTCACTGCAGCCTCTGCCTTGCAGGTTCAAGTGATTCTCCAGCTTTAGCATCCCAAGTAGCTGGGATTACAGGCATATGCTACTATGATCAGCTAATTTTGTATTTTTAGTAGAGATGAGGTTTCACCATGTCGGCCAGGCTGGTCTTAAACTCCTGGCCTCCAGTGATCTGCCCACCTCAGCCTCCCGAAGTCCTGGGATTACAGGCCAGAGCCACTGTGCCTGGCACCATAGCATATCTTAGAAGTAAATTTTAGGTAGTGTTGATTTAAAAATTTTTTATATTTTTAAATTTTGTTAGAGACATAGTCTTACTCTCACTCAGGCTGGAGTACAGTGGCATGATCATAGCTCACTGCAGCCTCAACCTTCTAGGCTCAAGAAGCCCTCCTGCCTCAGCAGCCTGAGTAGATGGAACTGTAGGCATGTGCCACCATGCCTGGCTAATTGTTTTTATTTTTTAGTGGAGAATGGGTCTCGCTATGTTGCCCAGGCTGGTCTCAAACCCCTGGCCTCAAGTGATCTTTCTGCCTTGGCCACCCAAAGTGCTTAGAATTACAGGCATCTGCTTGGTGTTAAATATTTTATATTAGAGATTTTATTTAAGATAATTTTGGCTGGATGCAGTGGCTCACGCCTGTAATCCCAGCACTTTGGGAGGCCGAGGAGGGTGGATCACCTGAGATCAGGAGTTTGAGACCAGCCTTGCCAACATGGTGAAACACCATCTCTGCTAAAAATACAAAAATTACAGGTGCGCGCCTGTAATTCCAGCTAGTTGGGAAGCTGAGGGAGGAGAATTGCTTGAACCTGGAAGGCAGAGGCTGCAGTGAGCTGAGATCATGCCACTGCACTCCAGCCTGGGCGACAGAGTGAGACAGCATTTCGAAAAATAAAAAAGTTAATTTTATTTAAAATATATTGGTTATGTTTGAGAAGATGGCATTCCCTGTTGTTGCATGACTGCTGTAGCATGTCTTACCCAGATGTGTCATTTGTCCCTGACCAAGGCCAAGTGAGATCTTCAAAGACAACAGGCAAAAGTCCCTTTAGCTTTCAAGTGTCTGATCCAGCCTTCAAATCCTACACCTAACGATGCTGTCTTCCAAAGGGCCCCTTATCTGTGTTTTCGGCTAATAAGCGGTGGACGCCTCCTCGAAGCATCCGCTTCACTGCAGAAGAAGGGGACTTGGGGTTCACCTTGAGAGGGAACGCCCCCGTTCAGGTTCACTTCCTGGATCCTTACTGCTCTGCTGCGGTAAGCACATGCTTTTCTGGGTCGAGAGCAAACACAGATATCTGGGTGATTGAATTTAGGATGGGTTCCCCCATGTCAAAGGCCTGACTTTATGTGAAAGGCCTCATGGGTGCTACATTCCCAAAACGAAAAGGACTGATTTTTGCTGGTTTTTTTTTGAGACATTGGGAGATGGAGGCTGCAGTGAGTCACTATCGTGCAGTGGTGCTATCTTGGGGCTCACTGCAGCCTCTGCCTCCCGGGTTCAAGTAATTCTCCTGTCTCAGCCTCCTGAGTAGCCAGGATTATAGGCACGTGCCACCATACTCAGCTAATTTTTTGTATTTTTAAATAGAGACAGAGTTTTGCCATGTTGACCAGACTGGTCTCGAACTCCTGGCCTCAAGTAATCCATCTGCCTCAGCCTCCCAAAGTGCTAGGATTACAGGTGTGAGCCACTGTGCCTGGCCATTTTTATTTTTTTTTGCACCCAAGCTAGAGTGCAGTGGTATGATCTCAGCTCACTGCAGTGTCTGCCTCTTAGGTTCAAGCAATTCTCCTGCCTCCGCCTCCCAAGTAGTTGGGATTACAGGTGCCCACCACCACACTGAGCTAATTTTTGTATTTTTAGTAGAGAAGGGATTCATCATGTTGGCCAGGCTGGTTTCGAATTCCTGACTTCAAGTGATCTGCCCCACCCCCACCCCTCCCCCACCCCATCTTGGCCACCCTTAGTGAATTTTTGCTTTCTTGATGCAAATTTACCTATTTTGTGAATGGGGACTGATTAAAAGATTTGAGGAACTAAACATTGACTTATTTTCAACAATACTTTTGCAGGTGGCGGGAGCCCGGGAAGGAGATTATATTGTCTCCATTCAGCTTGTGGATTGTAAGTGGCTGACGGTGAGCGAGGTTATGAAGCTGCTGAAGAGCTTTGGTCAAGATGAGATTGAGATGAAAGTCGTGAGCCTTCTGGACTCCACATCATCCATGGTGAGCACTGATACCTCCCTGGGCAGTCAATAGTGGTATGGAGTGAAATCTGCATGAGTTCAGCCCCAGAGGTGTTTACCAGACCCTCTGTCTCCTGCCTGTGTAACACGGTACAAACGACTGGACTCCCAAGCTTGTAATCACTGGAATGTGCTCACCTTGGGTCAAAGAGAAAATTGGCAAACTTTTTTTTTTTTTTCCAAAGACAGGGAAAGCTGGTTTGCTGTGGTGTGATCACGGCTCACTGCAGCCTCTATCTCCTGGGTTCAAGTGATCCTTCCACCTCAGCCTCATGAGTAGCTGGAATTACAGGCATCCACCACCACCCCTAGCTAATTTATTTTTTGTAGAGACACGTTCTTGCTATTGCCCAGGCTGGTCTCGAACTCCTGGGCTCAAACCTCCCAAGGTGCTGGGATTACAGGCATGAGCCACGGCACTTGGCTAGCAAACTTTTAAAAATAACCTGTAGATAAAATAATCAACTGATCTATTTTTTTTTGATCAAATTGTTTAGTTACAAAAGTAATACATACAGTAAAAAAAAAAAAAAAAAAAAAAAATTCCGGTAATTCAGAAGAGCTTAAGACGACCTGTGAAAGTCCCTCTCTATGCCCCAGAGACAGTATCAGCCATGTTCTGGGAGATTTGGGAAGCACTGGAGTCTCTTCACGTTCACCTGCATAGGTATCGCCTTTAATTTTCCCCAAGTAAGGCCGGGCATTGTGCTCATGCCTGAAATCCCAGTACTTTGGGAAGACGAAGTCGGGGGATTGCTTGAGCCGAGGAGTTTGAGACCAGCCTGGCTAACAAGGCAAAACCCCGTCTCTACTGAAAATATAAAAATTACCTGGGCGTGATGCTGCACGCCTATAATCCTAGCTACTCGGGAAGCTGAGGCAGAAGAATCTCTTGAACCTGGGAGGCGGAGGTTGCAGTGAGCGAAGATCACACCATTGCACTCCAGCCTGGGCAAGAGTGAGACTCTGTCTCCAAAATAACCAAAAATTTCCCCAAGTGTGAGGATTCATGCCACACTTAATGACGTTCTCCTCTGCACTTTGCCACACTTAATGACGTACCCTCAACCTTCCCTCAGTAACAGCATTTATTTATTCATTCAACAAATATTGATTGAGGATCAGCCGAGTGCCAGACACTCTCTTAGGTGTCAGAGCTTCAGCTTACATTACACAGATAAGGTCCCTGCCTCCACGAAGCTGGCAGTAGGTCAGCAAATAAATGGTCAGGATTTTGATAAGTGCTGTAAAGGAAAAAAGACCTGCGATGGGGGTGGAATGACTGGGGAGGGGTGAGGCTCTATCTAGGCAGGGCTGGAACAGACATGAGAGTGACGAGGAGGTTCCAGCCAGTTGCAGAGGGACGAGAAAGGCCTTCTGGACAGGGGCACCCACAGGTACAGAGTCCCTGCAACTGAATAAGCTTCTCCTGCCAGAGAGGCAAAAAGAAGGCCTTTTGGCAAGAGCACCAGGACAAGGGAGGGAGCCGTGGGAAGTGAGGTGGGAGAGAGGCCTTGGTGGCAGTGGTGGGAGCTTGGAAGCCATTGGAACTTTTCTTTTCTTTTTTTTTTTTTTATTGAGACGGAGTTTCGCTCTTGTTACCCAGGCTTGGAGTGCAATGGTGCGATCTCGGCTCACCGCAACCTCCGCCTCCTGGGTTCAGGCAATTCTCCTGCTTCAGCCTCCTGAGTAGCTGGGATTACAGGCATGCGCCACCATGCTCAGCTAATTTTTTTTTGTATTTTTAGTAGAGACGGGGTTTCACCATGTTGACCAGGATGGTCTCGATCTCTTGACCTCATGATCCACCCGCCTCGGCCTCCCAAAGTGCTGGGATTACAGGCTTGAACCACCTCGCCTGGCCCATTGGACCTTTTCAGAAGGGGACTGGCGTGGTGTGATGTTTGTTTTAGAAGGGCGTCTGCTGCTGGAGATTGGCCATGGCAGTTGTCCAGGCCGGTGACGTTAGTGGCTGAGGTGATGGGGTGGCTGTAGAGATGGAGAGACATGAGCATCCCTGGTACATAGTTTGGTGGTGGAACTGATGGGGGATTTGTGGATGATTTGTGTAAAGGAGATGGTGGACAGGGAGGTGAGGCCTCAGTTTTCGGCTTGATCAGTCATGTGTGTAGTGGGGTAGTAGTTATTTTTCTACCTTTAAATTTCTTTCTTTCTTTTTTTCTTTCTTTCTTTTTTTGAGACAGGGTCTCACTCTGTCACCGAGGCTGGAGTGCAGTGGCGTGATCTTGGCTCACTGCAACCTCCGCCTCCCAGGTTCAAGTGATTCTCCTGCCTCAGCCTCCCAAGTAGCTGGGATTACAGGTGCTCACCACCAAGCCCTGCTAATTTTTTTGTATTTTATTAGAGACGGGATTTTACCATGTTGGCCAGGATGGTCTCAATCTCCTGACGTCCTACCTCAGCCTCCCAAAGTGCTGGGATGACAGGTGTGAGCCACCACACCCAGCCCTTTATTTTTTTATTTTTATTATTATTTTTTTGAGACAGGGTCTCACTCTGTCGCTTGGGCTGGAATGCAGTGGAACAATCATACCTCACTGTAGCCTTGACTTCCTGGGCTCAGGCAATCCTTTTGCCTCAGCCTCCCAAGTACCTAGGACCACAGGTATGTACCTAGAACCACAGGTATGCACTATGCCTGGCTAATTCGTTCCTCTACTTATTGTCAATTTCTTTTTTGGTAGAGATGGGGCCTTGATATATTGCCAAGGTTGGCCTCACACTCCTGGCCTTAAGCAATCCTCCCGCCTCTGCCTCCCAAGTGTTGGGATTACAGGCATGAGGCACCGCGCCTGGCCTGGTTATTTTCATAACAATGGGTGATAGGGTGTGACAGGTGGAGGAGAAAGAAAACAAGAGTCATGTTATGAATGTTTCAGATGCTATTAGTGGTCAGACGTAAACACAGAGGATGAGATTGGATGTGAAGTCTTCAGTTCGAGGAAGAAATCAGCTAGAAATAAATATGTGAGAATCACTGCAGGGGGACGATATTTGAAGCTGTGAGACGAAATGCAGTCCCCTGCACGGGGGCAGGGGCTGAGGCTAAACATCTAGAGATCAGCTGGAAGAGAAGCAAGTACAAAGGAAATGGAGGAGAGTTCAGGGAGATGGGAGGAAAGGAGCTTCTCAAATTAGAGGAAAAAGCTTTGCAGTGAGAGTGATGGATTGCGCTGAATGCAGCTGAGAGTTGAAAAATGAGGGCGGCTCAGGCATGCCGACTGCATTTGGCAGCGGGATAAAAAGACACTTCGAGGGCTGGACGCGGTGGCTCACGTCTGTAATCCCAGCACTTTGGGAAGCCGAGGTGGGTGGATCATGAGGTCAAGAGATCGAGACCATCCTGGTCAACATGGTGAAACCCCGTCTCTACTAAAAAAAATACAAAAATTAGCTGGGCATGGTGGCGCACGCCTGTAATCCCAACTACTCAGGAGGCTGAGGCGGGAGAACTGCCTGAACCCAGGAGGCAGAGGTTTCGGTGAGCAGAGATCGTGCCATTGCACTCCAGCCTGGGTAACAAGAGTGAAACTCCGTCTCAAAAAAAAAAAAAAAAGGACGCTTCGGTGGAGAGGTGGCAACAGAATTCAGCTGAGAGCGGGCCAGTGAGCCATTGATTCCGAGTCCATGGATATGAAATGCCCAGCACAGGCAAATCCAGAGACAGAAAGGAGATTGGTGCTGGGGCTGGGCAATGGGAGTGGGGAGGGACTGCTGAAAGGTACAAGGTAGAGGTTTCTTTTTAGGGGGATGGAAATGTTCTGAAATTAGGTAGTAGTGATGGTCATCCAACTTTGTGAATATACTAAAAATCATTGATGTCCCGGCACGGTGGCTCACACCTATAATTCCAGCACTTTGGGAAGCTGAGGCAGGATGTTTGCTTGAGCCCAGGAGTTCGAGACCAGCCTGGGCAACATGGTGAGATCTTGTCTCTGCAAAAAATAAAATAAATTAGCCAGGCATGCTGGCGCACGCCTGTAGTCCCAGCTACTCAGGAGGCTGAGGCAGAAGGATTGCTTGAGCCCAGAGAGGTTGAGGCTGCAGTGAGCTATGATTGTACCTCTGCACTGTAGCCTGGGTGTCAGAGCAAAAGCCTGTCTCAAAAATAAAAATAATAAATAAAAGCCACAGGAGTGTATTGAAATGGTAAATTTTATGCATGTATATGAATTATATTTTAATTTTTTTTTTTTTGTTTTTTTTTAAGAGAGAGTCTCACTCTTTCGCCCAAGCTGGAGTGCAGTGGTGAGATCTCAGCTCACTGCAATCTCCGCCTCCTGGGTTTAAGTGATTCTCCTGCCTCAGCCTCCTGAGTAGCTGGGATTAGAGGCACGCATCCCCATGCTCGACTAATTTTTGTATTTTTAGTAGAGATGGGGTTTCACCACATTGGTCAGGCTGGTCTCGAACTCCTGATCGTGTGATCCACCTGCCTTGGCCTCTCAACGTGCTGGGATTACAGGCTTGAGCCACTGCACCCAGCCTAAGAAGGGCTTTTCAAAGAAAGTGGCAGCACACATTGCAGGAGTGAGAGAGAGAGAGAGAGCGAGAGAGAGAGAGTGTGTGTGTGTGTGTGTGCATGCATGCGCACACATGCATGCATGCATGTGCATGTGTGTAGAGGTCTGGGAGGCAGGGCTGCCTGAAGGATAGAGGGAATGGGATCCAGGCACATAGAAGGGCTTGGTCTCTGGGGACAGATGCCATGAAGTGTACAGCGGGGATTTTAGGAGGGTCTGTGAGTGGCTTCAGGAGGAGAGAGAAGGTAAGAAACAAGTATATGGGAGAAAAGGAAATGAAATAACTAGGGACACACAGGAGTGCCAGGAAATGGGTGCCTATTAGAGGTTTGGGGTCAGGTTAGAATTCCAAGGGAAGCCTTGGTGAATGTCCTCCAGCAATGCACAACATTTCAGATATAGGCCCAGCGGGAGGCAGAGGGTAGAGATGAGCTAGTTGGCCTTGCTGGGGTCGGGTGGAAGAGAACTGAGGGTATTTATAAGGCAGTGTTTTTTTTTTGAGACGGAGTTTCGCTCTTGTTACCCAGGCTGGAGTGCAATGGCACGATCTCAGCTCACTGCAACCTCTGCCTCTTGGGTTCAGGCAATTCTCCTGCCTCAGCCTCCTGAGTAGCTGGGATTATAGGCATGTGCCACCATGCCCAGCTAATTTTTTGTATTTTTAGTAGAGACGGGGTTTCACCATGTTGACCAGGATGGTCTCGATCTCTTGACCTCGTGATCCACTCGCCTCGGCCTCCCAAAGTGCTGGGATTACAGGCGTGAGCCACTGTGCCTGGCCAAGGCAGTGGTTTTGATATACAATGGACTCTGAGCAGCTGAGGGTTGGGAAATGCTTGCAGGCCTCACATCTGTCTCCAGGATTAATAGTTTTATTATTGTTTTAAATGACATTATGTGTGCTCCGTAAAACATGGTGGGATTAGTGGTCAGTTTTCTAGAAAAGGAGGAGCTATCTTCATCCTCAGGGGCTTGAAGTACCCCTACTTGATTGCTGCATAACTCTTATTTATCTATTTATTTTTTGAGATGGAATCTCCCTGAATCACAGGCTGTGAGATTTCAGAGGCGCAATCTCACCTTACTACGACTTCCGCCTCCTGGGTTCAAGCAATTCTCCTGCCTCAGCCTCCCAAGTAGCTGGAATTACAGGTGCCCACCACCATGCCCAGCTAAGTTTTGTATTTTTAGTAGAGATGGGGTTTCACCATGTTGGCCAGGCTGGTCTCAAACTATTGGCCTCAAGTGATCCACCCGCCTCGGCCTCCCAAAGTGCTTGGATTACAGGCATGAGCCACCACGCCCCTCTTAGGATTTATATTAGGACCAATATCCTCAACCACTCCAGAGATAGATTGTATGCCTAATTTTAGTGCCAGAACATAGTAGCTGATTAATAAACACGGTGAACAAAACAATCTCAATGTTAGGCAAACCTTAGAAGCTGGCGATAACCACGTGGAAGTCTTCAGAAAATAAGTTTTTAGATTTCTAGTTTGAGCACTACATGATTCTTTGAAGGTTAACGGTAGAGAGTGTTTCATGGTACAAAGTTTCAGCTGAGGAAGATGAAAACGTTTTAGAGATGGATGGTGGCAGGGGTTGCATAATGATGGGAAGGTAGTTAATGCCACAGGGGAAATGGCTAAGAGTAGCGTCTTCACTGTGGATTTTCTTTTTCCTTTTGGCCACTGTGGATTCTTTAAAGAGGGTGAAGTGGATCTATACCTACTGGTGTGGATTGAAATCCAAGATGTGTTAGGGGAAGAAAGTCAGGTGTAGAATAGTGTATATTCCTTTTAAAAAAAATGAATGGTAGGCTGGGCATGGTAGCTCACACCTGCAATCCCAGCGCTTTGGGAGGCCAAGGCAGGCGGATCACCTGAGGCCAGGAGTTTGAGATCAGCCTGACCAACATGGAGAAACCCTGTCTTTACTAAAAATACAAAATTAGCCAGGTGTGGTAGTGCACGCCTGTAATCCCACCTACTTGGGAGGCTGAGGCAGGAGAATCACTTGAACCTAGGAGGTGGAAGTTGCAGTGAGCCTAGATCGTGCCACTGCACTCCAGCCTGGGCAACAATAGCAAAACTCTGTCTCAGAAAAAAAGGAAAAAGAATGGTAATATACTTATGCACATATAGAAATACTTGTACATGCACATCATCTCTAGGAGTGTCACACAGTGGTTACCTGAGTGAGGGCCTGGAAGCCCAGGTGACAGGGACACCTATTGCTCACTGCATTTTCTTTCTTTTTCCTTCCCTCTGTTCCCCTCTTCCCTTCTTTTCTTTCTTTTTTCTTTTGAAACAGAGGTCTCACTCAGTCGCCCAGGCTGGAGTGCTGTAGCACAATCACAACTCGCTATAGCCTCAACCTCCTGGACTCAAGCAGTCCTCCCCTCTAAGCCTCCCAAGTAGCTGGGACTATAGGCATGAGCCACCATGCCCCACCCTGTATTTTCATATTCATGACCATTGTATTATTATTTTCTCAAATATAAGAACCTTAACATGTGAGTTGTGGCTCCTCAGCTTAAATTATTACTATTGAGTAATATTCTTAAAAATATCCTTGTTGGACCTGGTGGTGCACGCCTGGAGCCCCAGCTACTCAGGAGGCCAAGACAGGAAGATCACTTGAGCCCAGGAGCTCAAGATCAGCCTGGGCAACATAGCAAGACCCTGTCTCAAAAAAGAAAAAAGAGTTTGTCCTAGCTTTTTTTTTTTTTGAGACGGAGTTTCACTCTTGTTACTCAGGCTGGAGTGCAATGGCATGATCTCGGCTCACCACAACGTCCACCTCTTGGGTTCAGGCAATTCTCCTGCCTCAGCCTCCCAAGTAGCTGGGACTACAGGCACGCGCCACCATGCCCAGCTAATTTTTTTGTATTTTTAGTAGAGACGGGATTTCACCATATTGACCAGTATGGTCTTGATCTCTTGACTTCGTGATCCACTCGCCTCGGCCTCCCAAAGTGCTGGGATTATAGGCATGAGTCACTGGAGTCCCACTCTGTCGTCCAGGCTGGAGTGCAGTGGTGCAATCTCGGCTTACTGTAACCTCCACCTCCTGGGTTCAAGTGATTCTCGTGCCTCAGCCTCCCAAGCAGCTGGGACTACAGACGTGCACCACCACCCCTGGTTAACTTTTGTGTTTTAGTAGAGACAGAGTTTCGCCATGTTGGCCAGGCTGGTCTCTAATTCCTGACCCCAAGTGATCTACTCGCCTCGGCCTCCCAAAGTGCTGGGATTACAGGTGTGAGCCACTGCACTCAGCTGAACTTCGTAGATTTTATCATCTATCTTGATGATGCCTGACACCCTTTTTCTTCCTTTTCTACATGCAGCATAATAAGTGCGCCACGTACTCTGTGGGAATGCAGAAAACCTACTCCATGATCTGCTTAGCCATTGAGGATGACGACAAAACTGATAAAACCAAGAAAATCTCCAAGAAGCTTTCCTTCCTGAGCTGGGGCACCAACAAGAACAGACAGAAGTCAGCCAGCACCTTGTGCCTCCCGTCGGTCGGGGTTGCCCGGCCTCAGATCAAGAAGAAGCTGCCCTCCCCCTTCAGCCTTCTCAACTCAGACAGTTCTTTGTACTAACATGAGGAAACAAACATGCTCAGGCCCCGAACATTTCCGGTGCTGACTCAGCCTTAAACGTTTGTGCCATAATGGAAAATCTCTCTCTGTTCTCAAATACCTGTTTTTCTCATAGTATAAACTCTCGTTCGATGTGTTTTTATGAAGGAAAGTTACAAGAAACCTCTAGGAATTTGTGAAAAAAGAACTTTTTTTAAGACATGTCGCTGTACTGCTACAAGTTATTTATTATATATTGTAAATAGACTAGTGTCGAAGATATGAAATATGGCTATTTTTAATGGTGACAGTTATGACTTTTGCCACTATTAGAGTTAAATTGGGGTTACCTATATTAGTACAATTTTTAGTTTTTTCTAGGTTTGGCTAATAATCATTCCTTAAACTAGAATTCAAATGACCCTGGAATTAAGGCAGTTCAAAGGATTATAATGATCGAATTGAATTTGTGTCACTAAAAACTGTTCCAAAGTGCTGCTTCCTAGTAGGAATTCATTAACCTAAAACAAGATGTTACTTTTTTTTTGAGACAGAGTCTCGCTCTGTCACCCAGGCTGGAGTGCAATGGTGCGATCTCAGCTCACTGCAACCTCCGCCTCCCAGGTTCAAGTGATTCTCCTGCCTCAGCCTCCTGAGTAGCTAGGACTACAGGCACATGCCACCACAATCGGCTAATTTTTTGTATTTTTAGTAGAGACAGGGTTTCACCAGGTTGGCCAGGATGGTCTCGATCTTCTGACCTCATGATCTGCCTGCCTCGGCCTCCCAAAGTGCTGGGATTACAGGCATGAGCCACCACGCCCGGCCTAAGATGTGACTATTATATCAATGTAATATGAATGCTATTTCTAGAAAAAGTCTAGTGCCAAATTTGTCTTATTATATAAAAACAACCTAGGAGCAGCTTTTCTTCTAGTTGGAGGTCAGTTAAGAATTGCTAACACAGTGGCAGTGTTAGATGAAGACGCTTATCTACAAGGTAGATAATATACTGTTCGATACGCTAAACATTTTTCATTTTTAAAGTAGAAGCTACATAATTAGATATTTTAAGTCTTGGGTAAAAAGGTAGTTTTACATTTTACAAGGTAAAGATGTAAATAATTCAAGTTTAAAGTTCTATTTGACTTTTTTTTGTTTTTGTGTTGGCTTTGTTGCCCAGGCTGAAGTGCAGTGGCGTGATCTTGGCTCACTGCAACCTCTACCCCTTGGGATCAAGCAATTCTCCTGCCTTAGCTTCCTGAGTCACTGGGACTGCAGGTGCCCGCTACCATGCCTGGCTAATTTTTATATTTTTAGTACAGGCAGGGTTTCACCATGTTGGCCAGGCTAGTCCCAAACTTCTGACCTCAAATGATCTACCCACCTCAGCCTCCCAAAGTGCTGGGATTACAGGCATGAGCCACTATGCCCAGCCCTCTATTTTACTTTTTTTTTTTTTGAGACAGAGTTTTGCTCTTGTTGCCCAGTCTGGAGTGCAATGGCAAGATCTTTGTTCACTGCAACTTCCGCCAGGTTCAAGTGATTCTTCTGCCTCAGCCTCCCAAGTAGCTGGGATTACAGGCATGCACCACCGCTTCCGGCTAATTTTGTATTTTTAGTAGAGACAGGGTTTCTCCATATTGGTCAGTCTGGTCTCGAACTCCTGACCTCAGGTGATCCACCCGCCTTGGCCTCCCAAAGTGTTGGGATTACAGGTGTGAGCCACCGCCCCCAGCCCTATTTTACTTTTTAAAATTACATTCCTGCCTATTTTTATCTTGCTATGAGTTGGATGACACCGTGAATCTAATAAGGTTCACTGTTGACACAGTACACGTTACATAGCTAAAATACGTCGTCTAATTTTAAGGATAACTATTTTCTGTTGGGCAATATCTTAAAGGAAGCAACCATCTTTGGGAAAGTGTATCTGCTGCTCTTAGGGCCATGTTTGTATAAATATTTAAATAAACATAGTCATTTGTGTGAGTGAATATTTCCTTTTACTTTTATTTCACTTTCATTCCCTCCTCTTTCAGTTTCTCCTGCTAATGCACAATTTTTGTTTTGTTTTGTTTTGTTTTGTTTTGAGATGGAGTCTTACTCTGTCACCCCGGCTGGAGTGCAACGGTGTGGTCTCGGCTCACCGCAAGCTCCACCTCCCAGGTTCAAGTGATTCTCCTGCCTCAGCCTCCTGAGTAGCTGGGATTACAGGCGTGCACCCACCGTACCCAGCTAATTTTGTACTTTTACACTTGATCTTAGCCAAAAGGCCAAGAAGCGATATTTTGTACTTTTAGTAGAGACGGGGTTTCTACATGCTGTTCAGTCTGGTCTTGAACTCCCAACCTCAGGTGATCTGCCTGCCTTGGCCTCCCAAAACGCTGGAATGACAGGCATGAGCCACTGAGTTTGGCCAATATTTTTAATATATATATATTATTTTGAGGTGGAGTTTCGCTCTTGTTACCCAGGCTGGAGTGCAATGGCGCGATCTCGGCTCACTGCAACCTCCGCCTCCTGGGTTCAAGCAATTCTCCTGCCTCAGCCTCCTGAGTAGCTGGGATTACAGGCACGCGCCACCATGCCCAGCTAATTTTTTTTGTATTTTTAGTAGAGACGGGGTTTCACCATGTTGACCAGGATGGTCTCGATCTTTTGACCTCGTGATCCACCCGCCTTGGCCTCCCAAAGTGCTGGGATTACAGGCTTGAGCCCGGCCTAATGTTTTGATTTTTTTAAATTGCTAACATTACACAAAGCAGAACTTCAAGAGCTTTCAGGTTATCTTAGTATTTTCTACAACAGATGGCATCTTTGTGTTTATTTTTTGGTTTTTGTCTTTTTTTGAACACAGGGTTCTGCTTTGTTGTGTGGGCTGGAGTACAATGCCACAGTCATGGCTCACTGCAGCTTCAACCTCCCAGGCTCAAGCCATCCTCCCACCACAGCCTCCCAAGTAGCTGGGACTACAGGCACGTGCTGTCACGCCTGACTAATTAAAAAAAAAATTTTTTTTATTGCATTTTAGGTTTTGGGGTACATGTGCAGAACGTGCAAAATAGTTGCATAGGTACACACATGGCAGTGTGTTTTGCTGCCTTCCTCCCCTTCACCCACATTTGGCATTTCTCCCCAGGCTATCCCTCCCCAGCTCCCCACCTCCCGCTGCCCCTCCCCTATTCCCCCCAATAGACCCCAGTGTGTAGTACTCCCTTCCCTGTGTCCATGTGTTCTCATTTTTCATCACCTGCCTATGAGTGAGAATATGCGATTAATTTTTAAATTTTTTTGTAGAGATGGGGTCTTGCCATGTTGCCCAGGCTGATCTCGAAATCCTGGGCTCAAGCAATCCTCCCACCTCAGCTTCCCAAAGTGCTGGACTACAGACATGAGCCACTGCACCTGTGTGTATTTTTTTTGAGCTGGTATTTCGCTCTTGTTGCCCAAGCTGCAGTGCAATGGCGTGGTCTTGGCTCACTGCAACCTCTGACTCCACAATAGCTGGGATTATGGGGGCGCACCACCACCCCTGGCTAATTTTTTGTATTTTTAGTAGAAATGGGGTTTCACCATGCTGGCCAGGCTGTTCTCAAACTCCTGACCTCAGGTGATTCACCTGCCTTGGCCTCCCAAAGTGCTGGGATAATAGGTGTGAGCCACTGTGCCCAGCTGCCTGTGTCTATTTTTTGAATGGGCAGTTTGTACCTTTTGATCCCCAGCCCCCGGTTTCCTCACTGGATGCAGCTGCTGCCATCATTTTCTTGAGTCCTCCCACTGTTGGGTCTTACATTTACAAACACATCCTTTTCTGCCTCATGCACATTGAGTTTTCAACTTGATTTTATTTTATTTTAAGACGGAGTTTTGCTCTTGTTACCCAGGCTGGAGTGCAATGGCGTGATCTCGGCTCAGTGGAACCTCCGCCTCCTGGGTTCAGGGAATTCTCCTGCCTCAGCCTCCTGAGTAGCTGGGATTACAGGCACGTGCCACCGTGCCCAGCTAATTTTTTGTATTTTTAGTAGAGACGGGGTCTCACCATGTTGACCAGGATGGTCTCGATCTCTCGACCTCGTGATCCACCCGCCTCGGCCTCCCAAAGTGCTGGGATTACAGGCGTGAGCCACAGCACCCAGCCAAGTTTTCAACTTTAAAGGGAGCTTCTGACTCCATACTTGCTGTGTGCAGAAGACATACAAAGTGATTATAAACAAACTGTGTATCTGCCAGTAAAAGGGCGGGGGGAGGAACGAAGGAAAGAAGTATAGCGGAATTATTTATTTACATTGGAAGGAGCCTCACAGAACAGGTATATGAAGGCCAGACCCAAAGAACTGCAGCTCTGACACCAGGAACAAGGGGCTTAGGACACACAGTGCTTCTTTGTACATCTGTTTTCTTTAGATGGTCACATCCACCACCACAGCTTTTTACTCTTTTTTTCTTTTTTTAATTTTAATTTAATTTAATTAATTAATTAATTAATTAATTTTTGAGACGGAGTTTCGCTTGTTACCCAGGCTGGAGTGCAATGGCGCGACCTTGGCTCACTGCAACTTCCGCCTCCTGGGTTCAGGCAATTCTCCTGCCTCAGCCTCCGGAGTAGCTGGGACTACAGGCACGTGCCACCATGCCCAGCTAATTTTTTGTATCTTTAGTAGAGACGGGGTTTCACCATGTTGACCAGGATGGTCTCGATCTCTTGACCTCGTGATCCACCCGCCTCGGCCTCCCAAAGTGCTGGGATTACAGGCTTGAGCCACCGCGCCCGGCCAATTTTATTTTTTTTAAAGATGGGATTTCACCATTATGGCCAGGCTGGTCTTGAACTCCTGACCTCAGGTGATCCACCCACCTTGGCCTCTCAAAGTGCTAGGATTACAGGCGTGATCCACCGCACCGGGCCCCACCAAAGCTTTTTAGAAGGCACATTCCATGACAGATGCAGGTCAAGGTCACACATTAAAATCAGCTCTAACTCGCTTTTTGCTGAGTATGAGAGTCCCTGACTCTTAGGAAGATCCCACCAGCCCCTTTAATCTTAGAATGAAGGCAGTGCTCTCTGTGGCCCACTAACTTCAAAAGCTGAACTCAGACACCAAGGCAGGACGACCCACAGGCTCCATTCAGGTCACCTCATCTTTCACTAGTTGCTGTGACAGGACATCCTTTTTCCTTTTCTTTTTAAAAAATTTTTAAATTAAACTTAACCTCCAAGTATACCTGTTAAGAAATCCTTTTTCTTGTTTTTTTTTTTTTTTTTTTGAGACAAGGTCTCGCTCTGCTGGAGTGCAGTAGCATGATCTCCACTCACTGCAACCTCCACCCCACAAGTACAAGTGATTCTCCTGCCTCAGCCTCCTAAGTAGCTGGGATTACAGGTGCCCGCCACCATCCCTGGCTAATTTTTGTATTTTTAGTGGAGACAGGGTTTCTCCATATCAGTCAGGCTGGTCTTGAACTCCTGACCTCAGGTGATCCGCCTGCTTCAGCCTCCCAAAGTGCTGAGATTACAGGTGTGAGCCACTGCACCCAGCCCTTTTTCTTGGTTGTTTTTTTTTTGTTTCGTTTTGTTTTTGAGATGACATTTTGTTCTTGTTGCCCAGGCTGGAATACAATGGTGCAATCACCGCCACCTCTGCCTCCTGAGTTCAAGCAATTCTCCTGCCTTGGCCTCCCGAGGATTACAGGTATGTGCCGCCATGTCCAGCTAATTTAGGATTTTTAGTAGTGACGGGGTTTCTCCATGTTGGTCAGGCTGATCTCGAACTCCTGACCTCAGGTGATCTACCCATCTTGGCCTCCCAAAGCGCTGGGATTACAGGCGTGAGCCACCGTGCCAGGACCTTTTCCTTGTTTTCTAAAGCTGAAAACAAGATCCTGATGTTTGTGGTCTGGGGAGACGACGCATGTCCCTGAGGCCAGCCCTCACCTGGGCTGTGTGAAGAAGGCATGGATCTGCTGTGCCACTGCTTGTCCGACCACCTGCTCTAGTTCCCGAATGGAAGCATTACTCAGTTTCTGGATGCTTGGAAACTTCTGGAGCAGAAGGGGAGCTTTAACTTTTCCAACGCCTGGGATCTGCTGCACGGTTCGAAGTAGGGATGGCTCAGACAGCAGCAGGGCCCGTTTCTTCCCCAGAAGAGGGTTCTTACTGGGCTCTTTGATTTGCTCTTGAACCTGAACCGCAAATGAAAGGAACAGCACGTGAGCGCCCTCTGGAGAACTGGTTGTTTACTTAAACTTTGTTTTGTGGAAATTTAGTTTTTCCATTTTGTTGGGCTTGACTTACAGGAACAAATGTTTTCATATGCCATGAATATGATTTCTCAGACATCAGTGAAATTATTAAAAGGTGAACCACACAAAGGAGTAAGACATTAATAATTTACAAAAACATGAGTTTTCAGAACGTTTAGAAAAACACACTGAGGAATTCCAACACTTTCTGATGGTCCACTAAGAAACATTTCAGTTGTGCAGGATTAAATGATGGCTACACCTAAACCAGACCTACGCCACACAGGCCCTGCAGGAAGCCTGCCTCAAAGGAGAAACCTAATCTGCAGTTACCGGTGGCTATACAAAGGCAGACAACAGCATTGGATCAAGCAAAGTAGGAAGCATGACGCAAAGGATATGGTAGAGAGGGATCTGTGAGCCATTTGTGGCTGCTTGCATCTGCAATGTGCCTCTCAACTCCAGCTCCACATCAGAGGGGGAGATTTAAACACACACAAAACAAAAGAAAAACACAACACACACACACAATTGATGTTTGGGTCTTACCCCCATGCTGGGATTAGCGGTGTGAGCCTCTAAACTGATTTTAAAAATAAGTGTTGGCCGGGTGTGGTGGCCCAGCACTTTGGGAGGCTGAGGTGGGTGGATCACATGAGCTCAAGAGTTCGAGACAAGCCTGGCCAACGTGGTGAAACCCCGTCTCTACTAAAAATACAAAAATACAAAAATTATCTGGGTGTGGTGGCAGGCACCTGTAATCCCAGCTACTCGGGAGGCTGAGGCAGGAGAATCGCTTGAACCTGGCAGGCAGAGGTTGCAGTGAGCCAAGATTGCACCACTGCACTCCAGTGGGTGTGCAGACTGGGCAACAGAGCAAGACCTTGTCTGAAAAAAAGGAAAAAAAAAAAAAACCAACTTGCACAGGTGCTAATGCTTAGCAAAAACACATGGGGATGAGACAAAGCAGCTTCTAGTTGGCCTTTTCTTTTTGAGATGGAGTTTCACTCATCACCCAGGCTGGAGTGCAATGGTGCAATCTCCACTCACTGCAACATCTGCCTCCTGGGTTCAAGTGATTCTTCTGTCTCAGCCTTCTGAGCAGCTGGAATTACAGGCGCCCGCCACCACGCCCGGCTAATTTTTGTATTTTTAGTAGAGACTGGGTTTCACCATGCTGGCCAGGCTGGTCTCGAACCCCTGACCTCAAGTGATCTGCCCTCCTCGGCCCCCTAAAGTGCTTGGATTACAGGCGTGAGCCACTGCACCCAGCAATTTTTGTATTTTTAGTAGAGACGGGGTTTTGCCACATTGGCCAGGCTGGTCTCAAACTTCTGGCCTCAAGTGATCTGCCCACCTTGGCCTCCCAAAGTGCTGGGATGACAAACATGAACCACTGTGCTCAGCCTCTAGTTGACATTTTCACCAGCAAAAGGGCAGGTTAATGAGTGATGGAGCTATCACAGCCTGGGAGTCTAAAATCAGGTCTCCAACTTGTGTACTTTGTGATATACTTCCCTAGAGTGTGGGTGGCAAAGAGGTTTTATAAACCAAAGCAGAGAATGACATAGAATGGATACATGATTGCAGCTAGAGGGAGGGCAGTTGAGTGCTTGAGGTCAGGGCTACCGTGAAGGTGTAGGAATCGCTACTCACCAACTGGATGATGAGGCAGGACGCTTCCATCTGGTTGGCCACTGGAAGCAGCACCATTCCAAGGTCCAGCACAGTAAACTTCTGTAAGGCTGGGAAGTATTGTTCACTCATCTGGGTTTTTTCAACAACTACAATTCCTTGAATATTATTGGACTTGAAAGGAAAAAAAGACAGTAAATCATTTTGCAACCAAATTACTTTTTAGGTTAAGAGTGCTATCACTTCCTGCCTGGCCTGGCCAATGACTTTAAATAAATGATACCAAGGAATGGAGGGAAGGGGGGGCAGTGAAGCAAATCAATTTTCAATTTCAGTTTCTTGAATCCAATACTAACAATTCTTTTTGTTTGTTTGTTTTTGTTTTTTGGGTTTTTTTGAGATAGACTCTCACTCTGTTGCCCAGGCTGGAGTGCAGTGGCGGGATCTCGGCTCACTACAGCCCCTGCCTCCCAGGCTCAAACGATTCTCCGGTCTCAGCCTCCTGAGTAGCTGGAATTACAGACGTGCACCACCATACCCAGCTAATTTTTGTATTTTTAGTAGAGACAGTGTTTCACTATGTTGGCCAGGCTGGTCTGGAACTTCTGACCTCAGGTGATCCACCTGCCTTAGCCTCCCAAAGTGCTGGGATTACATGCGTTAGCCACAGCGCCGAGCCTAATACTTACATTTCTAACCCGAACAAGCCTCTTTCTGTAGCCATTTCCTGCCACCAAATCAGCTTCAGTGACATAAAGAATGCAGCATCTGTTCGACAGATAAAAGTCTGGTGTTAAGCCATCCTCGAAAATGAGCTTAATTTTCCCTTAAAAGAGAAGAAAATGAGTTCCGTGAGCTTTGGACGAAAAGATGGCAATCGGCAAATTTTTTTTTTGATGTGTCAGAGAAGGCAAGAGCTGGCAGAGGGCAGCCCACTGACCTTGCATCTCCTGCGCCAGCTGTGACCCGCGCCATTTCTCATTCGCCACAACCTGCCCCAAAGGCACATGCACGGGACCCGTGCCATCAGAGGGGTTCCTTTCCATGGGCAGTCTCTACCTAAGGAGGGAAAAGCCAGGCGGCACTTGAGCAGGCCCTCCCGCACATGGCCCTACATTCCACACCAAGCCGGGGCCTCTGGGGCAGGATCCCGTCTGCAGACTGAATTGTCAAAAAACTGTCAAATAAGATTCTCTTTTTAATTACTAATAAGAAAACACAAAGGTCTTAATGAAGGCCAGAGTGGCTGGAGAGGGGGTGCGTGATGGTGGAGGTGGTAATGGCATTACGTTCTAATAAGGGCAGAGGCACGATCAGAATCCTGGGCTGAGCATGGTAGCTCACGTCTGTAATCCCAGCACTGGGCGTTGATGAGGCGGGAGGATCGCTTGAGTCCAGGAGTTCGAGACCAGCCTGGGCAACACAGCGAAATCCCGTTTGCCAATTATCTGCGGCGAAATAAATTTTCTAAGAACCAGGAGATTCTTGTCCTTGTGTCCGCTTCCTTCATTTTCATCACGTGCCTAGACCCGACACCCCAGCTGGATCTGCACCGTGGCTCCTTAGTCTAGTCCTGGGCCCGGACCGAGGAGGCAGAGACCCCACCGTCCGAGTCTAGAGTCCACATTACCTGCTGCCGCGCCACTTCCGGGTTCACGTCTTCGGTGCTTGCCCAGTCCTTCATCCAGCCCGCCCTCCGCCAACCGCAGCGCCGGATAGGCTGTGATGTCAGAAATGAACGCCTATCCTGACCAATAAGAGAACGAATAGGGCGGACGTTTCCGCTCTGTCGGGGATTTGAACTGGAACCCGCTGGTTGCCAAGAACGACCGGTGTGGCAGTAACCTTACTTCTGATTGGTCAAGGGCCGAGCTTAGCCAATGGCCGACGTGGTTGCTCCAAAGTCCATTGCGAAGAGAAAGCGTGCTGTGGGTCGGGCCTGCGGCGGGCTTTTAGGGAGTGGTCTCAGGCGGTAGAGCGGTCTGCTGATGAGTCCAGCCCCCGGTCCGGCTTCGTCTCGCCGCAAGGATGCTCCTGGGGTTTCGGAGAGGCCGCAGGAGCCAGTTCGTAAGTAGATGTTCGCCCGCCGCGCTCGGGGCTCTGTGGGGCCGAGGATTAAGTGTAAAGGGTTGGGGCGGGTTTGGGGTTTGGCCTGAGATCCAGACAAGGTGGCGGCACAAGAGGAAATGGTTTTCAGTTTAAGAAGCCTTGATTTTTCGTGTTCTAAACTTTTTTTTTTTTTAAGGCAGAGTCTCGCTCTGTTGCCCAGGCTGGAGTACAGTGGCGCAGTCATAGCTCACTGCAGCCTCGAACTCCTGGGCTCCAGCGATCTTCCCACCTCAGCCTCCCGAGTAGCTGGGACTACAGGCGCGCGTCACCACGCCCGCCTAATTGTTCAATTTTTTGTGGAGACGGGGATCTTGCTATGTTGCCCAGCATAGCTCCTCAGCCTCCAAAAGAGTTGATATCACAGGCGTGAGCTACTATGTCCGCCCTTAATATTCTGCCCCAGGGTCGCCCACAGTTGAACAGGAATCACTCTGTATCCCCTGTAGCATTCGTCCCAGTGCCTGGAGTTAACTCCTGGCCGAAGTACATCTGCTGCATGGCTGGATATAGTCATTCTTCATTCCTCTTTCTGCCACCCACCATGTACACCCCATCAGCAAGTCCCGTCTCCTCACGATGTACATCTGCCAGCTGTTCCATCTCCCCCCACATCCGGGCCTCCAGAATCTACCCGGACCGCTGCAGCAGATTCCAGTGGTTTCTCTGCTTTCACCCTCGCCCTTTAACTAGGTTCATCCTCCACATAGCAGCCAAAGGGATTTTTGTATTTATTTATTATTTAATTTATTTTTAGAGACAGGGTCTTGTCCTGATGCCCGGGCTGGAGTGCAGTAGCACGATTATAGCTCACTGCGGCTTCAACCTCCTGGGCTCAAGTGATCCTCCTGCCTCAGCCTCCCCAGTAGTTAGGACTACAGGTGTGCACCACCATGCCTAGCTATTTTTTATTTATTTTATTATTTGCCTCACATTGCCAAGTCTCAATGCCTGGCTAATTTTTAAAATTCTTCTGTAGATGCCAGGCAAGGTGGCTCACGCCTGTAATCCAACACTTTGGGAGGCTGAGGTGGACAGATCATTTGAGGTCAGGAATTCAAGATCAGCCTGGCCAACACGGTGAAACCCCATCCTGCTAAAAATACAAAAATTAGCAAGTGTGGTGGTGGGTGCCTGTAATCCCAGCTACTCAGGAGGTTGAGGTGGGAGAATTACTTAAACCTGAGAGGAAGAGGTTGTAGTGAGCTGAGATTGTGTCACTGCACCCCAGCCTGGGTAACAAAGTGAGACTCTGTCTCAAAAAAATATAAAAATAATTACTGTGTGTGTGGTAGAAATGGGGTCTCACTGTGCTGCCCAGGCCGGTCTTAAGCCTTGACTCAAGCAATCCTCTCACCTTAGCCTCCAAGAGTGTTGGGATTACAGTGTGAGCCACAGCACCTGGCCTGAGTTTTCATTCAAAACAGTAAACATTAATGAGTGCCTGCTGTGTGCTGATACCCACAACTGATTGACAGCTTATGGCCACATGGTTTGGGGGATAGACAAGCCCATAAATAATTCTGTACCAAATGGTAAAACAAGAACTGCTGTTGACGTGTGTACCAGAAAGGCAGCGACGCCAACAGTTGAGTGGAGAGTTGGCCTGGGCCTGGCAGAGAGTAAGGAAAGAGTTCTGAGTACAGAAGACAGCAAATACCAAGGCCTGAAAAAGAGTGAATTAGTTGCTGTTTGGGAAATGGAAGGCGAGGCTGAGTACTGAAGTACACAGACTCTGCCCAGGAAGAGCAGGGGAAGCAGGAAATGAATTTGAGTCCTTGTGATGGCAGGGGCTGCACACTCCATGCAGCCAGTGGAAGCCCCGCCCCTTGTGAACTGCTGCAGACCCAAGCCTCCTGTTCTAAGGAGCAGGCAGGAGCCCCACCCTCCTGGCGGGGGCTACAGCCACCCAAACTGCAGTTGTGGATCCCAGCCTCCTGTGCTCTTGGGGGAGCCGAGAACAGGCAGGATCTGTCCTCCCAGGTGCAGGTGTAGCTGCAGCTGTGGGGCCTGAAGCTGCAGGCAAGAACCACGAACAGGTGGGAGCCCTGCCCCTTCCAAGTTGGTGGGTGGGAGTTCCCAGGTGCAGCTGTGGCTGCCCTCCCAGGCACAGGACCGGGGCGTCTCTGTAGCCTACACTGTCGGGCATCCCAGGAAGGACAATTCCTCCATCCCCCATCCCTGCAGGCTCAGGAATGTCTGCTCCCACAACCTGGCCTCTCTCCACTCTGGCCACCTGCTCTGATCTTGGAGGGGGATTGGAGCCAAGCCCTGGGGTCATGAATGGCAGAGGAGAAAGGGGACAGAGTCCCCAGCAAGGCCCCACCCTCAGGCTAGGGAGGGCCTAAAGGCTGGGCTGCCAGTCCCCTGGAATAGAAACTCATGGAGCCTCTTCGGGGCCTGCCAATGGCTGCCCATGGACCAGTCAGCATGCACTTCCTCTCCTCTGAGGTCCATAAAAACCCTGGGCTCAGCCAGAGCAGGGCAAAGGACGCCAAAGGACAAAGAGGGCAGACAGACCAGGGGACAGGATGACCAGCTGCAGAGAGGAGAACCTTCTCTGCTGAGAGCTGCAGAGACCACCTGCCAGCAGAGAGGAGCTACCCTCTCTGCTGAGAGCTTTAGAGACCTGCAGAGACATTGGAATGGCTTTTGCCTGTGGAGAGCAGCCACCCTCTCCATGGCCTCCTCTCTGCTGGATAAACGCTTGAGCTCATGAGACAGTCTGCTTACAGAGGGGAGCTACTCACTCCTCTGAGCTGGTCTCAGACTAAATAAAACTCTTCTAGACACTTCTGAGGTCTGCGTACTTCATTCTTTCTTCCTGGACACAGGACAAGAACTTGGGCAAAGGCACTGTGGCCACAGGGATTCCGGCCAGAAAAATTGACACGCCAGAGATCCTTTAACACTTGATAGGAACCAAGTTATATCAGCCCGAGTATGCCGTGCTGGACATGTGCCTGCTGTTGAGAGAGTGGGGCTGCCTCTGAGGGTTTTTCTGCCTGGTAGAGACATGATTGGCGAGGGGACCAGAGTTCGGAAATGACTGTGATGGGGTGAGACATGTTTAGTGTGCAATGGGGGATTCACTCTTTCAAAGAGAAACAAGAATAAATCTTAGGCAGCTCTTTTGGAGGACACTACTGGACGCCAGCCCCTGTGATTCAAAGGTTAAGAAAACCTTTTCTGGCCAGGCATGGTGATTCTCACCTGTAATCCCAGCACTTTGGGAGGCTGAGGCATGTGGATTGTCTGAGGCAGGAGTTCGAGACCACTGTGGCCAACATGGTGAAACCCTGTCTCTACCAAAATACAAAATTTAGCTAGACATGGTGGCATATGCCTGTAGTCCTAGCTACTTGGGAGGCTGAGGCAGAAGAATAGCTTGAACCCAGGCGGTCGAGGTTGCAGTGAGCCGAAATCATGCCACAGTGAGCTGAGATCATGCCACCGCACTCCAGCCTGGGGAACAGACAGGACTCTGTCTCTAAAACAAGCAAACAAACAAAAACCCTTTTTTATCATGCAGCAGGTGGGGGGGGGGGCGAGGAGGAAACAGACATGGAGACACTGTTGAATCCCTTGACAGATGCAGGGTGGTGGGCACCACTCAGAGAGGTAAACAGAGTGGGGGTATTGGGTAGAGACTGCTTGGAGCATCTGCTCCTGTGGGTGGCTGTGCAAGTGGGGGGTAGGGGCTGTAAGAGATGACTGGAAGGCCTGCCCATCCCTCACTCCTGAGAGATGCCCCCATGCTGTGCCACACTTCCCAGCCTTGTGTCTCTTGCCAACCACTCCCTAACTTTCCTGGGGCCACTGTCAGTGAGTGCTCCTCACTAGGCCCTGGGATCTCCTCTGTCTGCTCTGAAAGCCCTTCCAGTGGGAATTGTCCCCACCTACGCCCCCACCCCACACTCGCAGATGCCTCTGTACTCCAGCAAAACAGAGAACCATAAGAGCACTGCAACCAATGTCTTGCTCCGTTCCTTTGTTCATGCTGTTCCCACTTCCTAGAATGCTGTTCCATAGTGTTTCCAAATGTGGGATCATTGGGCATCTTTGAAAGCCCAGTCTAAATGCCTGTGTGCTTTTCTCGAAGGAAAGCGTTTGAAAGTTCCCAGGCTGGCCCTAGACCTGGAGGAGTGCTTCCCTGCCCGCACCACCCCAGCACTTTGTGCTAATTACTGGCTCCAAACAGAAAATGATAGTGTTTTTCTCCCACATCTCACTGAGGCTCTTTTTATTTTTTTCATTTTTAGTGAGAGAGCCTTTCTCCCAGCTCATTCCATAATTCTGTGTTCTATAATAACTGCTTGGGGATGAGGACAGGGTGTCTTCATTGCTGACATGGTGTTCTGCCTCTAGTAGGTGGGAATGAATGGTTCCTGCCAAGAAAATGGTTGGACTAGACCCAGAAACTTCTCAGAGACTCCCAGTTACCTAAAGTGGGGTTCTCTGACTTTCATTGTATGTAGGAGCTAGTTTTCATTACTCATCCTGGAGATAAGCCACATAAAATCTTATATTAAGCCCCTTTGAGGTGTGAGGCAGTGTGCTCTAGGATTGATAAAGATAAGAGAGTTGGCCAGGTGCGGTGCCTAATGCCTGTGATCCCAACACTTTGGGAGGCTGAGGTGGAAGGATCACTTGAAGCCAGGAGTTCGAGACCAGCCTGGGTAACATAGTGAGATCTCATCTCTACAAAAAATACAAAAATTAGGTAGGCATAGTGGTGAGCATCTGTAGTCCCATATACTTGCACAGCTGAGGCGGGAGGATTGCTTAAGGCGGGAGTTTGAGGCCGCAGTGAGCTATGATTGTACCGCTGCACTCCACTCTGAGCAACAGAGCAAGACCCCGTCTCAAAAACAAAGCAAATAAAGATAAGGAAGTCCCCTGTTTCTCAGGAAGTCACCCTGCTCTGCAGGCGGAGTCACATGAGACATCACTGGGGGCAGTGCTGTGGGACATGTGGGAGAGCTAGAGGGTGACTCTTGGGGACAGCCAGGGAAGCTCTGAGGAGGGAAGGACAAGAAGGTTCCACAATGAGCAGCTGTCATGGTGCTCCCTGGCTGTGTGCACTTGTCTGGCCTGATGGGGACGTGATGGCAGGGAGGAGTGGGCTTCTGATGGGTTTGGATCCATGGGTGGCCAATGCAGGTGTTCCCTTGCAGGCCCAGGGGAGGGGGTTGGTGACAAGACTCAGGTGATCCAGTGACCCAACCTAGTGACTTCTGTTGCATTTCATTTGTGCAGAAACACATCATCCATGGCCTTTTACCTGCAGCCAGCATTGCTCCGAAGGCAGCTGTGCCCCGCACACCTCCTCCCCGCAGCCCCAACCCGTCCCCAGAGAGACCAAGGTGAGTCTTACATGAGCAGGCACCGAAGTCACCCCTGTGCTCGGCCTGCAAGTACTGGATCCTGGAACTACTCAAACTGCCCAGAAAATTACTAGTAGGGTGGTTAGAGTCATGTCCTTCAAAATGTTTACCACGATTCCATAATGACGCACTGAAGATGGTGTCTCTGAGGATAATAGACTGACTTGAGGTCTATCCCTTTCAGGTGCATGAAGTTCTCACATTTCATGGTTGAATGTGATGAGTATTTAAAAAAAAAAATAGCATTAATGCCCAAGTATGAGGTTAACAAGGAATTTTGAATTATACACATAATTTTCTTTTTTTTTTTCCTGAGCTGGAGTCTTGCTCTGTCACCCAGGTTGGGGTGCAGTGGTATGATTTCGGCTCACTGCAACCTCCACCTCCCCTAGCAATTCTCCTGCCTCAGCCTCCCGAGTAGTTGGAATTACAGGCAGAAGCCATCACACCCAGCTAATTTTTGTATTTTTAGTAGAGATGAAGTTTTGTCACGTTGGCCAGGATGGTCTCGAACTTCTGGCCTTAAGTGATCCACCTGCCTCAGCGTTCCAGATTGCTGGGATTACAGGTGTGAGACACCATGCCTGACCTTATTTTGCATTTCTCTAATAGCTAATGGTATTGAGTATCTTTTCATGTGTTTGTCAGCTTCGCATGTTTTTGTCAGTGAAGCATCTGTTCACATCCTTTGCCCATTTACAAATTTGGGCATTCCTTGTTGATCACAAGTCCTGTTGCAGATCTAAGAACCATCTTGGGAAGGCTGTTGGACACAGGAACATGTTCAGTTGGAGACAATGACATTTTTCAACAAGGAGATGTAAGCAGAGACCTGGGTGAAGACTGGGGGCTTCCTGGAGACATCACAGCCCGAGCTTTTTTTGTTTTCCATGATTGCATTCTGAGGGTTTGTTATCTAGTATGAATACAAGTCTTTTACCAAATAGGGGATTGCTAGTCTTTTCTCTGTATCTGTGGCTTGTCTTTTCATTCTCTTAACCAGTGCCTTTCAAACAGCAGAAGTTCTTAATTTTTATGAAGTCCAGCTTACAATTTTTTCTTTTATGGATCATGCTTTCAGTATCTCATGTTGAAAAAAAATCTTTATGTAACCTAAGGTCACAAAGGTGTTCTCTTATATTTTCTTCTAGAAGTGTTATGGTTTTAGGCTTTACATTTAGATCTCTAATCTATTTCCAGTTAATTTTTATAAATGGTATGTGTATTAGTCCATTCTCACACTGCTATAAAGATACCTGAGACAGGGTAATTTATAAGCAAAGGAGATTTAATTGACTCACAGTTCTGCATGGCTGAGGAGTCCTCAGGGAACATGGCGGAAGGGAAGCAGGCACGTCTTACATGGTGGCAGGTGAGAGACAGCGAGCGCTTGAGAGCTGAGAAGAAACTACCATTTATAAAACCATCAGTTCTTGTGAGAATTCACCCCCATCACAAGAACAGAATGGGAGAAACTGCCCCCATAGTTCAGTCACTTCCTTCCTTCAACACTTGGGGATTACAATTCGAGATGAGATTTGGGTAGGGGCACAGAACCAAACCGTATCAGTGTGTAAGGTATAGATCCATGGGCTTTTTTTGGCATATGGAGATTTGATTTTTCCAGCACCATTTGATGATAAGGCTATTAGTTATTTATTGCTGTGTAACAATTACACCAAAATGTAGTGATTTAAAACAAAACAGCAGCCAGGCGTGGTGGCTTATGCCTGTAAACCCAACACTTTGGGAGCCTGAGGCAGGAGGATTACTTGAGCCCAGGAGTTCCAGACCAGTCTGGAGAACATAGCGAGACCCCATCTCTACAAAAAATATAAAAATTAGCCAGATGTGGTGACATGTGCATAGTCCCAGCTGTTCAAGAGGCTGAGGTGGGAGGATCACTTGAGCCCAGGAGGTTGAGGCTATGCTGAGCTGTGACCACGCCACTGCACTCCAGCCTGGGCAACAGAGCGAGATCTCAACCCCCACCTCCCATACCCAAAATATAAAAAACAGTGTTTTTTTAATCCTGTATCTCACTGATCCTCTTAAAAACTTTTTTTTCCATCTCCATTTTATTTTGGTAATTTTCTGTGTCTTTGCCTTTAATTTTACTGATCTTCTGCAATACATAATCGGTTAATTGCATCCAGGATACTTTCTGTCTCTGATGCTGTCATTTTTATCTCATGAAGTTGGAATTTTTTACAATTGTCCATGTCTTTCTCGGCGTTTTGAACGTAAGAAATACAGCTGTAACAACTATCCGAATGCTTTTTCTGCCAGTTCTACATATGTGTTCAGTTCTTAGTGGGTTTCAGTTGATGGTTGCCTTCTTTTCAGATGATGGTTTGCTGTCTCTTCACCTACCTGCTTATCTAAGTGAATACAAGATCTTGTTGTGAATTTTACCTTGAGTGCTGGGTATTTTTGTATTCCCAAAAACGTCTTGACCTTTGTTGCGGGATGCAGTTCAATTCCTTGGAAACAGTTAGATCTTTCAGGTTTTTCCTGTATGATTAGTTAGGTGGGGCGTGGAGCTGTGTGCAGCCCGGTCTAATTGTTCCCCAGCACCAGGGCCAGACCTTTCTGAGTGCTGCACCCAGCGTCTCGTGAATGATAGGTTTCTCCAGTCTGCCCGGTGGGAGCAGCTGCTGTCCTGGGCTGTGTGTAAGCACCTGGCACTGCTCCTCTGATCCTGGTGGACGGTTCCTCCTCCACTGTCGGGTGATTTCCTCACACTTGTGTGCCGTGCAGTATTCCGCTGAAACTGGGTGACCTCCTCCAGATCTCCCGGTTCTCTCTGCAGTTCTCTCCTCTCCAGCACTCTCTGCTGCAGATTTCCCTGCCTTGGTGTCCCCGACTCTCAGCTCCGTCTCTACAACTCAGGGGGGCTGCCTGGCTCCTTCTGCTCCTCCTCCCTGTGCTGTGATTTGGATGTTTTCCTAGGCAGCGAGCAGGGGTCTTTTGTTTTGTTTTACTTTTTTAGGCAGAGCAAAATCCGTTGACTCTAACTTACCTGTGAAATATTCCTGAGTAATTTGCAAGCATTTTTAAAGTCCGTTTTAAATCTTTTATGTCTTTCTAGCTCTCTTTTTTTCCCATTCTGATCTTCCATTCTACTAAGGAAACTACTTGAATGCAGGCTTTTGGCTCTGCCTTGGTAAGAGGCCTGGTTCTACCTCCTTTTGGCTAGGAAATCTTTACAAGTAATTTAATTTCTATGGAAAATGGGATGGCAATAATATGTAGTCATGTAGTTGTGTGAGAATCTAAGTGAATACAAGATCTTGTTGTGAATTTTACCTTGAGTGCTGGGTATTTTTGTATTCCCAAAAACGTCTTGACCTTTGTTGCGGGATGCAGTTCAATTCCTTGGAAACAGTTAGATCTTTACAAGTAATTTAATTTCTATGGGAATGAGATTGTTTGATGGCCCGCGGTAGACGATGGGTGCAGGGTAAGTGCTCAGTCGACACTGTCCAGCAGAAGGTAAGCCTGCGTGTATCTTGTTCAGCCTTCACCTGGAGTGTTCGTGTCTCACCGTCTCTGTGGGATGTTTTTGTCCACAGATCTGCCCTGGCAGCAGCCATTTTGGCGACAACATTGACTGGGCGGACGGTTGCCATTCCTCAGCCTCGCCGGAGATCCCGGTCTGAGAGTGACGTGAGCAGTGTTGAACAGGACAACTTCATCGAGCCCTACGCCACCACCTCAGAGCTAAGGCCTCGGTGGGGACCAGATCACCGGCTCTGCTTCCTCTCAGGGTGGAAGAGGGGCAGCTCAGCCTGGTCCCTACATGTGTGTGTGCTTATGTACATGTGTGTGCGTATATACCTGTGCGGGTGGATGGGTGCATGGGTGCTCACGTATTTATGACTAGTCTTAATTCCTGGGTTTTTATCACCAATGTCAAATGGACACTGTCCAGCAACTTAATTGCTCTGGGGTCTGTTCTAACAAGAGTCAATCTTACAAGAGTGGTTCTTGTTACATTTGACTTGTATGGGTCCTGGCCATTTTCATAGCGGCACAGAGCTAATGAATTCAGCATTGCTTCCAGCCCTTTGTAAGTTTCTTCATGCAGCAACCTGAACACTGAGAGTGGACCCTCCTCACCTCTCTTGTGTATCTCTGGACATTCACAGTAATTTGACCTTCTTGGCAGTTGTGGTTAAGCCTTTTTCTTCATCATCTTCTCCTTTGTTGCTTGTCCTGTGTTTGAGCTGACACAGGACTGGGGGTGAGGAAGATTTCCTCCTAAGGAAGAGAGGGTTGAGGGGAGAGCTTAGGATGTACAGGAATCATCTAGAAACAGCTTAAGGCAGGCAGATCACCTGAGGTCAGGAGTTTGAGACCAGCTTGGTCAACATGGTGAAACCCCATTTCTACTAAAAATACAAAACTTAGCCAGGCATGGTCACATGCACCTGTAATCCCAGCTATTCAGGAAGCTGAGGCAGGAGAATCACTTGAGCCTGGGAGGTGGAGGTTGCAGTGGGCCAAGATTGCACCACTGCACTCCAGCCTGGGTGAGAGTGAGACTCCATCTCAATAATAATAATAATAACAGGCTGGGCCCAGTGGCTCATGCCTGTAATCCTAGCACTTTAGGAGGCTGAGGTGGGCAGATCACTAGAGCCAAGGAGTTTGAGACCAGCCTGGACAACATGGTGAAACCCTGTCTCTACAAAAAATATAAAAATTAGCTGGGCATGGTTAGTTCCAGCTTCTTTGGAGGCTGAGGTAGGAGGATCACCTGAGCCCAGGGAGGTTGAGGCTGCAGTGAACTGTGATTGCACCACTGCACTCTAGCCTGGGAGACAGAGTGAGATCCTATTTCAAAAAAGAAAAGCTTCTTATTTATAACAAGGCAAATTGTATATGTATGCAGTAACTCTAAAAACAGAAACTAGAAGGGTATGCTGAGTGTACAAAGGGATGTATGGTGGAAAATGTCATATTTTAGCTTCTGTGTCCTTTGTACATATTTATGGTAAGGACTTGGAGGCAGTGCATTTAATACGTGTATATATCAATGTCAAGTGTTCAGTGGTTTTTTTCTTTGTTTTCTTTGTGAATGTTCTAATACAGACCAAATTGGCAGAATGAAATGGGAAGAAGATCTTCTTTGCCATCCTTTGAAACGCTGGACTATGGGGAAGAAGAGGACACTGAAACTCAGCTCTCATCCAGCTGCAAGGAGTTGGGATATGTCAGTGCCCAGAAGGATGAAGGAGGCCGTGGTGATGACGTGTATGCTGTGCCACACAGAAATCAGGTGCTTTCCACGTTCCCGGCTTTCTTCTTGACTCTCACCCTGACATTAAGTTTTGGTAAATTAGGGCATTGCTAAGGATTTCTTCTCGCTATTCCACATTTGATAGCATTTGCTTTGGGGCTTATTTATTTATTTATTTTTTTGAGACAGAGTTTCGCTCTTGTTACCCAGGATGGAGTGCAATGGCGCCATCTTGGCTCACCACAACCTCCACCTCCTGGGTTCAGGCAATTCTGCCTCTGCCTCCTGAGTAGCTGGGATTACAGGTATGCGCCACCATGCCCAGCTAATTTTTTTGTATTTTTAGTAGAGACGGGGTTTCACCTTGTTGACCAGGATGGTCTCGATCTCTTGACCTCGTGATCCACCCGCCTCGGCCTCCCAAAGAGCTGGGATTACAGGCATGAGCCACTGCGCCCAGCTGGGGCTTATTTTTTAAATGTGTCCAGCCTCATTTCTCTCTGGTTAGATTAAAACATAAACTTTTTTATCCTGCAAAAACGAAGATGAACATCTTTATATTCTTAATGTGGACTTCCATTCAAAGCTTAGCAATCTCGCTCTTTTCTTCCACCTTGGAAGCTAAATTTCCTGTCACTTTTTGGTATTATTTTGCAAACTACATCCTTTCTTTCAATTTGTGCCTGACGGGGAATATTGCCATGCGTCTCTCAAGGGGAGATGACATACCTGTGCGCGCCTCTGTTTCTTACTCCTGTGTGCCTTGATCTTAGCTGACTCGGTGAGGAATTCCCTCCATTGCCCTGTCACTCATCAGGGAACCACACAGAGAGATTCAGGGAAACACACTTCTCCGCTGCCAGGTGCTCTGCAAATTCCGATTTTTAAACTGCTCCCAGGGTTTTGGAAACTAGATGATGACATTTCTTTAATGGCAAGATAGAGCATCATTTCTCTTTTTCCTTTATCTTTTTTAATTTTTTTTTTGAGGCAGGGTCTTACTCAGTCCCCCAGGCTGGAGTACAGTGGCACAATTTTGGCTCACTGCAGCCTCAACCTCCTGGGCTCCCACCTCAGCCTCCCAAGTAGCTGGGGCTATAGACACGCACCACCATGCCTGGCTAATTTTTGTATTTTTTGTAGAAACAGGGTTTCCCCATGTTGCCCAGGCTGGTCTTGAACTCCTGACCTCAAGTGACCCACCTGCCTCAGCCTTTCAAAGCACCGGGATTATAGGGGTGAGCCACCATACTCAGCCCCTTGTCTTTTTTCACCATCATTATAATGTGTTATTCATAGTGTCTATACATATAGACTGGCAGCATTAAGCTACATCATGATTGATTATATGCATATTGATTAGCCTCTACTACATTAAAATACTTTTTAAAAAAAATCGAGATGGGGTCTCACTGTCTCCAGGCTGGAGTGCAATGGCACGATCATAGCTCACTATAACCACCCCTTCCTGGGCTCAAGCAGTTCTCCCACCTCAGCCTCCTGAGTACGGGGGGCTACAGGCATGTGGTACCGTACCTGGCCTTTTTTTTTTCTCTAAAGGGACAGGGTCTTGCTATGTTAGCCAGACTGGTCTTAATCTCCTGGGCTTAAGCAGTCCTCTTGCCTCAGCCTCCCAGAGTGTTGAGATTACAGGCATAAGCCAACACACCAGGCCCTAAAATACATTTTAAATGGTCTTAGGGAGCTTATTTTGAGGGATCCTTCTGTGGTTGTTTCATGAACTCACCATCATTTTCCAGCATATACACACTTTCACATGTAGAATTAGGTTTCTCATAGCAAGGAGCTCTGGAATAGGCAGACACTGCCTAGAGCCCCAAGGAGGGAGGTGCTAGGCCTGGCTCTCCCGGGCTCAGAGTCGGGCCCACTGCTCCTACCTGTACACTTGCCGGCTGGTTATTTTTCACCGATGCTACAGATAGAGTTCTATCACTCCACTTTTCTAGAGAGAAAGTTTGCTACTGTATTTTCCTTGGAAGAAAGCGATACAGTGACCTGCAGAGACTCTTTCCTTGTTAGAAGGACAAATATTTTGTTTTTTTTTTAAGGCATGTCTGTTAGGGTGGCTCTAGGAGCCATGTGTAGTAGGAAAATTTTTAAATGTGAAAAGTAGAAAATAATAAATAATACAGTGTTACTAATAGGGTTGATGTTACCTTTTCTCCCAACCCCACTTGGAAACGCATCTTTTCTTGGATTTGGGGTGCATGCTGAAAGTTTGTGTTTTTATTCTTTTACTGCAAGTTTAAGTAAACAACTTTAGTACTGTTGTATTATAGTTTTGTTTGTTTGTTTTGAGACAGAGTCTTGCTCTGTCACCCAGGCTGGAGTGCAGTGGTGCAATCTTGGTTCACTGCAACCTCTGCCTCTGGGTTCAAGTGATTCTCTTGCCTCACCTCCCAAGTAGCTGGAACTATAGGCACCCACCACCATGCCCAGCAAATGTTTGTATTTTTAGTAGTGATGGGGTTTCACCGTGTTGGTCAGGCTGGTCTCAAACTTCTGACCTCAGGTGAACCTCCCAAAGTGTTGAGATTACTGGCGTGTGAGCCATTGTGTCCAGCCAAGCCTTTTAAAGTATATTTATAGAAAGCATCACAAATTCTTTACAAAGGTATGTTTTTAGCAGACTTATTTATTGATATATAAAATATGCACAAGAGGTGAATAAATCATGTGTACATTTCAATAAGTTTTCAAAAACTAGCCACCACTCAGACTAAGAAAAAAATTGCTCATACCCTAGAAATCCCCCTTCTTCTTAGTCACTATTTCCCATAGAGTTAACCATTGCCAAGATTAGCTTTTGTCTTTAAAAATAACCTGAGATTGGCTTTGTCTGTTCTGAAAATTTACATGAATTTAATTGAACGGTATGCACTGTTTGGAGTTTTGGAGTCCTCAGTTACTGTACGCAGCAGGGGCTGGTTCATTCTCATTTCTGTATATTTTATTGTACAACTGTGCCACTCAGTTGTTTGTTTTACTGATGACAGAGACTTGATTGTTTCCAGTTTGGGATCTTAGGAATAGTGCTGCTGTGGACATTTGGGGAGTGTCCCTTGATGTACATATTGGTGTATTTCGGGTGAGTGTACACTGAGGAATGGTATGTGTATGGTCATAGGGCATATGTACCATCAGCTTTAGGTTGACAGTAGATACTGTCGATCAGTTGTCCATATTGGGCATCTTCCTGATGCTTCTTAAATCACCTTTATCCATTTCACATTTCCTGGAGAATAGTGAGTCGCTTGGTATATTTTTGACAGTTTGAACAGGCAGTTTACTCCTGGGAGATAAAAAAGCTTGAGGTTAGCTGTGCACAGTGGCTCATGCCTGTAATCTCAGCACTTTGGGAGGTGGAGGTGGGAGGCCACCATTTGAGGACAGGAGTTTAAGACTGGCCTGGATACCATAGTGAGACCCCGTCTCTATCTAAAAAAAAAAAAAAAAAAGTATCGGTCCATTTACTTTTTCTTTCTTCAAACGATGAGTAGCTTGGGAGACCTGTCTGCTCCTCCGGAGCCAGGTCACCTTGGAATTGTGTCCACAGAGGCAGGTGGACCTAGCAGCCTTAGGTCTTACTGTAAAATGCCCCTTCTCAAGGGTGTCTTGCTGTTCCCTTCCACCACCTCCTTGTCAGTCCCAGGGACAGCCTTTCCATTGCCTGCAGTACAGCCCTGCTAAGCCAAGTTAATCACAAAAGGAAGATTTTACTGAAGAATCAGGAGAGTTGAAGGGCAGCCCACCCAGATAGCTCCAGTCACAGTTTACCACATAGCACTTGCTTCAGGCCAGGTGTGGTGGCTCATGCCTGTAATCCCAGCCCTTTGGGAGGCCAAGGCAGGAGGATTGCTTGAGGCCAGAAGTTTAAGACCAGCCTGTTGAACATAGCAAGACCCTATCTCTACAAAACATTTAAAAATTAGCTGCATATGGTGGTCCTAGCTATTTGGGAGGCTGAGGTGGAGGATTGGCTGAGCCTAGGAGGTAGAGGCTGCTGTGAGCCATGATTGTGTCATTGCACTCCAGCCTGGGTGACAGAGTGAGACCATGTGTTAAAAAAAAGAGACCTGCTTCACTGTTCTTTTTCTTCCTCTTAGGCAACCCCTGTCCCTACCCCCAAGTTCCTGCCAATGGAAATGTCTCCTCCTCATCAGCGGCAGGTCCCATTCCTGGCCCATGGGCCTCTCTAAAGGACAACTCTTTGGCCCTGCCATGTTGGGATGAAACAAAATGTCAGTTGCTCCTATATAGCTAACATGAATGGTTACCTATATATGAGCTACTCTCGGACAGTAGAGGGGAGTCCATCAGTAAATGAAGTTTACAGTGGACTTACATAATTGGTGAACATTGCAGGCTTTGATGAGAGTCCTCCCAGGGTAGGTCAGCAGTTCTTGTCCCGCATAAGAATTACTAACATGGGCCGGGCGCTGTGCTCATGCCTCTAATCCCAGCACCTTGGGGAGGCTGAGGCAGGAGGATCACATGGGCCCAGGAATTTGAGACCAACCTGGGCAACATAAGGAGTCCTTGTCTCTACCAAAAATAAAAATAAATTAGCTGGCTGTGGTGTTGCAGGCCTGTGGTCCCAGCTACTCTGGAGGCTGAGGTGGGAGGATAGCTTGCACCTGGGAGCTCAAGGCTGCAGTGAGCTGTGATCACACCACTGCACCCTAGCTTATCTCAAAGGGATGGGGGAAACTAGTAACATGGGGTCAGTACCAGGGTGGCGTGGTATCGGGTGGTTCCTGGCAGGGATGAGGAAGGGAAGCTGTCCTGGCAACATGGCTGGTATGTGGAGCTCTCAGTTGCCTTAGCATAACTTGAATGATGTTGCCTTTGCCCCCTAAGCTTTTCCTGAGGGCCTGGAAGTGTCATCCAGCCCCACCTGATGTAGCCCTTTTGTGTGTCACTAAGGAAAGCAGCTGAAGTGCCCATGGAGGGAACTCCCAGTGGGGAAGGTGTGAAAGATGTTGGAACCTGTTAGGAGACATGCTATATGTATAGGTTACCTTTCTCACTTCTTTGGTCCTTTGTCTTTTATAACAAAAAGGTGCCATTGTTACATGGGGTGGACAGTGAAGATGATGAAAGTATTTCCGATCAAGATGGGTTTCCAGGCTCACCTCCTGCACCACAGCTGACACAACAAAAAGGTAAAAAAAGAAAAAGCCACACTTTTTATAAAATATAAGAACATTTTTTCCTAATGAATATTGCTTATTTTTAGAAAAACATACCCATTGCCCCTTCATGCTTTAGCTCTCTGATTTTAACTAGGAATATACTTGAAATTTATTTTTTATTAAAAATGAAGGTATGGGCATGGTGGCTCATGCCCATAATCCCAGCACTTTGGGAGGCTGAGGCGGGCAGATCACGAGGTCAGGAGATTGAGACCATGGTGAAACCCTGTCTCTACTAAAAAATACAAAAATTAGATGGGCGTGGTGGTGCACGCCTGTGGTCCCAGCTACTCGGGAGGCTGAGGCAGGAGAATTCCTTGAACCCGGGAGGCGGAGGTTGCAGTGAGCTGAGATTGCGCCACTGCACTCCAGCCTGGTGCCTGATGACAGAGCAAGACTCTGTCTCAAAGAAAAAAAAAAAGAAGCCTGGGCAACACAGGGAGACCTTGTCTTAAAAAGTAAAAATAAAAACATTAGTCAGGCAAGGTGGTACACGCCTGTAGTCCCAGCTACTTAGGAGGGTTAGGTGGGAGGATCACTTAAATCCAAAATGGAGCTGTGATTGCACCATTGCGCTCCAGCCTGGGTGATAGAATGAGATCTTGTCTCCAGAAAACAAGGCTGGGTGTGGTGGCTCACACCTATAATCCCAGCACTTTGGGAGTCCAAGGCAGGTAGATCTCTTGAGTTTAATGAAGAGTTTGCGGCCAGCTTGGGCAACATAGTGAGACTCCGTCTCTACAAAAAATGGACATCTCATTTCTACCAGAATACAAAAAAGTAGCCGACGTGCTGGCGTGTGCCTGTGGTCCTAGGTACTCAGGAGGCTGAGGTGGGAAGATCACTTGAGTCCTTGAGGCAGAGGCTGCAGTGAGCTGAGATTGTGCCGTTGTACTCCAGCCTTAGTGACAGAGTGAAACCCCATCTCAAAAAGAAAAGAAAACAAGTTATTCCACAGTTGATTGCTCCTGGATATTAGGTCATTTTTAAAGTACAAGGTGCTGGGTTTTTTTTTTTTTTTTTTTTTTTTTTTTTTGCTGTGTTAGCCAGGCTGGTCTTGAACTCCTGGGCTTAAGCAATAGAGATAGGGATAGAGATAGGGTCTCCCTAGTCCCAGTGCCTGGGGAAAGACCTGGCCCACAGTGGCCCATCAGGAAAAGTCTGTTGGGTGAATGAGTGCATGGTCATGTATCATTTGATTTATCATGATGAGAGAATTCAACATGTTACAGTAAAAGGTAGGGAAATGTTTTCAGTTTCCACATTTTAGAAGTGATGAGAGCCAGGCGTCAAGTGGACAACCAACAGCTGCGTTATCAGCAGCCCCAGAGTTTCTCCGGCTCAGGGAAACGTTTATGTAAATCATTTCTCAAGGAAAAGAGAATGTCAGCCTCAGAATCCTGGGGCCAGAAAACACCTGTTGGTCAGTTGGCATAATTTTTAAATAGTAGAGTGATGTAACAAGTGCAACTCTTTTTAAATTACAAAAGTAATACCATCTCATTGTAAAAAAAAATACACAAATATGTAAAGTGCATTAGTCTGTTGTCAAGCTGCTGATAAAGATGTATGCAAGACTTATAAAGAGGTTTAATGGATTCACGGTTCCGCGTGGCTGGGGAGGCCTCACAATCATGGCAGAAGGTGAAAGACATCTCTCTTGGCAGCAGAGAAGAGAGGATGAGGACCAAAAGAAAGGGGTTTCCCCTTATAAAACCATCAGATCTCGTGAGACTTATTCGCTATCGTAAGAGCAGTATGGGGGAAACCACCCCCATGATTCAGTTGTCTCCCACCAGGAGACAATATGTAGCAATTATGGGAGCTTCATTTCAGGATGAGATGTGGGTGGGGACACAGCCAGACCATATCATAAAGCTAGACATACTTAATTGTGCTCCCATAGATAATGACTTTTAACAATTTAGAGTGTGTATGTGTGTAAAGTACACACTGTTTTGTTACCTGACTTTCATCTCACAACACATGCCAAATGTCTTCTTGTGTCCCCAAATTTGGTTCTCTCCTCCCTTGTCTAACATCTACACTGTGTGGCCTGATGTAGCTTATACATCAGTCAAGGTCCAATCAGGAGTCAGAACACACACAGTGACTTGAAACGGGAAAGTGTACTATAAAGAACTATGAATTATAACAGGTTTGGGAGCTGGGCATGGTGGCTTACATCTGTAGTCCCAGCTGTGCAGGAGGCTGAGATAGGAGGATCACTTGAGCCCAGGAAGGAGGTCAAGGCTGCAATGAGCTGTGATAGTGCCACTGCACTCCAGCCTAGGTGACAGAGTAAGACCCTGTCTCTTAAAAAAAAAAAAAAAAGATAGTAATAACAGGATTGCCTGCTAAGGAGTAAAGAGAATATTCAAGAATTCAGGAGAAACAGCTCAAGGGAGCAGATGCTGTCCCTAGGGCTGACACAAAGTCAGCCTTCAGGAGGCTGCTCTGGGGAACCTCACCCAGAACCAAGATCCACACCTTCCTGGAGAGGATGTAGCTGTGGCCTGCCAGGTGGCTGTGAAGTTTGCTGAGGTGCAGCCCTAATGAAACTCACTGGGATAGGGGGCCAGGAGAAGCCACCATGAGAGGTACTGCATGTTGCTGCCCCCCCCACAAAAAAAAATTAAAAGGAAAGAGAAAGAAAGGATCTGGGCATGTAATCCCACTTTTAATCCCAGCTACTTGGGAGGCCAAGGTAGGAAGATTACTTGAGCCCAGGAGTTTGAATCCAGCCTGGGTAATATAGTGAGACCCTCAGACTCTATAAAATAGAAATTAAGAAAAGAAATTAATGCAAGAAAAGAAGAGTCGGAGGAAGCTGGAATCAGAAAGTAAAGCTCCAGCTCCTCAAGCGTCTCTCCAGCGCCCTGCAGAGGAAGCCTGCCATGGTGCCAACTGGCTGGGTGGAGCTGTTGCAGTAACATGAACTGGCCGGGAAGGTGGATTTGGAGATGAGAGACAGTGGCCACCTGCACACTTGGGAACATGTACTTGGCACACAGGTGGTGGTTGGGAGGGATTGCAGCTCCTGCAGTGATGCCTGCTTTGTGGTGGGCATTAAAAGCCCCTGCATACTTCTGAAAAACCCCAAACCCCAAACTCAGATTCCACCACTGCACTCCAGCTTGGGTGACAGGACTCTTTTTCCGAAAAGTTGATGACTAAGATGAAATAGCATGATTTCCTTTGGAAAATACACGAATTGCCCTTCAAAAACTTTATATTGTGATCATTTTTAACGTGCATAAAAGTAGAGAGACTAGTAAAATGAACTCCCAGCTTGTGTATCTCCCTGCTTCTATAGCTGTCTACATTTTTTGGGGGGCGGGGGCAGGGTCATTCTCTGTCATCCAGGCTTAAAAGTGCGCTGGTGTGATCTTGGCTCACTGCAACCTCAGCCTTGCAGGCTCAAGTGATTCTCCTGCCTCCTGCCTCAGCCTTCCAGGTAGCTGGGACTGCAGGTGTGCTCTACCACACCTGGCTAATTTTTGTATTTTTGGTAGAGATGGGGTCTTGCTCTGTTGCCCAGGCTGGGCTCAAACTCCTGGGCTCAGCCCATCTGCCTGCCTCAGCCTCCCAAAGTGCTTGGGTTTATAGGCATGTGCCAGTGTGCCCAGCCAACTGTCAACACTTGCTACTCCATTTCATGCCCCCAGATTTATTTTGTGAAGAATTTAAGGGAGACATAGGAGACTCCATTAAATATGAAAGCAGTAACGTCTGAGGTAGCGTTACGGGATACCAAATCAAGACTATTGTAAAGGTGTTCTTAAGAATAGAATTTTTTCTTGTTGTATCACTTTAAACATTTGCTCACTGGAAATTTGTTCAGCACCTGCCGTGTGTCAGAGATGACAGAGCCGTAGGCCTTTCCCCTTTCATCCCAACTGCAGAGGAGGAGGTGCAGGTTGCAAACTGTAGTCTGACGTGCTAAGGTGGGCAGTAGAGGTGGTTGTCTGCCAATTAGGGAAGGTGGCAGGGGGTGGAGGGCTCATCAGGCTGAACTCATAAGGGCAAGGCAGCATTTCATCTGGTATCCAATGCAGGAGAGTAGTCTGGGCTGCCTGTGAACGTTTGACTGAAAGCAGTTTGGTTAAAAACAGTTGATCAAGATGACTTTGGCCAAAAATGAGCTCTTCAGTGATGAGTTGTTCAAATATTGGGATTTTCAATACATCAGGAAGTAGATTTTTTTTTTTTTTTTGAGATGGTGTCTTGCTCTGTTGCCCAGGCTGGAGTGTTGTGGCACAGTGTTGGCTCACTGCAACCCCTGCCTCCCACGCTCAAGCGATTCTCCTGCCTCATCCTCCCAAGTAGCTGGGATTACAGGCGAGTGCCACCACACCTGGCTCTTTTTGTGTTTTCAGTAGAGATGGGGTTTTACAGTGTTGGCCAGGCTAGTCCCGAACTCCTGACCTCAAGTGATCTGCCCACCTTGGCCTCCCAAGGTACTGGGATTACAGGGATGAGCTGCCGCACCCAACCAGGAGGTAGATTTAGAATTTTGTATGTATCTCTAGCATTTTCTTCTGTTGTCTGAATTCTGTAGGGTTTTTTCCCCCTATTTTTTGCATGTTTCTAGATTATTTTCAGCCAGTTATTTCTGCTCTGCAAATTAAAAGTAGAAAGTTAAAAGCAACTCAGGGCCAGGCACAGTGGCTCATGCCTGTAATCCCTACACTTTGGGAGTCCGAGGCAGGTGGATCATCTGAGGTCAGGAGTTCGAGACCTGGCCAATTTGGAGAAACCCTGACTGTAATAAAAATACAAAACTTTGCCAGGCGTCGTGGTGCATGCCTGTAATCCAACTACTGGGAGACTGAGGCAGGAGAATCGTTTGAACCTGGGAGGTAAAGGTTGTAGTGAGCCAAGATCGTGCCACTGCATTCCACCTGAGGGACAGAGTGAATCTCCATCTCAAAAAAAAAAAGCAACTCGATGTTCAGCTTTTCACAACATGAATGTGTACAGGCAAACTAGGGTGTAAGATCACCTGCTTCCTAGGGTACCTGGATTGCAGATGGTGGAAGATGAGTAACAGGGCGGGATTTGTCTTCCTATCACTGAGATAGTTTGCTTCAAGGAACAACTATTTTTCTTACCAGGTTGGATGCTGCACGTGGGGAGGGTGGGCAGATAGGAGTCTGTCATTGGCCCATCTGGGGAAGGGTGGGCAAGATGTGTTGGGAGAGTGGCGGGGAGGAGTGGCGGAAGGAGGGGAGGAGCCCGGCACGGGAAAGGCTTGGAGCCACTGAAGAGTTTGGCCTTGGTTCTGCAGTCACTTGAGCACAGATGGTGCTCAGGAATGGGTCTGGGAGAGAGATGACAATTTAGAGTCAGGCCCCCACCTGGCCCTGGGACCCACTTGCCTTGTGACCCTGTGAATTTTATCCCTGTCCCGGGCCTTGTTGAGCTCCTCTGTAGAAGGTGAATTTCTGTGACTGTACTTTTCTGAGTGGTCACATTTTATTATCTACTTTAAAAGTTTCTCTCTCTCTGTTTTTTTAATCAGATAATAAACACTCTGTTCTGAATTTAAAGGTAAGATCTTTTTTTAAAAAAAATTGATTTTCTCAATAAATTGAGTTTTCATCATAATTTTTCAACAACTTTGGTGTTTTATGGGGGGAAATGAATCTTCCTTTAAGAGTTATTTCCTATTGAATATTTCTTTTAAATACTTTTTTTTTTTTTTTGAGAAGGGGGTCTCACTGTGTCACCCAGGCTGGAGTGCAATGGCACAATCTCAGCTCACTCCGGCCTCCATCTCCCAGGCTCAAGTAATCCTCCTATCTCAGCCTCCCGGATATCTGGGGTCACAGATACTCGTCACCGCACCCAGCTAATATTTGTTTTTTGGTAAAGATGGAGTTTCACCATGTTGCCTAGGCTGGTTTCAAACTCCTGAGCTCAAGTGATCCACCCACCTCAACCTCTGAAAGTGCTGGGATTACAGGCATGAGCCACTGTGCACAGCCTTAAATACTTTTAAAACATGAGGAAATTAATATTTTCCATAGTTTAATGATGAAAGTAAAAAAGGATTAGAAAGAGGCGGGTGGATCATGAGGTCAAAAGATCGAGACCAGCCTGGCCAGCATGGTGAAACCCCATCTCTACTAAAAATACAAAAATTAGCCGGGCGTGGTGGCATGCACCTGTGATCCCAGCTACTCGGGAGGCTGAGGTGGAAGAATCACTTGAACCCAGGAGGCGGAGATTGCAGTGAGCCGAGATTGCACCACTGCACTCCAGCCTGGCAACAGAGCAAGACTCCGTCTCAAAAACAAAAAAAAAAACTACTTTATAATTAGAATGAATGTAGAACAAATAGATAATTTTGTCTTTTTTAAAAGTTGTTTTTTGAGACAGGATCTCCCTCTGTCACCTGGGCTAGAGTGCAGTAGTGTGATCATAGCTCACTGCAGCCTCAATCTCCTGGGCTCAAGTGATCCTTTTGCCTCAGTCTCCTGAGTAGCTGGGACTACAGGCACATGCCACCACTCCTGGCTAATTAAAAAACATTTTTTTAGAAACGGCGTCTTGTTATGTTGCCCAGGATGGTCTCAAGCTCCTGGGCTCAAGCGATCCTCCGTCCTTGGCTTCCCAAAGCACTGGGATTGCAGGCATGATGTGACATGGCTAGCCTGAGATTTTTTTTTTTTGAGACAGAGTCTTGCTCGGTTTCCCAGGCTAGAGTCCAGTGGCATGATCTCGGCTTACTGCAACCTCTGCTTCCTGGATTCAAGTGATTCTCCTGCCTTAGCCTCCCGAGTAGCTGGGACCACAGGTGTGCACCACCACGCCAGGCTAATTTTTGTGTTTTTAATGGAGATGGGATTTCACCATGTTGGCCAGGCTGGTCTCGCACTCCTGACCCCAGGTTATCCCATCTGCCTCAGCCTCCTAAAGTGCTGGGATTACAGGCATGAGCCACCGCACCCGGTCTGGCCTAAGAATTTTAATAACTAATTTGCAAACATGGAAATAGTTCTAACTTAAGTTTCTCATTGTGTGATGTCATGGGAACTTAAAAATTAAACATTTTTTGGGAGAGTTAATTTATAACCTTGTCTGCTTTGTCAGCAGAAATTAGAAACTTAATATCACACCAATGTTTAAGGAAAAATTAACAGAAGTTCCCAGCCTTCCTTTTCTTCTAGGTTTGGGGTTGAGAAGCAATATCTTATTATTGTTCCTTTCTCAGCATTTTGCAAATGTGCTTTCCCACCATTGATGGGATCCTTTTTGCCCATCCCAGCAAGAAGATGCCTAGCTGGAGTTTGCTGTGGGCATCTCCACACACCACTTGTAGCCCTACCTAGCACATGCTTTTAAATGTGAGCCCACAGCCTGCCACTCATGATATCTACCTGTAAAGGCAGTCACTGAACTCAGTGCAGAAATGCAGGAAGAAAGCGCAGGCGGGCCTTCCCTTATAGCTTGAGAGAGCCCCCCCAGAGAAGACATGTAAGGTCTACAATTCAGGTATAAGAAACAGTATAATCCCAGCATGTTGGGAGTCCAAGGTAGGAGGATCCCTTGAGCCCAGGAGCTCAAGGCCAGCCTGGACAACATAAATGAGACCCCATCTCTACCAAAAAAAAAAGCTAAAAAAAAAATTAGGGGTGATGGCCCATGTGTAATCCTAGCTACTTGGGAGGCTGAAGTGGGAGGATTGCATGAGCCCAGGAGCTGGAGGCTGTAGTGAGCTGTGATCACACCACTGCACCCCAGCCTGGGTGACAGAGCAAGACCCTGTCTTAAAGGAAAAAAAAGAAATAGCAGATATTAAAGTTTTTTTAAAATTTCTGTAGGATAGCACAAAGATATTAAAGTTTCAAAAGCTAAAACAAACTAAGAGCAAGCGTCAACATGAAGGAAATAAAGCATGCTTGTTGTATACCTGCTGTCTAATGACCTGGTTGCCTGTGTCCACTCTGTAAAACACTAACGCTCTGCACTTACTCCTCTTATGTTCTTTCTTTCCTAGGATGAAAAACCTCCGTTACGTGAGAAACCGCCACCCTCCCCAGGTATCTGCCTTTTGAATTATGTTGTGATTGAAAAGCTTGTCGTTCTGGAGAATATCCAGATTAATTTTATCTGAAAGTAAAGATTACGTTTTCTTTTTCTTGTATTAGTTGTTGAACTTCCATCCTTGTCTCAAAAGAGAGGGTCCAAACACTAGGTAGTGGACGTATGTCCATGCAGGATGTGCTTGGATCCTGGGAGGGTGGGAGTTGGACCTGGGGGGCAGTGGACCTGTGGGATGTGCTGGGATCCTGGGGGAAGGGAGGTGGACCTGTGGGATGTGCTGGGATCCTGGGGGAAGGGAAGTGGACCTGTGGGATGTGCTGGGATCCTGGGGGAAGGAGTGGACCTGTGGGATGTGCTGGGATCCTAGGGGAAGGGAAGTGGACCTGTGGGATGTGCTGGGATCCTGGGGGAAGGGAAGTGGACCTGTGGGATGTGCTGGGATCCTAGGGGAAGGGAAGTGGACCTGTGGGATGTGCTGGGATCCTGGGGGAAGGAGTGGACCTGTGGGATGTGCTGGGATCCTAGGGGAAGGGAAGTGGACCTGTGGGATGTGCTGGGATCCTGGGGGAAGGGAAGTGGACCTGTGGGATGTGCTGGGATCCTGGGGGAAGGAGTGGACCTGTGGGATGTGCTGGGATCAGTGCTGGTCAGGTGGGTGCAGTTATGGCCTCTGCTCTGAGGCTGAAGGCAGAGGGAGAGGTCCAAAAATACTTTATGGGTTAGATCCCCCTGACCCAAACAGTTTGGGGAGCTTCAGTAGCTTCCAAAATGGAGGTTGTAATTTTTGCTGTTAGGTGGCACATCGTTACAAGATCCTTGGGGTGTTGCTTTTCTGGCCGGAAATGTCTGTGGTGCCAGTGTACCTTTGCCCGAGTTGTTGTCTGGCATCCAGGAAGAATAAGGTAAGCAGACAAGTGGAGGGTGAGCAAGATGATGAGGCACTTTACTGAATATTAGGACAGCTCAGAGGAAACCCACAGTGGGCAGCTCCTCTCTGTAGGCAGCTTGTCCTGTCAAGCTTTCAGCTCTCAGCAGAGAGGAGGCCCTGGAGTGGGTGACTGTTCTCTGCAGGCAGGTCATCTGATTGTCTCTGCAGCTCTCAGCAAAGAGGAGGCCCTGGAGAGGGTGGCTCTTCTCTGCAGCTGGTTGTCCTGATGTCTGCCCAGCTCCTGATGTCCGCCCAACCCTGGAGTGGTTGCTCCTCTCTGCTGCTGGCCCTCTGACTTCTCTAGCTATCAGCAGAGAGGGTAGCTCCTCTCTGTAGCTGGTCATCCCATCTTCGCTGCTCTGGCTAAGCCCGGGGCTTTTATGGGCCTCAGAAGGGAGAAAATGTGCACCATTTGGTCCATGGGCGGCTGTGGGTGGGCCTGGAAAAGGCACCACAAATTCTCGCTGTAGTTTCATGGATGGGCAGCCTGGTCCCCAGCCTTCAGGCCCTCCCTGACCTGAAGGTGGGGCATCACCAGGGACCTGCCTGCCTCCACCCAGGAGCCTGTCTGCCTCCCACTGCTCGGTCCATGGCACCCAGGCTGCTCACACCAAGGGGCACCTGGAGGCCAGTGCAGAGCCACCCTCAGCCCTACTTCGCTTCCCCTCCTGTGCTCATGGGTGCCCAAAGTCTGGAGGGGGCTGAGGCAGCAGGGTGCTGGCATATCAGCACTGTCCTGAGTGTGCGCACTCCCAGCCAGCCCGTGACAGTGCCCAGGCTTGGCCCCAACGCTGCTCCAAGATTAGAGTAGGCGCCGGGAGCAGGGAGAGGCCAGGTGGCTGGAGCAAATAGCTGTGAGCCTGCAGGAACATGGGAGCCTTCCCAGGCCCCTGAGGGTGCAGATTGCAGAGACACCCGGGTCTTGCACTTGGGAGGATGGCTTGCAGTAACACCCTGGGAGCTGCTGCCTTGCCAACTCAGAAGGGGCAGGGCTCCCACTTGTCCCTGGCTCCTGATGGTACTATGGAGCGTGCATCCCTGACCATGCCCTCTGAAGCAGGTGCCCACAGTGGGGTGAAGCCAGGTAGTGGGAGCAGGCACTTTTGAGCCTGTGGGGGTTAGTGGGTGCCTTACAGAGATTCTCGGTTCTGCAGCTGGGCTTGGGCACTGCAGCGGCACCCAGGGAAGGAGGGGCTCCTGCCTGCTCTGCAGAGCTAGAGGCTTGGGCCACACCTCCCTGCTCTAGAGTCTGTGCAGTGGCTGGTCTAGATGGGCCGCCACTGCCATCAGCATCGCTGCTCTGGAAATGCTGTTTTAAGTCTCCTCCATGTCAGATTCACTTTATTTGCACCCTTTCAATCTCAGCATTTTCAGTGCTGTGTTCTGGGCGTTTGCTGGGGCTGTAACTTCTCCATGTATTCATTCTTCATGATGTGCATCCTGCAGTCTGGCCCATGCTTTAAGTTCATGGTATTAATCGAATGTTAACTTCCATGGTCTGTGAGACACCGACTGTGTCTCTGAAAGCGGTAACCGTGCACGTCCAGACTTGGGGTTTGTGTTGCAGCCCCTTCTCCTTGCCCACTTGCCTTTGATGCTTCTCTGGCTCTGCTGTTTGCTGCCTCTTGGGGTCTCTGAGATTTCCTGTGGCTGGCAGGGGGATGCTACCTCTGTTTACTGCACCCTGCCTGGAGAGGGAGGGCCAATGGGCTGGCAGGCTGTACCAACTGCTGTACCAACTGCTGTACCGACCGATGGGGACGGTCAGGATGTGAGGCCAGCCTGGATTCGTGGGAACCCCTCTTCCGGCTTTCTCCAGCCCCCTGCTCTGCCCTGCCTCTCTGCCCTCAGGGCCTGTGTGTCCTGCCTGAGGAGGGCACTCATTTCTGCTATTGCTCCCTGGGTCAGGTGGGTTAACCCCCTGCTGTTCCGCCTCTGGTTTTCTGACTGGACAGTTCATCAGCTGTTTCAAGCTGCTGCTTTGTAAATATAATTTTTTTTATCAATTGAATTTTGTAGAGATGGGGTCTCGCGATATTGCCCAGGCTGGTCTTGAACTCCTGGCCTCAAGTAATCTTCCTGCCTCAGCTTCCCCAAGTGCTGGGATTGCAGGTGCGAGCCACCAGGCCCAGTCTCAGCGGCTCTTTCTAGGCCACTTTGTGTCTCCAGTCCTACCAGGGCAAGGTATATCCCTGGAGCCCCCACTCCCCCATTTTCTAGCTGCCCTCTCTTGGCACATTTCAGGCTGTGGCGTCCATCTTCAGTTTCATCTCCATGGTTTTCTCTGGGATTTTTCAGGGTTCCCTTGTTTCTGTATAGCTATGGAGTTCTCATTTCTGAGCCTTACGTGTTGCATGTTGTCATCGGATGTGTGTGTCAGGGGTCAGGCCAGGCTCTCCGGAACCACCCGCCATCCTGCCCTTATCTGTGTGGAAGCTCCCTTCCACCTCTACTTCCCCTGGGAGGCGTGCTGGCCAGGGGCCCATGGGAGCCTCACCTCCTGTGACCTTTCAGAGCACATCTCCCCGTGGAACACCGCTGTTTTCCACCCCGCTTCCTTGCTGTTCCTTCTTAAGGTCCTGTGTGACCTCTGTTTTCTCTCCCTGGTGCCTTCAGGCCTGTGACCTAACCCTAGCCTGCCTCCTTGTCTTCTGTCCCCACCAGCTCTTCATGGTGCACTCCTATCTGGGGAAGCATCTGCCAGACACAGGCCTGGTTGGTCATCCTGAGTCTGCTTCTCTCTCACTGCCCGCACCCAGCCAGCCACCAGCCCTTGAGTCCTGCTCTTGCATGTCCCTTTCTCTCTGTCCCCACTCGAATGCTGCCCCTCGGCTGTTGGGCTGGGCCTCATTCTTTTTTTTTTTTTGAGACGGAGTTTCGCTCGTTACCCAGGCTGGAGTGCAATGGCGTGATCTCAGTTCACTGCAACCTCCGCCTCCTGGGTTCAGGCAATTCTCCTGCCTCAGCCTCCCGAGTAGCCGGGATTACAGGCATGCGCCACCACGCCCAGCTAATTTTTTGTATTCTTAGTAGAGACGGGGTTTCACCATGTTGACCGGGATGGTCTTGATCTCTTGACCTCGTGATCCACCCGCCTCGGCCTCCCAAAGTGCTGGGATTACAGGCTTGGGCTGGGCCTCATTCTAACCTGCCTTCTTCCCTGCTGGCCTGAAGGATTCACCCAAGAGCAGAGCCTCTTTCTTCTCACACTTCTGCCTGAAAGCCCCCCTGGCTTCTGCTGCCCTGCAAGATGAACCTTCCACGCCATTTCACAATAGGCACGGCCTCCTGCAGCTCTGGCCTCCCTCTCTGGCCTCCCCTCAGTATCTCTCTGCTTGCTGTGACCTCTCCAGGCCACTTACTCTTTCCTATACTTTCCACTTAGACTTTTCTCCCTTCCCAGGGACCAAAGAACATGGCACCAAGCCTGATGTGCTTTTTGGAACAAAGTCACATGATTTTGATGTGCTATTGTCAGCATCGATTAACATTTAAAAATTTTCCCCTGTACCCTTTCAGATATAGCTGGTAGGACACGTCCGAGACATACAGAAATAACCAGAGAGAAGTTTGAGTCGCTGAAAGAAGAAAACGTGCACCTCAGGAATACGAACCAAAGCCTAACCCTTGAACTAAATGCAACGAAACAAGCAAGGAAAGAGTTACAGTTAAAACTTAAGGGAACAGAAAAAGAGAAGAGAAAGCTGGAAGAGGCTGAGAAGGCGGCGTCACAGGACGGTAGGGATGGATGATGCTTTTATTAGAGGAATGAGCGGGACTTCCGTCAATTATTCTGAGAGTTAATACTTTATGTTTTGATATTCGTTGATATTTGTATTGGTGATTTATGTTGTAACATTTCAGGCTTTTTGTTACTACCCTTATGATTGTTGAGATTTGATTTCGTCTGTTATATCAGTATTATACCGAAGAAATCCTCAGGTTGGAAAGAAGCTAAATTTTAAAAAACAAAGCAGAAATTCCAATACTTCTTTTGGAACTTGATGCTTTGCTTACATATATTTCACATCGGCTTTTATCCCCAGGAGAAGCATATAGAAGCTCCTTCTTTACCATAGACTTATCAATGATTATGTTTTCCTTGCTAATCTGATACGTTAAAAAAAGAAATAGTATTTTAATTTGTATTTCTTTTATTATTGATAAGCTTGAATATTTTTTCATGTCTTTCAGGTCATTTTCTTTTTCTGTCATAAAACTGCCCACTTTATTTATTTTTTAGAGACAATATCTCACTCTTATCACCCAGGTGCCTACAGTGGGGTGATCAGAGTTCACTATACCTTGAACTCCTGGGCTCAAGTGATCCTCCCACCTCAGCCTCCCGAGTAGCTGGGACTAAGGGCGAGCACCATTATGCCAGGCTAAGGTTTTTTTTTTTTAATTTTTTTATAGCAGTGAGCGCTCATTATGTTGCCCAGGCTGGTCTCAAACTCCTGGCCTCAAGGATTTTTCCTGCTTGGCCTCCCAAAGTGCTGGGATTATAGGTATGAGCCACTGTGCATGGCCAAGTTGTCCACTTTGCATTCAGACACTTGACTTCTTTTTGCTGATTTGCAGAAACTCCTTTCATATGAAAGATTTTATCCCTTTGCCATAAGTTTGTTGATAATTGGGCTAAATCTGTAAGATGTTTTTCTTTCTCGACTTATACCCTTGGTGTTAAGTCATTTTTAACTCTACGATTACGTAGATATTCACCAATATTTTCTCTACACCTTTTTCTGTTTACCTAAAACTGATAATATAGCTTTTTTTTGAGATGGAGTTTTGCTCTTGTTACCCAGGCTGGAGTGCAATGGCGCGATCTCTGCTCACCGCAACCTCCACCTCCTGGGTTCAGGCAATTCTCCTGCCTCAGCCTCCCGAGTAGCTGGGACTACAGGCATGTACCACCATGCCCAGCTAATTTTTGTATTTTTAGTAGAGATGGGGTTTCACCTTATTGACCAGGATGGTCTGGATCTCTTGACCTCATGAACCACCCGCCTCGGCCTCCCAAAGTGCTGGGATTATAGCCGTGAGCCACCGCACCTGGCCGATAATATAGCTTTAAGTACGGTGGTGTCAGTTTTTTTCATATAGGCCCTGCATAATTCTTATCTTAGGTACATTTATTTTTAGATACTTTATTTGTGCTGTTACCTTGTGGGATCTATTTTCTGATTTTTTGTTTTTTGAGACAAAGTCTCACTGTCACCCAGGCTAGGGTACAATGGCGTGATCTCGGCTCACTGCAACCTCCGCCTCCTGGGTTCAAGCCACTCCTGCCTTAGCCTCCTGAGTAGCTGGGACTACAGGTGTATGCCACCATACCCAGCTATTTTTTTTTTTTTTTCTGTATTTTTAGTAGAGATGGGGTTCACCATGTTAGCCAGGATGGTCTCAATCTCCTGAACTCGTGATTTGCCTACCTTGGCCTCCCAAAGTGTTGGGGTTACAGGCGTGAGCCACTGCACCCAGCCTATTTTCTGTTTTGTTTTCTAATAGGACATTGCTATTATGTGGGAAGGTTATTAGCGCTACTATATTTTCCATGTATTCTATATGATTTTTCAAAGCACATATTTTTATGTCATCTGAAACAGTGACTATTCCTTTCCAACTTGAAATTTTTATTTTATTTATTGTACATGCAAAAACTTCCATAAACTTCCAATATAATGTTAATTATTCAATGTTTAAAGACTTTGGAACTTTGGCTGGGTGCAGTAGCTTATGCCTGTCATCCCAGCACTTTGGGAGGCCAAGGTGGGTGGATCATAAGGTCAAGAGTTTGAGACCAGCCTGGCCAACATAGTGAAACCCCATCTCTGTGAAAATAAAAATAAAAAAGTTAGCCAGGCCTGGTGGCGGGCACCTGTAGTCCCAGCTACTAGGAGGCTGAGGCAGGGGAAACCTGGGAGGCAGAGGTTGCAGTGAACCAAGATCGCACCACTGCACTCTAGCGTAGATGACAGAGCGAGAGTCCGTCTTAAAAAAAAAAAAAGAAAAACTTGGTAACATTTATTTCTTCACGTAGACACACAGACATACAAACAGTTCATTGTCTCTGAGTGTGAAAGGGGGATGAAGCAAATGATTTGCAATTGAAATAAAATCTGGATAAATATGACATTATTTCTTACAGCATAATATTAAATTATTTTTTTTCTAGTTGCTGCATCTGAGTTACTTTATCTGCGAAAACAAGCTCAAGAACTGGTGGATGAAAATGATGGGTTGAAAATGACTGTCCATCGTTTGAATGTAGAACTCAGTCGATATCAGACAAAATTCAGGCATTTGTCCAAGGAAGAGGTAACATTTCCAATCATGAAAAATCAGCTTTTCAGATTTTTAGGCTTTCTTGTTTAACTGATTTCCAGTCTTGAGAGGTTCTTATTATAATATGATGGAAGAAAAGCTCTGTCCAAGGCACAGTGTTTCTAAGGGTCATTCTGTTTCTTGCTTCCTTCCCTTCCTTATTCCCTTTAACTAAAGCAATAGAGACTGTAAAACATTGGGACAATACAAAAGTATATAAAGTAAAAGAGGCTGGATGAGGTGGCTCATGCCTGGAATCCCAGCATTTGCAGAGGCTGAGGCGGGAGGATTGTTTGGGCTCTGGAGTTTGAGACCAGCCTGGGCAACAGTAAGACCTAGTCTCTACAAATAAAAAATTTTTAAAAATTAGCATGCCTGTACCCCCAGCCACTCAGGAGGCCGAGGCAGGAGGATCTCTTGAGCGTGGGAGGTCGAGGGTGCAGTGAGCTGAGCCTGGGTGACAGAGTAAGACCTTGTCTCAAAAATTAAAAAAAAAAAAGAAGTAAAAGAATGGAAGTCTGTGTTGGCTGCTCCCTTCTCAGTTATGTTTCTGAAGGTTGCAGCTGCTGTCAGTGCACAAACTTGGAAAGGAAAGCAGAGTTTCCCATTCTAAGAACGTGCAGAGTCCAACTCCACACACTGTATACCACTTGGTGGTTTTTACTGTAGTCAGAATTATGCAGCCATCACTGCAATCAATTTTACAGCACTTTTGTTAAATCAAGACATGTCGGCCGGGCGTGGTGGCTCATTACTGTAATCCCAGCACTTCGGGAAGCTGAGGTGGGCGGATCATTTGAAGTCAGGCGTTCAAGACCAGCCTGACGAACCTGGTGAAACCCCATCTGTACTTAAAGTACAAAAAAAATTAGCCAGGCGTGGTCATGTGCACCTATAATCCCAGCTACTTGGGAGGCTGAGGCAGGAGACTCGCTTGAACCTGGGAGGCAGAGGTTGCAGTGAGCCAAGATTGTGTCACTGCACTCTAGCATGGGTGACAGAGTGAGACTCTGTCTCAAAAAAAAAAACAAAACAAAACAAGTGTCATACCTGTTTGGGAATCACTGTCTCTATGAATTTGCCTATTCTGAACATTTCATAGAAATGAGATAATACAAGATGTGACCTTGTGTGACTGACTGCTTCTTTCACTTAACATAATACTAACTCTTTTTTTTTTTGAGATGGAGTCTCACTCTGTTGCCAGGGTGGAGTGCAGTGTCATGATCTCGGCTCACTGCAACCTGCAGCCTCTACCTCCGAGTTTCAAGCGATTCTCCTGCCTCAGCCCCCTGAGTAGCTGGGACTACAGGCATGTGCCACCACACCCAGCTAATTTTTGTATTTTTAATAGAGTCGGGGTTTCACCATGTTGGCCAGGATGGCCTCAATCTCTTGACATCGTGATCTGCCCGCCTCAGCCTCCCAAAGTGCTGGGATTACAGGTGTGAGCCACCACGCCCGGCCAAGACTAACTTTTAAACAAAAAATAAAGTTCTTGGGGGTCCTGCTGACTAAATCAGGGCCTTCTGTAGCACCATGGGGTGGGCAGGCAGGCCCAGGGACAGCCTCCTCCCATGTTGTCTTCTGCCCTGTGCAAATGCCGTATTATCCAATGCAGTCTTCCCTGATCAGCCGAGCCAGAAGTGATTGATCTCTCCTTTTTTTTTTTTTTGAGACACAGTCTCTCTTCATTTCCCAGGGTGGAGTGCAGTAGCACGATCTCGGCTCACTGCAACCTCCACCTCCTGGGTTCAAGCAATTCTTGTTTGTTCAGCCTCCAGAGTGGCTACGATTACGGGCATGTTCCACTGCACCCAGCTAATTTTTGTATTTTTAATAGAGATAGGGTTTCACCATGTTGGCCAGGCTGGTCTTGAACTACTGACCTCAAGTGATCCACCCTCCTTGGTCTCCCAGAGTGCTGGGATTACAGGCATGAGCCACCGCACCCGGCCCTCTCTCTCTTTTAAACCATTGCAGACTTTTGTTTGTAATTACTCTGAAGGCACTTACAGCAATCTACCCTATCCTGCTTTTGTATATCATGTTCATTTGTGTTAGTGGAACTTATTTCTGTTACTAGGTCATAGAATCCTGGATAACAAGGGTTGCATTGCAGTGTCCATAATGACTTAGTGAGTTGCCAGTGTTTGCAGAGTGAATGGGTAATTAAACAAATATTAAGGTGTTTGCACTGGAAAGCTTTTGTGAAATAAAAATTATTTTGTCCAGGCCATTGATTCTGTACCAGATTTTCCCTCCTGCTGTAAACAGATAGAAAACCAGACAGAATATGTAATGCAAATGTTTACAGATGTCAAACACAGGCAGCACCGGCCTATGACCCTCAAGAGCAGCAGGATAAACAGATGAGCCTGTGATCTGCTTTCTATCTAGAGGCAGTCTCACATCACAGAGCAAGGAGGAAGGGCCTGAGCTGAGCCCTCTCCTGTCTGGGGAAGCTAAGGAGACTAGAATTTCTAGGGCATGAATACCAGAAAGGAGGGAGCCTTGGAGCGAAAGAGCTGCCTATATAAATCTGCATGGGGCTCCTTGGTGTCTTGTGGAATACTACCCTGCACGTATGTAGGAGACTCCAGGAGACTGGGCAGAAAACAAGAACAGGGAGCTATGAGCTGCATCGTTCCCAAAGCTCACACAGCACTGGGAACCTTCTAGTTCTGCCCAGCCGCAATGGAGAGACCTTGCTTTGAGTCAAGAGCCCAGGAGGACAGTGCCTGAGAGGTATGGCTAAATGAGCTTTTTAGGAAAGGTCACTATAGACCTGCCATGACCAGGGTAAAAAAACAAGCCTCAGAAGCATGAAGGTGATCCACAAGCAACTCTTAGGAGCTGAAAGAAAGAGAGAAGGGAGGACGGAAAAGAAACCAGTACTCTTTAAAGGAAGATAACAAAATCCAGGCACTTCATGTCACGATATTATTAGAATTATTGTTAGAAGGGCCATTTGGGCAGACATGGGAAGGAAATAGGCTGAAGATGTTTTAGGCAAACTTAGATGCTTCTTAATTGAGAAAGTTCAACATCCAATGAAAAAAGTCGCTAGATACATTCCAGATTTTAAAAGACTAAAACGGGTCGGAGAGTGGGTATGGTGGCTCACGCCTGTAATCCCAGCACTTGGGAGGCTGAGGCAGCTGGATCACTTGAGGTCAGGAGTTCGAGACCAGCCTGGCCAACATGGTGAAACCCCATCTCCACTAGAAACAAAAATTGGTGGGGCGCGGTGGCTCACGCCTGTAATCCCAGCACTTTGGGAGGCCGAGGCGGCTGGATCATGAGGTCAAGAGATCGAGACCATCCTGGTCAACATGGTGAAACCCCGTCTCTACTAAAAATACAAAAAATTAACTGGGCACGGTGGTGTGTGCCTGTAATCCCGGCTACCCAGGAGGCTGAGACAGGAGAATTGCTTGAACCCAGGAGGCGGAGGTTACGGTGAGCCAAGATCGCACCATTGCACTCCAGCCTGGCTAACAAGAGCGAAACTCTGTCTCAAAAAAAAAAAAAACACACACACACACAAAAATTAGCCAGGCATGGTGGCAGGCGCCAGTAGTCCCAGTTACTCAGAAGGCTGAGGCAGAATTGCTTGAACCTGGGAGGTAGAGGTTACAGTGATCCAAGATCGTGCCACTGCACTCCAGCCTGTGCAACAGAGCAAGATTCTACCTCAAAAAAAAAAAAAAAAAAGGCCAGGTCTGGTGGCTCATGCCTGCAATCCCAGCACTGTGAGAAGCTGAGGCAGGAGGATCACTTTTGCCCAGGAGTTCAAGACCAGCCAGGCAACATGATGAAAACTCATTTCTACAAAAAATACAAAAATTAGCCAGGTGTGGTTCCAGGCTGCTGAGAGGAGGCTAAGGTGAGAGGCTCGCTTGATTCCGGGATGCAGAAGTTGCAGCGAGCCATGATCTCACCACTGCACTCCAGCCTGGGTGGTAGAATGAGACCCTGTCTCAAAAAAAAAAAAAAAAAAAGGCATAAAAGAGAGAACATTAGTGGGAAAATAGATGAAATTTGAAGATAATGTATACGTTAGGTTAGAAAATAATATAGGCTACACTAGGCACAATGCCTATGGGGTAGCCCTGCTCTACAAGGAGCAGTAATAAATAAGTGTGTGTGTGTGTGTGTGTGTGAAAATAGCATTGTTATCAGCGTTATTTCCTGATTTTCATGACAGTACTGTGGTTAAGTAAATGAATGTTTTTGTTTTTAGGAAATAGAATTATTTAGAGGAAAAAGGGCATTATATCTGCATATTACTCTCAAACATTTCAGAAACAGATTTTCCCTTATATATACATACATATATGTAGATAGATGGGTGAGTGTATGGGTTGGTAGGTAGGTTGGGTGGGTGTGGATTGGTAGGTGGATGGATGGGTGAGTGTATGAGTGGGTGGGTAGGTTGGGTGGGTGGGTGGGTGGATGGATGAATGGGTAGGTAGCTGGGTGGGTGGATGGATGGGTGGGTAGGTGGGTGGGTAGGGGGATAGATAAATACGTAGATGGGCAATGCCCAGTCTAGACTTGAAATTTCAGAGGAAGTGTGGTTTAACTTGTCTTCAATGTATGTTTTTTTCTTAGAGCTTAAATATTGAAGGCCTCCCATCCAAAGGCCCTATACCACCCTGGTTGGTAAGTGAAAGTTATTTAATTTCAGGCCCATATTTTCAGACTATATTTGCATAGCCACTAAAAACCATTTCAGCCGGGCACAGTGGCTGACGCCTGTAATGCCAGCACTTTGGGACGCTGAGGCGGTTGGATCACAAGGTCAAAAGATCGAGATCATCTTGGCCAACATGGTGAAACCCCGTCTCTACTAAAAATACAAAAATTAGTTGGGTGTGGTGGCACACACCTGTAGTCCCAGCTACTTAGGAGTCTGAAGCAGGAGAATCGCTTGAACCCAGGAGGCAGAGGTTGCAGTGAGCCGAGATCGAGCCACTGCACTCCAGCCTGGTGAGAGAGTAAGACTCTGTTTAAAAAAAAAAAAAAAAAAATTTAGGCCAGGCACGATGGCTCACATCTGTAATCCTAGCACTTTAGAAGGCTGAGGCAGGTGGATCACTTGAGGTCAGGAGTTTGAGACCAGCCTGGCCAACATGGTGAAATCCTGTCTCTATTAAAATACAAAAATTAGCTGGGCATGATGGTGCATGCCTGTAGTCCTGGATAGTTGGGAGGCTGAGGCAGGAGAATCACTTGAACCTGGGAGGTGGAGGTTGCAGACAGCTGAGGTCATGCCACTGTACTGGGTGGCAGAGTGGGAATGGCTTCAGGCAGCAGAGCTCATTCTAACCACAGGAGGCCAAGCCTGTGTGGGTGTTGTAGATGCTTCCTGTGCCTCCTGCCTTCCTCTGGGTTCCCTGAAATTGGAAGGTTCCAGGGAGAGAAATGTTGGTTGCTCTGGGATCCTGAGCTGGGAGGGTCCTTAAAAAACAGTAACAACCACCACCAAAGAAACCATTTCAAAAAAACGTATCTTCTTGCCTTTGAAAAATTTGCTGGTTATATTTAGATGTATGAAATATATTAACCTTCTTTTACTCTCTGTCTTCAGTTGGATACAAAGTACCTGTCACCATTGTTGCTGGCTTATGAAGATATAATGAAAGAGAAGGACGAACTTAATGCCACCCTCAAGGTAGGCTGGCACATGTCTCAGAAGAGACAAGATTTATAAAAATATGGGACCGCTTCAGATTTTACAGAAACATTTTGAATGTGAAATGCCCAACATATTATAGATAATCAAATGTCTATCAGAGGACAGGAAGGAAGGAGTGTGGGAGGGAGGGAAAGAAGGAAGAGGGGAGGAAGTAAGGGAATGATTGGGAGAGCGGGAGGGGTGGGTAGAGAGCAAGGGGAGTGGTCTGGAGGGCCAGGGCAGGGCTGCATGGAAAGCCATGGCTTTCTGGATAGCCGGCCCATCTGGGCTGAGATCTTGGGGTGCAGGGAAGACAGCAGGAGGGAAGCACTTCTTCCCTGGTACTCTGCAGCTGCAAACACCACCATTAGAAGGACCATTTGGGCAGACATGGGAAGGAAATAGGCTAGAGATGTTTTAGGCAAACAGATGCTTCTTAATTCTAGGATGAGCTGACCCCAGGGAAGTCCGATTACTGAGCTGTTGGAAATGGATAGGAAGTGAGGTTCTTATCCAGTTCTGCCTTGTCCACCGCCATTTCATGGAGTGGCTTCGGGCAGCAGAGCTCACATTCTAACCACAGCAGGCCAAGCCTGTGTGGGTGCTGTAGATGCTTCCTGTGCCTCCCACCTTCCTCTGGGTTGCTCATTTAAGTGGTCGTATAGATCCCTGAAATTGGAAAGATCCAGCAATAGAAATGTCGGTTCTTAGGGGATCCTGAGCTGGGGAGGGTCCTTTAAGAGGCTTCTAGCTTGTTCCTTGTCAGTGATGCTGTCCCGTGTCCATGTCCCATGGAAAGGAATTTTGATCCTTTTCATTTAGTCTTAGCGTTGGACGCTTGATTTTCTAAGAGCATGAATAAGCCTTGTACTAATTGAATATAAAACAATCCTAATAACTAATAATAATATTTTGGTGCTCCCTCTAAATCGGGGTCAGCACACACTTTCTGTAAAGGGCCAGTTAATAAGTAATTTAGGCTTTGGAGGCCATGCAGTTTCTGCTTGCACCTGCTCAGCCTGCAGTTGCAACATGAAGGCAGCTGAAGATAACTTGTAGATAATGGGCGAGGCCGTGTTCCGATAAAACTTTATTTACAAAAACAGGCAGCTGGTTTGCACACTTTAGTTTGCTTGACCCCTGTTCCAAAAAAGAGTCACATGGACTGCCAGCCGTGAGTGTGTCTGCATGGAGAGAGGAGAGGAGAAGACACTTGGCAGTGCCGCTTCAAGTTAAAAGGGTGTAAGCATAAACACTGACAGCTGGGAGTAGAATATTTTAGAGGCACACCAGAGTAAATATTGGCACCTCAGATTCTCACCAGAAGACAGCGCAGGACACAGAAACTGAAAAAGGCCTGATGGAGGAGGCTCAGCTGAAGTGTCACACGCACAGACTGGTGGGAGCTGAAACAGACACAGGCTGCAAAGAGTCAAAACAGGTCTAGCCACAGACCTCGTGTTGCGGCTGATGGCCGATGGGGCTCTGCACACTGATGACGCTAGTAGACACTTTCCAGTGGTTGTCAGGGACAAAACTAAGAGCCTTGGCCGAATGTGGTGGCTCATGCCTGTGATCCTAGCATTTTGGGAGACTGAGGCAGGAAGATCGCCCCTTCCTCTGGGTTCCTCATTTAAGTGGCGATGTAGATTGGCAGGATTCAAAGGGAGAAATGTTGGTTGTTCTGGGATCCTGAGCTGGGAGGGTCCTTAAAAAACAATTAAAATTACCCTGGCATGGTGGCACACAAAAAATAGAAAAATTAGCAGGGCAGTGTGGCACACAAAGATACAAAAATTAGCTGGGCATGGTGGCACACAACTTTGGTCCCAGGTACTTGGGAAGCTAAGTTGGGAGGACTGCTTGAGCCCTAGGAGGTTGAGGGTGCCATGAGGTATGATTGCACCACTGTACTGTAGCCTGGGAGACAGAGCAAGACCCTGTCTCAAAACAAAAAAAATAAATAAAAAGAGCTTCCTCCAACTCCCACACTAACTAACCCCTTCCCCACCAAATCTAGCTTTAATTAAGGATGAAAAGTTCTTATTTTTTACATGAAAAACCTCCAATTTTTCCTGAGTCTTTAAACAAAGGAAAAATGACAGTGTTGATGGGCACCTCTGCCTTTTCTGTCGGTATTCGGCAGTCACAGAACAACGTTATCAAATAAGGAATCGAGTACTTGGAAGCCCGGGTGCTTTGCCTCTGTACTTGGCCTTACATTTTGTCCTGGTGCTTTCTCAGTAGACCATAAGCTCCCTGAGAGCAGGCACCGCTTGTGCTGGTACCGAGAGTCAAAGGCTGGCCTGTTGTGAGACTTTGCTAACGGCTGTTAGCGTTTGATTTTAGCCACAGCAGAAGCACCAGAATGGAGAAATAGAGATGTGTGTGTTGTAATTTACATATATTTTATTTCAGGAGGAAATGAGAATGTTTAGGATGCGAGTCCAGGAAGTGGTGAAAGAAAATGAAGAACTGCACCAGGAGTTAAATAAGAGTAGTCCTGTCACCACTGAGGAATGGCAAGTGGCGTGGTGTTTTTGCTCTTCTGCTAATTTAAAACACGTGATAATAGGAAAATATGTTATAAAATTATGAAACACATAATTACATTTTTAACTACAATATTTTAAGGGAGAGTTTCTAAGAAATTCGTAAGGTACAATAAAACCCTAATAAATTATTCTAAACTTATATTTTCAAGATGACTTTTAAAATTCTAAGTAGGCACTTTGGGAGGCCGAGGCGGGTGGATCACAAGGTCAAGAGATCGAGACCATCCTGGTCAACATGTGAAACCCCATCTCTACTAAAAATACAAAAAATTAGCTGGGCATGGTGGCGTGTGCCTGTAATCCCAGCTACTCAGGAGGCTGAGGCAGGAGAATTGCTTGAACCCACAGGCGGAGGTTGTGGTGAGCCAAGATTGTGCCATTGCACTTCAGCCTGGGTAACAAGAGCAAAACTCCATCTCAAAAAAAAAAATTCTAAGTAGGTTCTCAAACTTGAAATATAGTTGCTTTCTGCTTTTTATTTTCTGAGGTGGTATTTTTCTAGGGTGATTTTCCCATCTCAGACCTGGAGAGTCTCATCCCTTCTTAGACCCCAGTGATAGCTTCCAGGGTTTGAGAACAGAAAGCTCAGGATGAGGCCTGGATGACTAGCTCTCATCCCGCCCTGGCAGATACCCTGACAGCTGAGGTTGCCCCACTTCCAACCTGTCCTTCCTCAAAAGCCCCTTCTGCACTCCTTACCCTCTAGGGTCCTGCTGGAATGGTACCTTGTCTATAGCGCTGCCTTCAGGAGAGGCCATTATATTGCTTCCTTGTGTCACTCCCTCCCTCCCTCCCTCCCTCCTTCCTTTCTTGTTTTGAGACCGAGTCCTGCTGTGTTGCCCAGGCTGGAATGCAACAATGTCATGATCTTGGCTCATTGCAACCTCCACCTTCTGAATTCAGGTGATTCTCCTGCCTCAGCCTCCCAAGTAGCTGGGACTTTAGGCACACACCACCATGCCTGGCTAATTTTTGTAGTTTTAGTAGAGATGGATTTCATCATGTTGGCCAGGCTGGTCTCAGACTCCTGACCTCAAGTGGTCTGCCCGCCTTGGCCTCCCAAAGTGCTGGAATTAATAGGCGTGAGCCACTGCACTCAGTGTGTCTGTTTCTGATGTTTTTTAGAATTAGGGTCTCACTCTATTGCCCAGGCTGGAGTGCAGTGGCTCAGTCATAGCTCACTGCAGCTTCAGCCTTCTGGGCTCAAGCCATCCTCCCACCTCAACATCCCAAGTAGCTGGGATTACAGATGTGCACTACCATGCCCAGCCAATTAAAAAAATTTTTTTTGTAGAGACAGGGTCTCACTGTTTCGCAGACTGATCTTGAACTCCTAGGCTCAAGTGATCCTCCAGTCTTGGCCTCCCAAAGTGCTGGGATTACAGGTGTAAGCCACAGTGCCCGGCCCCTTGTCTCTAGTTCTGATGTGGCCCTAAACACATGCCCTGGTCCTGGTACCTGCCACACTGTGCCTGCCTATCCTGTCTGCCTCCACATCTGCCTCCCTCTTCTCCTTTGTGAACTCCTCAAGGGCAGGAACCAATGTCCTGTTTATTTCTGTGTGTGGCCCCGCATCTAGCACAGCAACAGCAATGCCTGTTAACTGTATTAAAGTGCGTGTCTTTAAAGCCTAAAAGCAGTATCTAGGCAGGACTAAGAAAACCAAAACTGCTCACTTTGAATAGGTATGTTATATATCACTGGGAAAAATGAAATATTTTCTAGATGTGATGTTTAGAAATCTAGAATTGAGTCAACAGCACTCTTACTATTGGTTCTCCCTGATTTTGTGGTCACTGATGCGTCCGTGGACATGGCCCGGGCAACTCCTGGGTCTTGGTGCTCTGTGACCTCCAAGTCTTGAGCTTGGATTTCCTTCCACCGGGGTTCCTAGTATGTCTCCCCTCATGCCCTCCTTAAACAGTGCCCTGGAAAGCAGCTTAGCCAGGCTGGGGCTCAAGAGAGCTTGTTAGATTCCAGAACCCCAGATTCCTTCCCTAGCCTTGTATATAGCTACAAGTCCAACTTGTCTGCATTTCCTTAAAATGAAAACAACTAAACAGAGGAAAGAAAGACAGGCCCTGCTTTCAAATCCACAGCGCTGCAGTGTTCTCTGGTCCTGCGTTTGTTGGGATTTGAAGTCTGCCCTCTGCTCGAGTGTGATGGCCCACACCGGCATGGGGAGAGCATCAGGCTTGCTCGGGGCCTCCCTGGCTGCCAGTCCCTTACTTTGAATTCACTGCCCTCCGGCTGGAGCATCACACTTGGTGGGCAGAGCTCCTTGCCGCTCTTGGTACCTGCACATGTGCATGGCTGCTAAACCTGCACGCGGCACTCGGTACACGGACTTCATCCTTCAGCAGATGCTTTTTTTTTTTTTTTTTTTTGAGACAGAGTCTTGCTCTGCCACCCAAGCTGGAGGGCAGTGCCATGATCTCAACTCATAGCAACTCTGCCTCCCAGGTTCAAGTGATTCTCCTGCCTCAGCCTCCCGAAGAGCTGGGATTACAGGCCCCCATCACCACACCTGACTAATTTTTTTTTTGTATTTTTAGTAGAGACAAGGTTTCACTGTGTTAGACTGGCTGATCTCTAACTCCTCACCTTGGGTGAGCTGCCCACCTCAGCCTACCAAAGTGCTGGGATTATAGGCATGAGCCACTGCATCTGGCCCAGCAGTTGCTTTCTGCTTGGTTGCCAGTAATTTCTCAATGAACTTCTGGGCTGCAACTAAATTTTGTATTTCTTTCCCTAACTTCCCCTGAATCACTGAGTAACCTCAGGCTTAATGGGTCTGTTTCTTTCTCTATAAAATAGGAGGGTGGCTGGGCACAGTGGCTCATGCCTGTAATCCTAGCACTTTGGGAGGCCAAGGCAGGAGGATCAGTTGAGGTCAAGAGTTTGAGACCAGCCTGGACAACTTGGGGAAACCCAGTCTCTACTAAAAATACAAAAAATTAGCTGGGGGTGGTGGCGCATGCCTGTGATCCCAGCTACTCAGGAGGCAGAGGCAGGAGAATCACTTGAACCCAGGAGGCAGAGGCTGCAGTGAGCTGTGATCATGCCACTGTACTCCAGCCTGGGCAGCAGAGCAAGACCGTGTCTCAAAAACAAAATAATACTAAATAAATAAAATAAGAGGGAGTGTTAACCCAAATCTGAGATTTTGAACTTTTTTTTAGGAATGGGGGATCCCTTTCATTTAAAAAAGAAATGGGCCAGGCTGGGTGGCTCATCCCTATAACCCTAACTCTTTGCAGGGCCAAGATGGATCACTTGAGGTCAGGAGTTTGGGGCTGCAGTGAGCTATGATCACACTACTGTGACCAGCCTAGGTGACAGAACAAGACCTTGTCTCAAAAAAAGAAAAAAAAAATTAGCTGGGCGTGATGGCATGCACCTAGCTATTCAGAAGGCTGCGGCAGGATTGATTAAGCCTAGGAATTCAAGGCTATAGTGAGCTATGATGGCGCTTGGATGACCGAGCATGACCTGGGTGACAGAGCAAGACCCTGTTTCTAAAAAGTAAAAAATAAAAGCCGGGCGCGGTGGCTCACGCCTGTAATCCCAGCACTTTGGGAGGCTGAGGCAGGTGGATCACGAGGTCGAGATCGAGACCATCCTGGTCAACATGGTGAAACCCCATCGCTACTAAAAATACAAAAAATTAGCTGGGCATGGTGGCGTGTGCCTGTAATCCCAGCTACACAGGAGGCTGAGGCAGGAGAATTGCCTGAACCCAGGAGGCGGAGGTTGTGGTGAGCGGAGATTGCGCCATTGCACTCCAGCCTGGGTAACAAAAGTGAAACTCCGTCTCAAAAAAAAAAAAGTAAAAAATAAAATGAAGGGAGGGAGGGAGGAAGAAATAAATGAACAAATGAATGAATGAACAAATAAAGTCTTATAAATTAGTCCAAAATGTAGCCACGCATGGTGGCTCACACCTATAATTCCAACACTTTGGGAGGCCAAGGCAGGAGGATCACCTGAGGTCAGGAGTTTGAGACTAGGCTGGCCAACATGGCGAAACCCTGTCTCTACCAAAAAAAATTAATACAAAAATGAGCTTGCTGTGGTGGTGCATGCCCATAATCCCAGATACTCAGGAAGCTGAGGCAGAGGTTGCAGTGGCCCAAGATCTCACCACTGCAGTCTGGCCTGGGTGACAGAGTGAGACCCTATCTCCAAATAAATAAGTCTGAAACATAAAACAGACCATCGTGGAGCTGCCCAGTTTGTGGTGGGAGTGAGGAGACTGGCACAGACCAGTTTGGGGTAAGGTCCTTCCCGACAGCATGGCAACCCACTCCATGGGTGCCAGTAGCAGGCAAGAGGCACCCCCACAGTGCCCAGGAGCAGTGCACAGCAACAGTTGGGGCCACACCACTGTTACAGCCCGACTCCTTTCCTCTTATCTCTTCCTTCCTCCACCTCACCTTTAGTGTTTTAAGTGCAAATCGAGATTGTTTATTGCTTACTAAGTAACTTACCACCCAGTGTTACTTTGGGTGGTCAACATTTAACTAGGTGGTTTCTAAGATCCCTTCAACTCGTTCTAATCAGAATTTGTGATCTGGAGGGCTGAGCTGGGCTGGGATTTACATTGCACTGGAAGGAGAGGGTTTGCTCATGCTGAGAGAAAGGCTGGGGCAGATTCGTACAGTTCTAAGAAACCATTTCAAAGCCTGCTAACAGTAATTTTTTTTTTTTTTTTTTTTTTTGCAAATATGCTACTGATTATGGAGGAGTATTTTAAAATTAAAATGGGAACTTTCTAAATGCTTTAAACATATGCAATATGGGCTTCGAAATAATGTAGTGGGTGGCAAGATTAGAGGTTTATACAGATGAAACCTCAGCAGCCATTTAGTGACGGCTCAAGCTGGGTATTGTGCACCTGGGAGTCTCCTACTCTTTTTCTCTTTACTTTTGTACGTGTTTGAAATTTGACATCTGAAAGTGTTTCTGAAGCAGTCTGTAATTCAGACCTTGTGGCTGGCCTTCTCCAGCTTACTGCAAATGGCAGGATTCGTTGCTGTGTTAATATGTTTAACATGAAGACGTGGCTTGATATTCATGACCTGTAATGTACCCATTGCTTCCTTTTAGATTCCAGAGTGTCTCTGTAGCCATTCAGCACCTGAATCACAGTATTTCATCTTGTAAATCAATTGCAGGCGGCAGCTTCAGACTCAAGCAAAACTGGTTTTAGAGGAAAACAAGTTGTTGCTGGAGCAGTTGGAGATTCAGCAAAGGAAGGCCAAGGACAGCCACCAGGAGCGCCTCCAAGAAGGTGAGGTCTTTCCGGCTGAGCACTGGCCACACGCTGATGTCACTATTGTCATTTTACCCTTCTACCTCCCTCCTGCTGGGGTCCCCATCATGTTTTACATTCTTTACTGAAATGCAACTTAAAACCTTTCCAAGTCATTATCCTCAATGCATAGATTGCTTTCTTAAACTCCACTGTCTCTAATCATCCTATGGGTTTGTAAATCACTTATAGGTGACCGTGCTAGACTCAGCAGAGCTGGTTTTAGAGTAAAATAGTACCTTAGAAATGGAAAAGACCACCAGAGGTAAACATCTGAAATAATACAGGGTCTCTTCCTGGATAGCTGTTGGATGAGTAAATCAGCAGAACCGTTCACTTTCTAAACAGTTCGCCTGTGTCTTTCCTTCCTTCAGAGCTTGCGGGCATGGGAGGCGAAACCTCTGCAGGTTCGATCACCGTCAGACACCTTCCAAGAGTGTCCCTCTTCCCGTCTCTTCCCACGCACTCCCCCAACCAACCCTTAGGAGCCTACAGTCTGTGACAGTGCACAGCTGTAAGGAGACCAGGCTAAGAGTCATTGCTTCTGCTTTAAAACCACAATTTATTTTATTTGAAATGGGATTTCACCATTTTAACCAGGCTGGTCTCGAACTCCTGACCTTAGATGATCCGTCCGCCTTCGCCTCCCAGAGTACTGGGATTACAGGCGTGAACCACTGTACCCGGCCTAAAACCACAGTTTATGAGTACAAAATGCAGTAGTGTGTTTTTCTCTTTGCTTTACTTTTTTCCTTTCCTAGTGAAGAATGGCATAGGCTGGGAAGCTGAAACACAAGCCGTCTTGCATGAGGCCAGTGGCACTCGGATAAGCAGATGGAGGTTTTCCCCTCTCCAGCTGCTTATGGAATGGCAGCCCCTTCCATGCCATGGCAGGTCCATGACGAGGCCCTGCTGTGGCTGCAGTTGCTGGGCTAGCACTTTCTGTGTTTCTTAGAGCCAGGTCATGTTTAAAGATGACAGCATCTCAGAGAGGTACACAGGAGTTTCCTGCCTCTGACTTCCCCTGAGATCTGCGTGGCCCAGGAGTATTTGCCTTTACTCTCACATTGTCAAGCGGGAGAGGGGAAACAGAGTTGTGGGCCCTCCTATCTTTGTTTATGGGGTTGGGGATGACATTAATTTCCTATTTACTGAGCTTCATTTTCTTTAACCTACCAAATCTGAACAGATATGAGAATTTCTGGTCACACAGGGCAGGGAAACCTTTTGACCTGTATGATTCAGTGAGTGGCCTAGGCTGTTTTGCCATTATCCAGAAACAGCCATTTAGATGTTCTCTTTGACCAATTAGATATTTTCTTCTTTCTTTGAGACAGAGTCTCACTCTGTCACCCAAACAGGAGTGCAGTGGCACAATCTCGGCTCCCAGATTCCAGCAATTCTCCTGCCTCAGCCTCCTGGGTTGCTGGGATTACAGGCACGCACCACCATGCCCAGCTAATTTTTGTATTTTTAGTAGAGACGGGGTTTCACCATGTTGACCAGGATGGTCTCAATCTCTTGACCTCATGATCCACCCACCTCGGCCTCCCAAAGTGCTGGGATTACAGGCTTGAGCCACCGTGTCCGACCCTCTTTTTTTTTTTTTTTTTTTTTTTTTTTTTTTGAGACAGAGTTTCGCTCTTGTTACCCAGGCTGGAGTGCAATATCATAATCTCAGCTCACCGCAACCTCCGCCCAACCCGGGACAGTAATTTCTAAAGAGAAGGCCTGGCGGGGTGCGGTGGCTCATGCCTGTAATCCCAGCACTTTGAGAGGCTGAGGCGGGAGGATCACGAGGTCAAGAGATCGAGACCATCCTGGTCAACGTGGTGAAACCCTGTCTCTACTAAAAATTCAAAAAATTAGCTGGGTATGGTGGCGCGTGCCTGTAATCCCAGCTACTCAGGAGGCTGAGGCAGGAGAATTGCCTGAACCCAGGAGGCGGAGGTTGCGATGAGCCGAGATCGTGCCATTGCACTTCAGCCTGGGTAACAAGAGCGAAACTCTGTCTCAAAAGAAAAAAAAAGAGAAAGCCTTTGGTGTTAATTTATAACGCTCCAGAAGATCTTTAACAGGTCATTTTTATCAGCTGACTCTCATTAGTATTTCCTAATAGCCAGTAATTGTGTTTTCTGAAGCCTTCTGTGCCAAGTTTGTATCCTCCTCTTTTTGTTTTTCAGTTTCTAAGGTGACTAAACAACTAATGCTCCTGGAGGCGAAAACCCAGGACCAGGAAAAGGAGTTGGCAGAGAACAGGGAACAGTTAGAGATTTTACGTGCCAAATGCCGAGAACTCAAAACACACTCAGAGGGCAAAATCGCAGTGGAAGTTCATAAATCAATTGTAAATGAATTAAAAAGGTAAGGAGTTAATGTTTTGTCTTTTTTATTTTTATTTTTATTATTGAGACAGGGTCTTGCTATGTTGTCCAGGCTGGTCACAAACTCCTGGACTCAAGCGATCTGCCCACCTCAGCCTCTCAAAGTGTTGGGATTACAGGCATGAGCCACTATACCCAGCTGATTTAGTGCCTTTTTGAGTATAATGAGTCATTCTGCCTGTTAGGTTACAGGCAGAATGGAGAGAGGTTGCTGAGTCCTTTCTGGGTTTCTTCACCTATGGTCATGCACGGCATAGCAGCACGGGTGTCTGAAAGTGAGAATGGGACTTTTTTTTTTTTAACGGAGTCTCACTCTGTCACCAGGATGGAGTGCAGTGGCGTGATCTCAATTCACTGCAACCTCTGCCTCTCAGGTTCAAGCGTTTCTTCTGCCTCAGCCTCCTGAGTAGCTGGGACTACAGGCACTTGCCACCATGCTAAGCTAATTTTTGTATTTTTAGTAGAGATGGGGTTTCACCACGTTGCCAGGCTGATCTTGAACTGGGCTCCAGCAGTTCACTCACCTTGGCCTTCCAAAGTGCTGGGATTCCAGGCGTGAGCCACCACGTTGGGCCAGACATGTGCTTTTCTGTTGCAGTAGAGGAAGGAAATCTTTTTGAAATCGTGGTCATCTTTATAATTTTATTTTTCTCAGACATGTATTCCTGCAGCCAACGTGTTTTGTGGTTGTGTCATAACTACATAAATATACATGAAACAATGCTTCAGTCAACAATGGATGACATATACAGCAGTGGTCCCATACAAGTATAATGGGGCCAAAATATTCCTGTCACTTGGTGATGCCATAGCCATTGTAACATCATAGCTCAATGCCTGACTCACGTGTTTGTGATGATGCTGGTGTAAACCGGCGCTGCCAGTGCACAATCCTTGAGAATGATAATAAATGACTATGTTACTGGTTTGTGTATTTACCCTACTTTTTTTTTTGAGATGGAGTCTCGCTCTTGTTGCCTAGGCTGGAGTGCAATGGCGTGATCTTGGCTTACGACAGCCACTGCCTCCTGGGTTCAAGCAATTCTCCTGTCTCGGCCTCCCAAGTAGCTGGGATTACAGGCATGTGCCACCATGCCCAGCTACTTTTTTTTTTTTTTTTGGTATTTTTAGTAGAGACAGGGTTTCACCATGTTGGTAGGTATCGAACTCCTGACCTCGTGATCCACCTGCCTTGGCCTCCCAAAGTGCTGGGATTACAGGTGTGAGCCACCATGCCTGGCCGTATTTACCCCACTTTTTTTTTTTATTATTTTAGAGTGCACTTCTACTTATAAAAGAATAAAGTTAACTGTAAAACAGGCTCAGGAGGGTCCCTCAGGAGGTGTCCAGAAGCAGGCATTGTTATCACAGGAGGTGAAAGCTCCATGCGTGTTACCGCCCCTGAAGACTTTCCAGTGGGTTGAGACATGGAGGTGGAGGACAGTGACACTGATGATCCTGCCCCTCTGAAGTCCTAGGCTCCTATGTGCATTTGTTCTTCATTAAAAAAAGAAACAAAAAAGTCTAGAAAGTTAAAAAAAAATTTTAATAGAAAAAAGCTTGAGATTAACAATATAAAAATAGAAAATATTTTTGTATAGCTGTACAACTTGTGTTTTAAGCTAAGTGTTATAAAAAAGTCAAAAAGTTAAAATTAAAAAGTTTATAAAGTACAAAGTTGTAGTAAACTAAAATTAATGTAGTATTGAAGGAAGAAAACTTTTAAAAATAACTAGTTAAGGGCCAGGCACGGTGGCTCATGCCTGTAATCCCAGCACTTTGGGAGGCCGAGGTGGGTGGATCACTTGAGGTCAGGAGACTGAGACCAGCCTGGCCAACATGGTGAAACTCTATCTCTGCTAAAAACACAAAAATTAGCCAGATGTGATGGTGTATGCCTGTAGTCGCAGCTTCTCAGGAGGCTGAGGCAGGAGAATGGCTTGAACCCGGGAGGCGCAGGTGGGTGACAGAGTAAGACTCTGTCTAAAAAAAAAAAAAGAGAAACCACAGACATATTTAGAGGGAAAGCATTTGTAGACTGTCCTCAGAATGTTAAAGTATGTGGTCTTTATTCTCTTTGTTTAGTTTAGTTTAGTTTAAGGTAAGATCTCGTCCTGTCTTCCAGGCTGGAGTGAAGCGGCTCCATCATGGCTCACTTGCAGCCTTGAGCTCCAGGCTCAAGCGATTCTCCTCCCTTGGTTTCCCAAGTGGCTGGGACTGTACTCATGTGCCACCATGTGGGAATAACTTTGAAATATTTTTGTTGTAATGTGGTTTTGCTGTGTTGCCCGTGTTGGTCTTGTACTCCTGGCCTCAAGTGACCCTTCTCCCTTGGCCTCCAAAAGTGTTAGGATTATAGGCATGAGCACCAGTCCTGGCCCCTGGTCTTTGTCTGGGAGGGTTTTAAGAAAGTCCTAGGTGGTTCACGCCTGTAATCCCAGCACTTTGGGAGGCCAAGGCGGGCAAATCATGAGGTCAAGAGATCGAGACCATCCTGGCCAACCTGGTGAAACCCCAACTCTAATAAAAATACAAAAATTAGCTGGGCCTGGTGGCACACACATGTAGTACCAGCTACATGGGGGACTGAGGCAGGAGAATTGCTTGAATCCAGGAGGCAGAGGTTGCACAGTGAGCTGAGATCATGTCACTGCATTCCAGCCTGGCGACAGAACAAGACTTCATCTCAAAGAAAAAAAAAAGTCCTGGGGGGAGTGGGGCGCAGTGGCTTATGCCTGTGATCCGGGCACTTTGGGAGGCCAGGGTGGGAGGATCTCTTGGACCCAGGAGTTCAAAATTTCTTCAGGGAAGTACAAAACATGACATAGTGGATTTGTGAAAGAAACAAATAGAATTTTTAGAACTGAAACACACAATAGCCAAAATTAAGAATTCTTACTCTTAAAGATGTTCTGTTTATATATATACACACACATACGTGTATATATATAAAATATATATATATTTATATATAAATATTAGTATTTTTATATATTTGTATGTGTATGTATATATGTGTGTATGTGTGTGTGTATATATATTATATAAAAATGAGGATAATAAGATGGAGAGAGACTTGCAGTCAGGAGGACTGTTTAGATGTGATGTTCAAGGAAGGCCCCCCTCTGGCTAATTCAAGGCAGGATGCCTGAGAAGGAAGAAGGAAGTAAAATGAAAGTAAATGATAGTGGTAAATATACAGGTAAATGTGATGACCATGAGTCTATAAAATGATAATATGTTCGGGATTTAAGAATACATAAAATTAAAAGGCGTGACAATAATAGCATCTAATCAGGCACAAGTTCCATGGAGTTTGCGTTCTAAAGTCTTTATATCATTTGGAAGAGGATAAAAGTGTTACTAATTTTATAATTTGAAAATATGTATGATGAAATTTCTGGAAACAATGTATATAACTTTTAAACTAGTATGGGAGGGAAAAGAATGCTTAAAAAATAATCCAAATAAGAGCAGGAAAATGAAAGGTAGGCAAGTGGGAGGACAGAAAACATGAAGTAAAATGTTAGGTTTAAAACCCAACATATTAATAGTAGATACACTAAATGGACAAAATGCTCCAATTAAAAGACAAAGAATGTCAGACTGGCTAAACTAAAACACAATTGTGTTGTCTTTAAGATATGTCGCAAGCATAAAGATAGAGAAAGGTTAAAAGTAAAAGGACAGCCCAACCCCCTCCACCCCCCGGACCCAAGTGATCCTCCTGCCTCAGCCTCCTGAGTAGCTGGGACTACAGGCGTGTACCACTGCTCCTGGCTAATTTATAATCTTTTTTGTAGAGACAGAGTCTCATTATGTTGTCCAGGCTGGTCTCAAACTCCTGGCCTTGAATGAGCCTCCCCGCTTGGCCTCCCAAAGTGCTAGGATTACAGTGGGGGCCCTGCACCCGGCCTGCAGGGTTTCTTTACTCTGCATGAAGTTCGTGAAGCTTCTTGGGGCCATCAGTGTATATTTTTCATCAAGTTTGGAACTCTCTCGGCTCAACTTGAACGTTCTCTTGTTTGTCCCTCTCGCCTCTCCTGGACTGCTTGATGTTGTTCTTTTGATTACTCTGTTCACTTTTTCCCCCACGCTTGTTTCTCTCTGGGCTTCAGTCAGACAGTGTATATCACTGTGCCTTCAACTTCACAAATCTTTACTTCTACAATCTCATCTGCTGCTAGTCCCATCCAATATATTGTTCGCTCAGCGTAATGATTTTCCCACCTCCGTAAGATCCCTTCGTGTCTTTTTTCTATTCTCTGTCTCCAGCATGCTGTTTTTCTCTGCTTTCTCAAACGTAGGAGCATGTTTTTCTAAAACGCTTTTATTGCCACTGCCATCATCTTTCTCACTTCTGGATCTGTTCTGTTGATTTTTTTTCCCTCCTGATCATGGATCATATTTTACTGCTTATTCTCATGCTTGATTGGGTGCTGGATGGTGTAGATTTTATGTTGCAGGATGCTAGGCTTATTGCATTGCTTTAAATAGTGTTAGATATCATTGTGGTGCACACTTACGCCACTAGAGAATTGTTGGATTCTTTATTTAATGTATTTATTTTTGTAAAAACAGGCTCTTCTTATGTTGCCCAGGTTGGTCTTAAAGTCCTGGGCTAAAGCGATCTTCCCACCTCAGCCTCCCAAAGTGCTGGGATTATAGGCGTGAGCTATCGCACCTGGCTAAGCTGGATTCTTCCAAAGCTGAGGTTTGTTAGGGTGGACCCAAAGCATCCTCTAGTCTAGGGCTAAGTTAGCCCCACTGCTAAGACAGTAACACTTCTCTTTTATTATAAGTCCTTTCCATTCTGACTGGTGGGTGCATGAACTATTTCCGGTTCTTTGTAAATGTCAGAAATTGTTCTGCCTACTCTTTGTAGTGTTTCTTTCCTCTGCCTTAGGCAGTTTCCTCTCACATACAGACAGAGCAGTACCCAGCTAAAGACCCCTCAAGATCTCCAGAGCCCTTTCTCCCTCTGTGAAACGCCCTCTGCCCTGCCCTGGAAATTCCGGCTGCCTTGACCTGGGCTCAGCAGGTGTCTGCCAGACAAGACGGTGCCGGGAGCAGTTGCAGCACTCACTTTGTGTTCCCTTCCCTTCGGGATCACAGTCCTGCCTCGCCTGTTGTCCAAAGTCTGAAAACTTGTTTCTTCCGTTTTGCCTCGTTTTCTAGATGAAGGGTAAATCTGGTCTCTCTAACTCTATCTTGGCTGTAAGCAGAAGTCTTTGTATTTTCAACATTCTACTTTAACCTTTTATCGTTAATCCAGCTCAACAATTTATCCAATAAAATAATAGTTAAATAAGTTTACAGTGAAAGAAACCAATCCTGGATTTTGTATGTTTTACAGTTGACAAACCTTAAAATCACATTGTTGTGTATTCCTGCTGTGCTGGTAAAGGATGCAGCCCCTGTCCCAAGTTACTCTCTGTGCAGATTCAGTCCCAAACTGACATTCACCAAAACAAGTGCCCCTGTGTTCTTTCTTTTGTCTTAAAAACATGTATTTATAATTACATTATTAGGAAAAAATTTTTTAACAGTAGGGTTTTTTAAAAATCTAGCATTTATAACCATGTAAAAAGTAGAACAGTCTTAGATATTTTTTTTTTTGCAAGGAATAGGGTATAAACACACACACACACACCCCAAAACTGTGGGCAAAAAGAGGTTAGATCATCACCATAAAAGAACTGTGGCTGGGTGTGGTGGCTCATGCCTGTAATCCCAGCTCTTAGGAAAGCTAAGGCAGGAGAATTACTTGAGCCCTAGGGTTTGAAACCAGCCTGGGCCACATAGTGAGACCTTGTCTTTACTAAAAACACAAAAATTAGCCAGGCATGGTGTGTGCCTGTGGTCCCTGCTGGGAGGTTGAGGTAGGAGGATAGCTTGAGTCCAGAAGTTCAAAGTTGCAGTGATCAATGATTGTACCACTGCACTTCAGCCTAGGCAACAGAGTGAGACCCTGTCTCAAACACACACACACACACACACACACAGAGTGTGTGCTCAGCCACACCCTCTCTCCCATTGTCTAGCAGCTTGGTCCGAGGTTCTCTAGGGCCCAGGATGGGGAGATGTTTCCACAGAGGACTTCCAAGTGACCCACCCAGGGGCTGGAGAGCTGGGCTCTTATTACTCATCTGCCCGATTTTAGCTTCATTGTGCAGGATGCGAGCCTGTAATGTTTTTGTACTTCAGCCAGTTACAGAAGGAAGAAGAGAAAGAAAGGGCTGAGATGGAAGAGCTGATGGAAAAGCTGACAGTCCTGCAGGCACAGAAGAAGAGCCTGCTGTTAGAGAGGAACAGTCTCACAGAGCAGAAGAAAGTGCTGGAAGCCGAACTTGAAAAAGCACAGAAAATAAATAGGTTCATATCTTTTTCCTTTAAGTTGGTTTTTATTTTCAGTAGTTAAAAAAGACAAGTGGGCTGGGTGCAGTGGTTCGTGCCTGTAATCCCAGCACTTTGGGAGGCCAAGGCAGGTGGATCATTTGAGGTCAGGACCAGCCCAGCCAACATGGTGAAATCCCATCTCTACTAAAAATACAATAACTAGCCAGGCGATGGTGGCAGGCTCCTGTAATCCCAGCTACTCGGAGGCTGAGGCAGGAGAATCACTTGAGCCTGTGAGGCAGAGGTTGCAGTGAGCTGAAATTGTGCCATTGCACTCCAGCCTGGGCGACAGAGTGAGACCCAGTCTCAAAAAAGACAAATGAAGATTATTCCATTTCATTTCTTTTAACCTTTTCTTTTTCTTATAGTGGCTATAAAATGGAAAAGGGTAGTTATAATGACTGGATATCAGACTATAATAAGTATGTTTCTGTTAACCAACTTTTTTTTTTTTTTTTTTTGAGACGGAGTTTCGCTCTTGTTACCCAGGCTGGAGTGCAATGGCCGATCTTAGCTCACCGCAACCTCCGCCTCCTGGGTTCAGGCGATTCTCCTGCCTCAGCCTCCTGAGTAGCTGGGATTACAGGCATGCACCACCATGCCCAGCTAATTTTTTTTTGTATTTTTAGTAGACGGGGTTTCACCATGTTGACCAGGATGGTCTCGATCTCTTGACCTCATGATCCACCTGCCTTGGCCTCCCAAATGCTGGGATTACAGGCGTGAGCCACCACGCCCGGCCCCTGTTAACCAACGTTAACCAACATTTCCTTTTAGAACATGAGCTAGAAAGTTAATAGAATAATATGTAATGAGCCTGTAGGACAGGTGCAGTGGCTCATGCCTGTAATCCCAGCACTTTGTGAAGCTGGGATGACGGGCAGATCACTTGAGGTCAGGAGTTCAAGACCAGCCTGGCCAACAGAAACCGTGGCTACTTAAAAAAAAAAAACCAGAAAATTAGCTGGCCAGTAATCTAGTAATTGGATCCAGTAATCCCAAAGTAGACTTTTGGGACATGGTTAGGAAAACTTTGAGTCTAAGGGTTATCATATGACTATTGGTGGTGCCTGTAATCCCAGCTGAGTAATCAGGAGGCTGAGGCATGAGAATCACTTGAACCTGGGAGGTGAAGGTTGCAGTGAGCTGTGATCAGGCCACTGCACTCCAGCCTGGGCAACAGAGCAAGACTATGTCTCAAAAAACAAACAAACAAACTATATATATATATATATATATATATAATTTAATGAGCTTATTCATTGTTAAGACATTTGGAACTCCTCCTATTAACTTGAGCGTTCGGGTCACTGATTATGCTCCGTTTCAAATTAAATTCAGTTACCTCTTCTCACCGTGAAACTTAATAGAAGATTTAGGTTGCTGAAGAATAGCATTTAAATGCTAACATACTTGCTGTTTTTGTAATACAGATATTCACCATGCCCTAGCCATGTAAACGAATGGGTTTTTTTGTTCTACCATTTGGGGTAACTCTTAGGAAATCTCAGAAGAAAATTGAGGTCCTCAAAAAGCAGGTGGAAAAAGCCATGGGGAATGAAATGTCTGCTCACCAGTACCTGGCAAACCTTGTTGGCCTGGCAGAGACTGTAACCCAGGAACGTGACAGTCTTAAGTGTCTGGTAAGTTTCCTGAAGGTTACATCAAGTAAACTGCAAGTTAATATGCAAATGTGATTTTAAGAGTGTTTTTTTAAATGATCTTTTAAAAGCTTTACGCAGGCACTCCCTGACTTATAAGGGATGCTTTGACCTAGGAATTTTTGACTTTATGAAGTATTTATTGGGAAGTAACCTTATTGTAAGTTGAGGAGCTCCTTATAACTTACAGTTACCATTTATACTAACTGCCTGTTGCTTTCACACCATTATAAATGTTGAAAAAATGTAGATTGAATCATCATAAGTTGGGAACCAACTGCTGTGTTGTCAGGATTAAATGCATGTTTGATATACAGTTTGTTTGACTTATGATGGGTTTATCAGGATGTAGCCCTGTTGTAAGTTGAGAAGCATCTGTATTTTAAAATTTCAACTGTATTACCCTGTCATGGTGCTGTGTCCTATAGTCCCAGCTACTCAGGAAGCGGAGGCAGGAGGATCATTTGAGCCCAGGAATTTGAGACCAGCCTGGGCAACATAGTGAGATCCCATGTCTACAAAAAAATTTAAAAATTAGCCGGACATGGTGGCATGCACCTGTAGTCTCAGCTACTCAGGAAGCTGAGGTGGGAGGATCACTTAATTGTGGGAGTTTAAGGCTGCAGTGAGCTATGACTGTACTACTGCATTCCAGCCTGGGAGACAGAGCAAGACCCTGTCCCTAAAACAAAATAAGAAAGAAAAATGTTAATTAAACTGGTTTTGAGATACCATTCTCAAAAAATGTTACAAATCTTTTTTTTTTTTTTTGAGATGGACTTTCACTCTTGTTACCCAGGCTGGAGTGCAATGGCGCAATCTCAGCTCACTGCAACCTCTGCCTCCTGGGTTCACGCGATTCTCCTGCCTCAGCCTCTTGAGTAGCTGGGATTACAGGCACGTGCCACCATGCCCAGCTAATTGTTTGTATTTTTAGTAGAGACGGGGTTTCACCATGTTGACCAGGATGGTCTTGATCTCTTGACCTTGTGATCCACCTGCCTTGGCCTCCCAAAGTGCTGGGATTATAGGTGTGAGCCATAATTTTTTATATTTCATTGGGTTTCACCGTGTTAGCCAGGATGGTTTTGATCTCTTTGCCTTGTGATCTATCCACTGGTGAAAGTAGGCATCCTTAACTAGTTTCAGTTCTGAGGGGAAAGGCTTTTAGCTTTTCCCTACTCGATATGATGTTAGCTGTGAGTTTGTCATATATGGCATTTATTATGTTAGGTATGTTCCATCTATGCCTAGTTTACCAAGGGTTTTTGATCATGAAGGGATGTTGAATTTTTATCAGTTTTTTTTTCTGTGTCCGTTGAGGTGCTCATCTGGTTTTGATCCTTTGTCCTGTTGATGTGATCTGTTGTGTTTATGGATTTGTGAGTGTTGAACCGTCTTTGCATCTCTTGATCCCACTTGATCATGGCATGTTATTTTTTTGATGTGCTGTGGAATTTGGTTTGCTAGCATTTTGTTGAGGATTTTGCATCTGTATTCATTCATTAGGGATATTGGCCTGTAGAATTCTTTTTTATTGTGGCTTTCTCTGGTTTTGGTATGAGGGTATTGCTGACCTCAAAGAATTAGAGAATCCCTTCCTCTTCCTTTTTTTTTTTTTTTTGGAATAGTTTGAGGAGAATTTGTATTAGTTCTTTGTAAGGTCGGTAGAATTTGGCAGAAAAACCATCTGGTCTTGGACTTTTCTTTGTTGGGAAACTTTTTATTAATAATTCAATCTCATTATTTGTTTATTGGTTTTCTCTTTCTTTCTTTTTTTTTTTTTTTTTTGAGACGGAGTTTCGCTCTTGTTACCCAGGCTGGAGTGCAATGGCGCGATCTCGGCTCACGGCAACCTCCGCCTCCTGGGTTCAGGCAATTCTCCTGCCTCAGCCTCCTGAGTAGCTGGGATTACAGGCGCACGCCACCATGCCCAGCCAATTTTTTGTATTTTAGTAGAGACAGGCAACATGGGGTTTCACCATGTTGACCAGGATGGTCTCTATCTCTTGACCTCGTGATCCACCCGCCTCGGCCTCCCAAAGTGCTGGGATTATAGGCGTGAGCCACCGTGCCCGGACTTCTTTCTGATTCAATCTTGGTAGTGTTGCTGATGGGCCAGTTCAGATTCTTGACTTCACTACACAAAAGAATGAGAGCAAGTTCAAAGTAAAAGCAGGCAAAGAAGTTTATTGCAAAGCAAAAGTACATTCCATGAGACAGAGGAAGAGACAGCCCCTAGTATCTTAAGGGAATGTCCCTTTATAGGAGTTACGCATGCATATTCATAAAGAACTGGTAGGTTGAGGCCGGGCATGGTGGCTCAAGCCTGTAATCCCAGCACTTTGGGAGGCCGAGGCAGGTGGATCACGAGGTCAAGAGATGGAGACCATCTGGTCAGCATGGTGAAACCCCGTCTCTACTAAAAATACAAAAAATTAGCTGGGCACGGTGGCGTGTGCCTGTAATCCCAACTACTCGGGAGGCTGAGGCAGGAGAATTGCCTGAACCCAGGTGGCGGAGGTTGCAGTGAGCCGAGATCGCGCCATTGCACTCCAGTCAGGGTAACAAGAGTGAAACTCCGTCTCAAAAAAAAAAAAAAAAAGAACTGGTAGGTTGAGTGGGCAAAGGTGGACCTGTAGTTGGTGCATGCACTCAGTCTACATGCTCTAACATGCATCACATGTCTCATTAGGGGTGTGTTTTTTACTATTAAAATGAAGAAAAGGTCACTATAAACAAAACCTTGCTCCTAGCTGTGCATGCAGGACCCTGGAGAAGTCTTTATCCCTCCCCGGGCAGAAATTGGTAGTAGCTAATTCCTAGTAGCTAAGAGAGTAGCTTCTTGGGCTTTTGGTGCTGATTGGCTGGAGACTGGGGAAGCTACATTATGAATGAGGGACTTTGGTTCTTTTTCCCAGGCCATACTGGGTATCGGGAAGATGTAACCACCTGGTAGTTGGCTGGGATCCTGTGGGACTACTTACCTTGCGAAAGAGTTAGGTGCTGACATACAAGGGTGGTGCACATAAAAGGATCCCACGCCAAAGGAGCCTGTGGAGCTTCACTAAAGGGTGACAAGTCAGTACGGTCTCATAACTTTACTTATCCTGCCTCTGTAGGTTGTATGTTGTCCAGAAATATATTCATTTTCTCTAGGTTTTCCAGTTTGTCAGCAGTGATTTCTCACTATGTTGCCCAGGTTGACCGTGAATGCCTGGGTTCAAGTAGTCCTCCTGCCTCAGCCTCCTGCATCACCGGGACCATAAGAACACTTCATCCTGCCTCACTTAGTTCTGCTCTGATCTTTATTTTTTCTTTCTACTAATTTGGGGTATGGTTCGTTCTTGTTTTTCTAGTTCCTAGTTCATCATTAGGTTGTTGATGTGAAATCTTTCCACTTTTGCGATGCAGGCATTTATTGCTATAAAATTCCCTCTTAGTACTGCTTCTGCTGTATCTATGGGGTACCTGTGGGTTTTGGTATCTTGTGTTTATGATGTCGTGTTTTTCATTTGTTTCGAGAAATCTTCGACATCTTCCTTAATTTCTTCATTGACTCAATCGTTAAAGGGCACATTGTGTAATTTCCATGTGTTTGTACAGTTTTCAAAGTTCCTCTTGTTGTTGCTTTCTAGTTTTAGTCCACTGTGGTCTGAGGAGATAAGTGATATGATGTCAGCATTTTAAAATGTGTTGAGTTTGCTTTGTGGCTTAACACACAGTGTATTCTAAAGAATGTTCTGTATGTCGATCAGAAGAATGTATATTCTGTAGTCATTGAATGAAGTGTTTTGTAAATGTCCGTTAGGTCATTTTGTCTGAAGTGCAGTTAAATTCAGTGTTTCTTTGTTGGTTTTCTTTTCCTTTTTTTTTTTTTTTGAGATGGAGTTTCGCTCTTGTTGCCCAGGCTGGAGTGCAATGGTACAATCTCAGCTCACCACAACCTCCGCTTCCTGGGTTCAAACAATTCTCCTGCTTCAGCCTCCCAAGTAGTTGGGATTACAGGCACGCGCCACCGTGCCCAGCTAATTTTTGTATTTTTAATAGAGATGGGGTTTCACCTTGTTGACCAGGATGGTCTCGATCTCTTGACCTCGTGATCCACCTGCCTCAGCCTCCCAAAGTGCTGGGATTATAGGCGTGAGCCACCGCGCCCAGCCCTCTTTGTTGGTTTTCTGTCTTGGTGATCTGATTGCTGAGAGGTTAAAGTCCCCAAGTATTATTATATTGCAGTCTATCTCTTCTTTTAGATCTAATATTTGCTTTATATACCCAGATGCTCTGGTATTGGATACATATGTTTAGAATATATGTCCTTTTACTGAGTTTATCCCCTTATTATTATAATATGACCTTCTTTGTCTCTTCACAATTTTTGACTTAAAGTTTGTTTTATTTTATGCAAGTATAGCTACTCCTGCTTGCTTTTGGTTTCTATTTACATGGAGTATTTCTCTCTCTTCTTTTAAATTTTGGTTTCTTTTTCCACCGGATCATAGTTCAAGGAATATTTTTTTCATCCCTTTACTTTCAGTCTGTATGGATCTTTACAAGTGAAATGTGTTTCTTGTAGGCAGCACATAGTTGGATATGGTTTTTTTTCTAATATCCATTCAGCCACTCTGTATCTTTTAAGTGGAAATTTTAATTAATTTACATTCAAGATTGCTATTGATATGCAAGGACTTATTCCTATCATTTTGTTGATTGTTTTCTCGTTATTTTGTATATCATTTGTTCCTCTTATTTATCTCATTATTCTTTAGTGGTAACATTCGAGATTTTTTCTCTTCCTTATTTGTCTTTTCATGATAGTAGATATTGTTCTTTCAATTTCAAGTATAGGACTCCCTTAAGCATTTCATGTAGGATGGGTGTAGTGGTGACAGATTCCCTCAGTGTTTGCTTATCTGTCTTTATTCTTTCTTCATTTATGAAGGATAACTTTGCTGGATATAGTATTCTTGGCTGGTTGACAGGTTTGTTTTTCTTTCAGCCCTTTGAATATATCATCCCATTCTCTTCTGGCCTGTAAGGTTTCTTCTGAGAAAGACACTATAAGCTGGGCACAGTGGCTCAGCACTTTGGGAGGCTGAGGCAGGCGGATCACCTGAGGTCAAGAGTTCAGGACCAGCACGGCCAACGTGGTGAAACCCTGTATCCACTAAAAGGCAAAAATTAGCCGGGTGTGGTGGCGCATGCCTATAACCCCAACTGCTTGGGGGAGCTGAGGCTAGAGAATTGCTTGAACCTGGGAGTCGGAGGCTACAGGGAGCTGAGATCATGCCACTGCACTCTAGCCTGGGCAACAGAGCAAGACTCCATCTCAAAAAAAAAGAAGAAGAAATATGCTGTTAGTCTTATGGGAGTTTCTTATATGTAACTAGACACACAGACACATACACACATAAATGTAATTAGAATTCTGTATTTGACTTTTGACAGTTTGACTATAATATCATGGGGAGAAGACATTTTTGGCAATCTGAGTTTCCTATATCTGGATTTCTAAATCTCTTGCTATACTTGGAAAGTTTTCAATTATTATTTTGTTGAATAGGTTTTTTTATGCCATTAAACTTCTTTTCACCCCTTGGAATACCAGAAGGCATGCTTCATTTTAAAAAAATTCTGTTCTCTTTCTTTTGCTCCTTTTCTCTCTGTCTCTCTCTCTCCCTCTCTGTCTCCCTCTCTCTTTCTGTCTCTCTCTCTCTCTCTTTTATATCTCACTATTTCAAAAGCAGAAGAAATTCTTTCTCCTGCTTGATCTAGTCTGTTGTTGAAGCTCTCAGTTGTATTTTTTATTATATTCATTGAATTCTTCAGTCCCAGGATTTCTGTTTAGTTCTTTTTTATATCTATCTCTTTGGTGAATTCTTCATTTATATCCTGAATTGCTTTTCTGATTTCTTTATAGTATTTATTTGGGTTCTCTTGTATTTCACTGAGCTTCTTTAAATATCATTATTTTTCATTCTTTTTCAGGCATTTTATAAATTTCTTTCTGTTGTTGTTGGAATCTGTTGTTGGAGAGTTATGTTCCTTTGGAGGTGTCATATTGCCTTGCTTTTTCTTATGTCCTTTCATTGATCTCTGCAAATCAAGTGTAACAGTCACTTCTAATTTTTTTGTACTGGCTTTCATAGGGGAAGCCTTTTCCTATACATGTACCTACAGTGTTGGTTGGCTAAGCCACATTAGCTTTGATTCTGGATGTATGCATACATGTCTCCATATGATTCCCTCAACTGTAAACAGTGTCAGTGGTGTCTGTGATTTCCTCAGTGGTTTAGTCTGCAGTTGTTAGTAGAGGCTGTGGTGAGGCTTTGCTGGGGATGGGACTCCAAGTGGACCAGTCCTCTTGGAGGGGTGAGCCAAGCACAACTGTCATGAGCCCATGGGTGTTGCATGCAGGCACCAATGTTTTACTAACAGTTCGTTACCCACTGAGCCAATGAACTGATAGTAAAACATGTTCCCTCCTCCTGCCTTGACCTTGATAATGGCCTGGCTGTCTAGTTTAGAATCCTCAGGCCCCTCAGAGTCAAATCGGAAATGTAGGGTGTGAGAGAGCTGCTTTCATCCATGCTGGCTCCACCCATCACCAGGGACTCCTGTGTCCGTGCAGACATTGTTGTTCATGCAGGGAGATGCATAGCAGCTGCCAGGACATCTGGGAAGAGCACTCGGTCCTATGTAGCCAGGCATGGGGTGGACAAATCCCCACAGCTTTGCAGGCCCCTTGACCCTGGGAATGCCTAGACTAGCCCCTCTCACTAGGCCCAGGGGTGGTACTGGCTGCTCTGCCAGTCTCTACCCTATCCCAGGACTGAGTCATGTACTCTAGCCCTACCCTGTCCTGGTCTCCAGAACCTGTGAGAGCCCACACCCCACCCTGTACATACACCAGCAGTGGGAGGACTCCACTCTGCCTTGGGAAGTTTCTGCTGAGGACCTCTGGCTACAAATCCCTTTCACTTTCCCCAAATATGACTGCACCATCTTGCATTTATCACATTTTTGTGGGAGACACAATAGTCAGATAGATAACTGAGATTGTTTTTGTTTTTTGTTGTGGTTGTTGTTTTTGAGAAAGAGTCTCACTGTGTCACCCAGGCTGGGGTGCAGTGACGCGATCTCGGCTAACTGCAAGCTCCACCTCCTGAGTTCAAGCTCTTCTTGTGCCTCAGCCTCTCGAATAGCTGGGATCACAGACACGCGCAAGCAAGTCCAGCCTGAGATCTTTTTCCAGCCTGAGATCTTTTTCCAGCCTGAGATCTTTTTCCAAAGTCCTGCTTCTAGGGTGAATTTTCCATGTGAACTGGAGCAATTTCTCTGTGACTTATCTTTCCTTCTGGAAAGTCAAACTAGTCACCACTAGCCCACCTTGGAAAGAATGCTCACCTTTACTTATTTTAGCATCTGAAATAGTTAATCTGTAGAATCTAGCAGGTCATCTCCAACCTGGAGATTAGTCTAAATCATTTGGCTTCAAATGACGTTATTCCTTCTGGATGTATTGCCTTTCATGTATGGCTTGGAGAAACAGCATTGTGTGTTCATATTACATTATCTTTACTTTTGAAGTTGTTCAAATGAGTCAAGTTACGAGTTGACTGGCATTTTGGCACTTATTCCTTGGATGTAATTGAAAGATAGATAGATTCCATAAGAGTAAAGATGCGTTCTGGAAATGTTTGCAGGCTCCTCCATTCCCCTGGTCTATAGGGCTGGGATTCTTCTCTTTGTGCCCAGCAGGGCACCCCACATGCCCTGCTCCTGCCAATTCCCATCTGTTTGCCTGAGGCCCAGGCCCTCACATGGTGGGCTGGAGGGGTGGAGGCAGGACAGGTTGTTGAATGGAGATGACTTGTGAGCAGTAATACTCTTTGCAAAATATTGTTTGTTACTTCCGTTTTTCTGTAAAACTGAGAGTCCGCTTATCACCTTTCTCCTCAGGCGAAATGTTTAGAAAGTGAGAAGCATGGAGTGCTCAACAAAGTCATGAAAAGCAACATTCGCCTGGGAAAGTTGGAGGAAAAAGTCAAGGTGAGTAGTTATTTGGCCTTGGGGATTCCATTTTCAAATGGTGTGGATTTTTGTGTTTAAGAAAATGACACATTTTTGCACGTGCGTCACTAGTAGTCCACAGAGTAAAAGTATTATAAGATTTTGCTGGCAGAATAGCACCTCTCACCTCATTCAGTAAACTTTGGTTCATCGACACAATAAAATACTGCACAGCTGTTTAAGAAAAAAGATACGAAGCCAGGCATAGCGGCTCATGCTATAATCTTAGTGACTCTGGAGGCCCAGGCAGGAAGACTGTTTGAGGTCAGGAGTTTGAGACCAGTCTGGATAACATAGCAAGACCCCAGTCTCTACAAAAAAATTTAAAAAGTTAGCCAGGCATAGTGGTATTTGCCTGTAGTCTCAGCTTCTCAGTAGCCTGATGGGGGAGGATCCACTGAGCCCAGGAGTTTGAGGCTGCAGTGAGCTGAGGCTGCTGGGAGTACAGGCGTGAGCCACAGTGCCCAGCCAGCATTTGTTGATCACAATATGAAAACCAGAAATTAATAAGCAAAATCAGAAAACAAAAAGTGATTTCACGTAGAAGTGTAAAATCTGCACTCAACCATTCTTGGGTTAGAGAGGATGTATAAACTGAATGTCAGAGTTTCTTACAAAAACTGAGCCTGGCTGGGCGCGGTGGTTCACGCCTGTAAACCCAGCACTTTGGGAGGCCGAGGCAGGTGGATCATGAGGTCAAGAGATCGAGGCCATCCTGGTCAACATGGTGAAACCCCGTCTCTACTAAAAATACAAAAAAATTAGCTGGGCATGGTGGTGCGTGACTGTCGTCCCAGCTACTCGGGAGGCTGAGGCAGGAGAATTGCCTGAACCCAGGAGGCAGGGGTTGCGGTGAGCCGAGATCGCACCATTGCACTCCAGCCTGGGTAACGAGCGAAACTCCATCTCAAAAAAAAAAAAAATAATAATAATAAATAAAAAATGAGCCTATGGAAGTACATGGCAGGTTCTCTGTGACAATAATTTGAGAAATGCTCACAGGACAATTCAGAACCTTAAGTACTATACGGTAAAAATGAAAGAAGGAAAGTGAATGACGGGCTTTCATCTCAGCTGTCTGTCTGACGGCAGAGTGGCAGCCCTCGTTGTATTCTTAGGTGAGGCTTCTTGTCAAGATGAAACAGTGCTGACCAGTATCAGCGTTAGTTCTTAGGTTACCAGTTGATGCAGGGATAAAAGTTGTCCTGGACAAAATACAGTTGTGGATGAATTAGCAAGAACATCCAGTTTGTTCTGTGATAGTGTTTTTTTGTTTTGTTTTGTTTTTCTGAGACAGGGTCCCACTGTGTCACCCAGGCTGGAGTGCAGTGATGCGATCACACTCACTGCAGCCTCCGCCTCCCGGGTTCAAACAATCCTCCCACTTCTGCCTCAAAAGTAGCTGAGACTACAGGCATGTGCCACTATGCCTGGCTAATTTTTGTATTTTTAGTAGAGACTGACTTTCACCATGTTGGCCAGGCTGGTCTCGAACTCCTGACCTCAAGTGACCACCTGACTCAGCCTCTCAAAGTGCTGGGATTACAAGCGTGAACCACTACGCCCGATGGTGATATTTTATGTTTTCATTTATTTTTAGCATACAAAGAACCAGGCTTCATATACATTAAACTTTGGTTTTATTGTACCTGAAATTATTTTATCACTTTTTATACTTTTATGATCCTGATTTACCCAGCCAGCTCAAACTTTTCTGGGGTTAGCAGATTTAAAAGGCTCTGACATGCAAGGAGTGGACAGGGAACGCAGCCAGGAAGCACCATCCACCCTGGCCTGGCAGCATCCCCTCCCTCACAGAGTCCTTCCCCCGACCAGGGCTACAAGAAGCAGGCAGCAGTGAAGCTGGGGGACATCAGTCACCGTCTGCTAGAGCAGCAGGAGGACTTCGCCGGCAAGACAGCCCAGTACCGGCAGGAGATGCGGTACCTGCACCAGGTGCTGAAGGACAAGCAGGAGGTGCTGGACCAGGCGCTGCAGCAGAACAGGTGGGGCACCTGCCCTGTGCCACGGCCCGTGGGGAGGTTGGCATGTTTGATCGAGGGTTCTGCTAAAACCCTCGGCGCCTGTTTTATTTGCTCCACAGTTTAATTTTGTTTTTACATTTTACTCTTACCTGAATGTAATACTGGTCTTAAGTTTTTGTTTTGTTTGGTTTTTGGGTCTTGAGTTTTATTTGCTCCTCGTTTTCTTTATTCTTTTAAAAATTCATCTTGTTGGACTTCTGGAATCAATGCACACCTCTAACTGCCTTCCTCACCTGAGCCCAGGCCATCGTGCTAGAGCATCTGGCTGTCCGAGGTCAGCCCTGCAGTTCCTTATTCGACATGCCCAATTTCATTCTTGAGAGAACGCAGGGGTTTACACTGACGCCAAAGTCTAGGGCAGAACGTAGCAGGAAGAGAAAAGCCCTCGCAGCCTCTGCCTTCCTGCTGCTCCCATTCCCAGGGCCCCCACCGCTTCATTCCACACAGAGCCCTGGCTCCAGAACTCGGGCACCGAGGGCTCTGTTCTCTGCCGTTAGCGTTCTTCTGTTTCGAGTTCTTGCTACTTTGGGATTCACACGGGCTCCATACTTATTTTTTTTTTTAATTGTGCAATTTTAAACTTATTTCCCTCAGAGAAATGGAAGGTGAACTTGAAGTTATTTGGGAATCCACCTTCAGGGAAAACCGAAGAATCAGAGAACTTCTCCAGGACACACTCACGAGGACAGGCGTGCGGGAGAACCCCAGAGCTCTGGCAGACCCCAGCCTCAATGGCATCACTCAGGCTGACCTGCTGGATGGCTGCAATGTCAGTTCCTGCGACCTGAAGACTCTTGCCCCCGCCTGCCAGAGTCTGCGGGAGCCCATGGTGTAGGCTCCGCTGGCCTGATGGGTCCGCCTCATGCAGGCCTTCCCTGGAGGACGTCTCAGGGTGGCAGCCGGAGGCATGTAAACTCACTGAGCACCACAGGTCAAGGAAGAAATAAATGGTCTCAGAGTTTAATCCATTGATAACATTTTGCCTTATTTTTAAAATTTTTTTATTTTTATTTTTTCTGGACTTAGGGTCTCACTCTTCTGCCCAGGCTGCAGTACAGTGGTGCAGTCAGAGCTCGCTGCAGCCTCAAACACCCTTGAGATCCTTCTGCCTCGGCCTCCTGAGTCGCTGGGATCTCAGGTATGCACCACCAAGCCCAGCTAATTTTTTTTCCTTTTTGTTAAGATGAGGTCTTGCTATGTTGCCCAGGCTGGTCTTGAACTCCTGGCCTCAAGCCATCCTCCTGCCTTGGCCTCCCAAAGTGCTGGGATGACATGTGTGAGCCGCTGCACCTGGCTTATTGTGCTTTATTTTAATAACGTGCCGCTGAAATGTGTTGAAGCCAAGGCATGTTCGCTGGCTGCATTGTCACTGAGAGGAGCTCTGTGACACCTACTGCTCTGGTGAGTAGGTGGCCTCTTGAGCATGACTGCCTTCCAGCTCCTAGACCATCTCCTGGATCGGCAGCTGTGAAGCCCCGGAGGGATGGAGTGGGCAGCGGAGCCCTCATTCGAGTTTTGGTTGGGGAAGTGTCACTGGAGGAGCCAGGCTGTGGCAGTGGCCGGATGATAGCTGTGCATGAGCGGTGGGGTCTTTTCTTGTTTGGTAAAAACCAAGGTGCTCCTGTTCATGCTCTCTAAATCGTACATACCTTTTCTGCCCTCTCCCCCAACCCTTCTCCATCCTCTTGACCAGGTACTTTATTCCCTTTTGTTTAGTTGGTATTTTTGCTTGTTTTGAGACGGGTCTCACTGTTACCCAGGCTGGAGTGCAGTGGTGCAGTTACCACAGCCTTGACCTCCCAGGCTCAAGTGGTCCTCCCACCTCAGCCTCCTGAGTAGGTGGGATGACAGGCATGCACTAACATGCCTTGCTAATTTTGTAAAAAAAATTTTTTACAAAATTACTACTAAAAATAGAAAAATAGCCAGGCATGGCGGGGGCGCCAAGGTGAAAGTAACCAAAGTCGAAATTTTTTCTAGGCCGGGCATGGTGGCTGAGGTGGGCAGATCACCAGAGGTCAGGAGCTGTGTTGCCCAAGCTGGTCTCAGGCTTCTAGCCTCAAGAAATTCTCCTGCCTGGGCATCCCAAAGTGTTGGGATTATAGGTATGAGCCACCGCACCTGGTCTGGGAAGGTAATTTATTCTGGAGCCACACAGCTCCCCACCCATGTAATGAGAGCCCTGGCTTCTAGCTAAGATAGAGTTCCTGCCTCACTGCCGCCACCAAGAAACATACTAGGGGTCCATGGTTCTGTCCTGTGTGTGTTAGACGAGTGCCACCTCCTCAGGAAAATTACCGCAGCCACTCAGGACCATTCAGTCCCAGGCATGCTGGAGGGACTTGGGGACACTGGGCTACAAAGGACCCTAACTGTGGGACTCAGGGGTGGCACCCTGCAGCATCTCCTTTTCAGAGCTCCTCACGGTGAAGTCCTGCCTTGTTTCAGGTGTGAAGGAGGCCCCAGCACTGGTTCTCGGTCACCTGCAGAAGTTCCACATGTGATCTTTGATTGCCAAAAAACAGAAGGTTGAGATAGAAAGTTGTAGTTCTTTTATGACTCTATAAGCTTGTTCAACAGTTAAATCATTATAATTTTATTTTATTTTACAAGCAGTAGAAAGACTCACCGTGATTAAAAACTGTATCATCTCCCTAGGAGGTGACCCAACAAATAACTGATGCTATTTCAGAGGCACTTACGGTCACTCTGCAGCCCCTTGTAGACAGGTTGACAGGCGGCAGCAGCCCAGCGTGGCTGTGCAGGGCAGGGGTGCTGGTCAGCAGGAATGCTGCTGCCACCATCGTGACCTAGAGAACCACTGTTGATATCCCTGTCTTTCTGCCTTTTATTCAAACATTTTCTTCTTTTAAGAAGTGTCCACTTTTGTTCTTACATTTCTGCTTTAAGTTTTTCACACAGCGCAAACGTGCTTTGCAAGTGTGGGGACTCCTGGCCAGGGCAAGGGCAGGCGTCCCACAGACCTGAGTTTCTGCCCAGCGTCCTGCTGGGTCCCATAGGAAATGGGCAGAGAAGCCACAAGTCCAGGATGCCAAGCAGGGCAGGGCACTTGTGAGGTTCCAGGAGAGGACAGAGGCAATGGGGTAGTTCTGGGAGGAACTGGTACGCCTCAGCCCTTGCGGAATGGACAGGGTTTCAGGAGCTGCCGGAGGGTGGAGAGGACCCCAGGGAGCACAGCAGGGACTCAGAGCAGCAGGAAGGGGTTTAGCCGGAGGTTGGGCAGGAAATGAGGCCAGACTGCATCGAGGAGAGCTGGGCCTGCTGGGAGGGGCTCCTCCTTCCACCCACAAGTGTCCAGTCTGATCAGGGAACCCTTCTCTTTCCTGGTCCTGGTGAGGTTTCATACGGCACTGGAAAATTCCTGGTCAAGGTGAAAGTAACCAAAGTTACTCGAGTAACTTTGGCACTCGAGTGAGCCTTGCTGCCTTTGCCTTTATTGAAAAGCAGCCCTGGGCATGGTGGTGGTGCCTGTGATTTCAGCTACTCAGGAGGCTGAGGTGGGAGGATCACTTGAGCCTGCAAAATTGATGCTGCAGTGAGTTATGATTGTGCTACTGTACTGCAGCCTGGGCAACCAGGTGAGACCCTGTCTCAAAATAATAATAAAATAAGTAAACGCCCTGGGGAAATGGAGACAGTGGACAAAGCAGGCTGGGGCACAGGGGTGGGTGTGAGTCTGTCGTGAGAGCTGTCCTTAATGCACTTAATGTCACTGAACCGTATGCTGGAAAACAGTGACAACGGTGAATTTTGTTACACACTTGAAAAAGAAATAGCCAGGCCTGCTTCCTGAGTGCTTGTGTCATTTTATTTTCTCACCACCAAGCTCTGCTCGAGTTCTGATTGCTCCACGTCCGCATCAACACTTGATGGTGTTACCAATAACTGTTGAGAAGGAGATTTAAGGCAAAGGGTAGCCGAACATTTGGCCCCTGGAGCATAGTTGTCACTGCGCCTCACCCCCTCCCCCACCTGTATCATCAGCGCAAGTGAAAGGCACAGTTGCCAGTGTGGGTGGCTTAGGAGAGCCCTCCCTGGTTCCAGGCAGCCCTTCCAGCAGGGAGGACTTGAGCTGGATGCAGATCCCACAGCAGAAGGCTGAGCCTCTTAGGATGCAGCTGGGCTGATACCTGAATTCTCAAGACAGGAAACATCGTCCACTCAAAACACAGCTGGGAGGGGCTGGGTGGCATGGGAAGGGCTCAGTGTGGCCAGGTTTGTAGCACCTCTGCCGGGTCACAGGTGGGCTGGGGTCGGGAGTGGCTGCAGCCAGGAGAGGGAGAGGGATGGGTGCAGCTGGTCAGGCCTCGTGATTTTCTTGAGGTGTGAGTCCATAGCCCCTAAGCTGGGTGGGAAACCTGCTGCTCTTCCAGCCTCCTAGGCTTGGCTCTTTTTTTTTTTTTTTTTTTTTTTTAAATTGAGATGGAGTCTTGCTGTGTTACCCAGGCTGGAGTGCAGTGGTGTGATCTCAGCTCACTATAACCTCCACCTCCTAGGTTCAAGCAATTCTCCCATCTCAGCCTCCTGAATAGCTGGGAATACAGGCACGTGCCACCACACCCGGCTAATCTTTTTATTTTTAGTAGAGACAAAGTTTCACCATGTCAGCCAGGCTGGCCTTGAACTCCTGACCTCAAGTGATCCGTCCACCTCGGCCTCCCAAAGTACTGGGACTGCAGGCATCAGCCACCGTGCCCAGCCTCAGACTCATCTCTTTTCCTCATTTTTGACTGGGGGTGGGCTGGGTGGGAGGGTGCTGGAGGGAAAGGAGAAGGGCGGCTTTTATACTTGGTATTCCCCTGCAGGACCCTGCTGGACTGCTTTGCAGGCCCAGTGTCTACAAACAACAGAACAGAGATAGTGAGGACCCAGGCTGGGCTAAGGAGACCTCAAACCTACAGAGTGCATGAGGCTGCTTCCTGGAACTGGGCAAGCCACCTGCTACTGAGGACCCAGGCTGGGCTAAGGAGACCTCAAACCTACAGAGTGCATGAGGCTGCTTCCTGGAACTGGGCAAGCCACCTGCTACTGAGGACCCAGGCTGGCTCCCCGCATCTGTGCTGGGTGCTCTGGGCCCCCATCCCCTTGTTCCCCATCCACCTGTGTGTCAGCACTCTACAGTGGATATAGATGAGAGAGGAAGAGTGCACCGAGGTGAGAGCATTGCCACCTAGAGTCATCAGGAGCCTCAAGCATCTATTTCCCCTGGTCAGGAGGGTCCTGAGTATTTTATTTAAGAATAATTCTTTGAAAGTGAGGGGTTTGTGTGTAGTATATGTAGCATACCAGGGCTGGTTTGCAAGCAACAGAAATTATACTGCCCAATGTTAAGGGAAAGAAGGAAATATTTTGGAAATGTACACTGGGTGGTTCCCACCGCGTTTTGAGAAGGACAGAAGCCAGAGTAGCTGTTGCCGAGGGTGATTCTCAGTAGTTGAACACTGTTAGCCTACCCTGTGCTTCACTTAGATAGCAAATCCTGGGAGACAATGGCCTCTTGGCTGAGCTAATGTCCTGAGTACTCCTGTGTGGCCAGAGAAGTGAGGTCCTTTGATTGGTAGCCCACCAGTGTCCCCCATAAGGGACAGTTCCCCCAAGTTGTGGATACTGGGCAGACAGAAACAAGATTACAAAAAATGGTAACTCCCTACATTAGAGTCTCAACCTGTCACCCAGACTGGAGTCCAGTGGCATGATCGTAGCTCACTGCAGCCTTGAACTCCTGGACTCAAGCAGTCGTCCCATCTCAGCCTCCTGAGAGTATCTGGGACTATGGGTGTACACCACTATGCCTGGCTAATATTTGAAATTTTTTTTCTTGTAAAGACAGGGGCTCGCTCTGTTGCCCAGGCTGGTCTCAAACTCCTGACCTCAAGCAGTCCCTCTGTCTCAGCCTTCCGAAGTGCTGAGATTATAGGTGTGAGCCACAGTTCCCAGCCCAAAACATAGTAGCTCTTTATTAAAGATCTTTGATGACACAGAACCCTCTTTCCCCAACCTCAGCAGCAAACACAGCTTTTTCATCACGTGTGGCCACCATGGTTGAGAAAAGGGGAGGTGACCAGGGACAGTGATGAGGTCGGTGGGGAAGGGAGCAGGATGGGAAGTGGTGTTCTGACGGCACGCTGCGACCGCGCTGGCTTCCGCAAGCAGGTAATCTTCTGTAAAACCATTTTACTTGGAACACACAAAAATGATGGGCAAAGTTCGAAGGCAGAATTGTACTTTCCAATAGTTGTTGGATATATATAGATTGTTCCTAGATAAGAGTTTTGAAATTATGTTTTTGCTTTCCCTGCTAATTGTTTTATTGTTAGTACGTCCCTGACATTGAAAGCCTTTGAACGCCACTGATTCATCACAAATTCTTCTGGTTGGAATTCAGGAGGTAAGGGAGCACGACTTCTATCTGTGGTCATATGCCACTTATACCTGTCTTTTGTGTCCCCCTCCAAATCCCCAAATACTACTGTCAGCAGCAGTAGGAAGGAATATAAGACTGAGTGAACTGAATGAATAGGAGAAAGTCTGAAAACTTGAAGGCAGGTCTGGAACAAGCTTTCAGTAGTGAAGGAAGATACAGCCTCTGCCTGAATGTTTGCCCAAGACCCTGCCTCTGTCATGAGGACAGTGAATCAGAGAACACAGCGCCCAACTGGGCATCCCAGAGGCTGTGCAGAAATGGGTTGACACTATGGGATTAAAGACGTCTTTAAAACCATCACAGGAGACCAGATGCTATGGTTCATGCCTGTAATCTCAGCACTTTGAGAGGCTGAAATGGGAGGATCCCTTGAGCCCAGGAGGTGAAGGCTGCAGTGAGCCATGATCATGCCATTGCACTCTAGCCTGGGAGCGAGCGGCCCTGTCTTAAACACAAACCACCACAGAAGGAAATGCTGGGTCAGGACATAAAACCACCAAAATATGATTATAGAAGACCACATATATGTCACCCCAAAATATACTTCTTTGGAATATGTTGAGTTGGTTATTCTAAGAAACTGCAGACACAACAGGTGTAGCTCTGAAAAGCTGCCCTTTGCAAAAGAAATGTATGTCATGAAGGAAATTTACATGAGTACAAGTATCTACCAGGAAGAGACAATGTTTATTACCTGAGAGACTTATATTTGCACAACCAGATGACCTTTCACCACGCATTTCCTTCCCTTCCCACCCCATTATCAGTCTCCAACAGCCTGGGAAGCCCCAAGCCCCTAATCCTTACATAGCTCAGGATGTTATATAGGCTTTAGTCATCCGGCCTTTCTTGAGGTCTCTTGCTTCGTGTGACTCTGTTGCATATACACATAACTGAAAGTTTCCCTCCCGTTAGTCTGAATTCGAAGCCCCATCAAAGAATCCAGCAGGGTGGAGGGTAGGATTTTCCCCTCCCCAACTGAAACAAAATATGCACCAAATATAAGATAAAATTCAGTTGCTGTGAATGTCTTCAAACTGCAAGCATTGTTGCAATCAGGATTTGCACTTTGGGAGGCCAAGGCGGGTGGATCACTTGAGGTCAGGAGTTCAAGACCAGCCTGGCTAACATGGTGAAATCCCATCTCTACTAAAAATACAAAAATTTGCTGGGTGTGGTGTCACACACCTGTAATCCCAGCTACTCGGGAGGCTGAGGCAGGAGAATCACTTGAACCTGGGAGGTGGAGGTTGCAACGAGCTGAGATCATGACACTGCACTCCAGCCTGGGTGACAGAGTGAGACTCAGTCTCAAAAAATAAATAAATAAAATGGTAAAAATCACAGTAGGATTTGCATTTTGGGAGGCCAAGGCAGGTGGATCACTTGAGGTCAGGAGTTCGAGACCAACCTGGCCAATACGGTGAAACCCCATCTCTACTAAAAATATAAAAATTAGCTGGATGTGGTGGGGTATGCCTGTAATCTGAGCTACTCAGGAGGCCAAGACAGGAAGAATTGCTTAAACCCAGGAAGTGGAGGCTGCAGTGCGCCGAGATTGCACCACTGTACTCCAGCCTGGGTGACAGAGTGAGACTCCATCTCAAAAAAAAGAATAGACAGCAGGGAGGTGAAACTTCAGCCACATGATAGAAGCGCTGGATGCACAATGAACCAACCGTCTTTAAGAACTGGGGAAGATTTTGCTTTTTAGATCAAATCCTCAGTATTTTCCACGAGAAGACACTTATGAAAATTACTTGAATGTGTATTCAAGGAGGGAGAGGTGGGGACTGGGGTGAAAAAGACAGCTTTAAGAAACAGCCTTCAAAAGAAATTATAGAAAAAAAAAAGAAACAGCCTTCAGAAACACTCACTGTGGACCCAAAATGAACTGAAGTGGAGGTTTCTGACTTAACCAAAGACCCTCACATCCAGCCATTGGCAGAGGCTCAGGAAGACCAGGGCCTGGACATCCACGGAATGCGCAAGTTCAACGTGTTCCATGAGGGGGCGCCCGTTGCTAGCCCTGCTTTGCAGATACAGAGGCTGATCCTGGCAGAGCAGCCTAGCCCTTGTAGGTAGTGGGTGAGTTTGCAGGGCTGTCTGGCCCCAGCGGAGACCACTGTCCGCTGGGGCACTTTTGACGCAGGGTAGACTGCAGACATGGATGTGCTGGGTGCCATGATGAGTGCCGCAGCGGTAGGAGGAGTGACCCCAGCAATCCCTGGGCAGGTTCTGTCTGGGGTGACAGCCCCTGGCTTCTATTCTCCAGGCTGTCTACTCAAGGCTCCGGGCATGGTGGGCAGGTGAACAGGCTGGGCCCTCCCAAGATGGGAGGTGACAAACTTCTAAATCAGGACCCTGCCTCTGGAACACTAAGGGTCCCTGTGTTGTACAGATGGCCTTTAGAGAAACCTGTCCCTCTCTCCGCTCTGCTTGCCCCAAACTGACCCCCAGAGACTGGCCCAGTTTCTTCCATCCCTGGCCTTAGTTAGGTTCCATCCAATATCTGGGATGCAGTTAAGTTTGCCCAAAGGCAAAGCTACCAGTTTTGGCTGAAGATGACAGCCACGATGCTTTAGACACAGTGCTTAGGCTGTGCCAGGTTGTCCTGCTTGTCTCATAAGGAGCTTCCTTCCCTATCTGACAGGGCTTAGCACTGACCCCTGAGGCTGCTGCCTGAGCCTAGGTCCGATAGCAGCGTGGGGAGAACTTCTGCTCCCTCTTGGAGAGATCCCTGGCAGCCCTGGATGGGGACTGGAGCTCCCTGGCCTTGTGTTTCCTGTCTCCCCTGTAGGCCTCATTTCCCTGACGGGCAAGGTGTTGTGTCCCTTGTGTCTGATGAGCCATGACATGGCTACGTGAACAGTACCACAGCCAGACCTGACTGGCTTTTGGCCACAGCTGCAGGGAGGACGCAGGGGCCTGTTGCCTCAGGACTGCTTGTGGTTCCAAATGGTGAAGCCCTGTCACTGGTAAAGGTGAGTGGGAAAGGTTCAGCCACTCTCACCTGCTCATCCAGTGGCAGGCCCAGGGCTGGGGGAAATTCCTGGGCAGGGTGGAAACTGACCAACAGCAGAGTTACGGGCACATACAGCAGTTCCTATTTGCACTGCCTGACTTGAGTTTTAAATACAGCCTATTAAGGCAATTAGAGAATTGGTTCCAAAGTTTATCTCCTCTGATTCCCAAAGACAAAAGAAGGCATAATTTATTTTATCTTTGGGTAAAACATGTAGATGATTTGGGACCATCTGGTTTTAAAAAATAACCTGACCTAGACACAAATGAACAAAACAAAAATGGTTTCAGAGAGAAATTGATCTGTCTGACCCTCCCCTTTTTATGTGGCGCATCTATGCTTCATTGCTTAAAAAAAAAGTGTTTAATAATTACCCTTATCGACCTCTGTACCTTCTTGACTTCCTCCACTCCTGGGCATAAGACATGGCCATTCCTAGGGCTGGACCGTGCAGGGACAGGTGGTCAGCTGGGCCGCGGCTCCTCCGGCTCTGCAGGGTCACGGAGGAAGGTAAGGTCAATGGGTGACAGGAAGGTTCATGGCTCTCCTGGCCAGCGCCTGGACAGAGAATTTATTGAGAGAGAGGGTACAGTGGTGCGTGGTTATCTCCTAATTCAGTCTGAAACAGGGTTTCCTTGGCAATTTTTTCATTCCTTTCATCACTCAATGAAAAAGTACCTGGAGGCTGAGGTGAGAGGACTGCTTGAGTCCAGGAGTTGGAGGCCAGCCTGGGCAACATAGCAAGACCCCATCTTTACAAAAAATATTGTAAACATTTTAAAAGTAGAAAGAAAAAGTACCTGTATTGTGATCTGTAATGTATGGGGTGCCTTTAATCTTGGGAAGGAATTATAAGACAAACTTTCCTTTCCTAGACTTGATTCTGATAAATACATTCCATGATATTTAAATTTTTTGTATGACAGAGTCTCGCTCTGTCACCCAGGCTGGAGTGCAGTGGCACGATCTCAGCTCACTGCAGCCTCTGCCTCCTGGTTCAAGCGATTCTCCTGCCTTATTCTCAGCTATTCTTCCTGAGTAGCTGGGATTACAGGCACCCGCCACCACACCCAGCTAATGTTTTGTTTTGTATTTTTAGTATCGACGGGTTTTGCCATGTTGGCCAGACTGGTCTTGAATTCCTGGGCTCAAGTGATCCGTCCACCTCAGCCTTCCAAAGTGCTGGGATTACAGGCATGAGCCACTGCGCCCAGCCCAGGATGTTGTTAAATATTTCTTTTTACTTTTGAAAAAAAATGAAATTGGACCACAGAGGTAGAATGACTTTCAAGGCACAGGCACATGGGCCAGGAGGCTCCCGGGGCCTGACTGGAAGAGAGCTAAGCAAGCAGCTGAGCTTTGGAGAGTAGCAGGGAGCTGTGTTCCCTTGCCTGGATGACATGAATGACTGACTTTGACTCTGGGGCCCAGCGCATGAGCCCTGCGGGCTGGCACCAACGCCCACCTGCAGCAATAACCAACACTGCTTTGGAGCCAGCTTCCCTAGTCCAGGCCACACTTGCCCTTCTGCTGAACCAAGATTCAACTGTGTGCCCTCCTTGCAGTCTCCTAGAACCAGCAGGAGGAAACATGGGGGAGACCGGCCTGAGAAAGCGGAGAGAGGATGAGAAGTCGATCCAGAGCCAAGAGCCCAAGACCACCAGTCTCCAAAAGGAGGTAGGGCGGTCTCTGGTGGGGCGGGCATCTGAACGAGGGGCACAGGCAGTGAAGTCCCTGCTGATCTGTAGTGACAGGGCAGAAGAGGTGCTCTTTAATTTGTAAAGTACATCTTTAAGGGGACAATCTCTGGACTTACCTCTTTCCCTCTTCCCAGGGAACTCTGCATGTTCTTTTTTTTTTTTTTTTTTTTTTTTGAGATGGCGTCTTGCTCTGTCAACAAGGTTGGAGTGCAGTGGTGCGATCTCAGCTCACTACACCCTCCACCTCCCGGGTTTAAGCGATCCTCCTGCCCCAGCCTCCTGAGTAGCTGGGGACTACAAAGGCACTGCCAAATTTTTAACTTACAGAATTTTTTTTTTCTGTGGAGTCAGGCTCTTTATGTCGCCCAGGCTGGTCTGGAACTCTCGGGCTCAAGTGACCCTCCTACCTTGGGCTCCCAAAGTGCTGGGATTACAGGTGTGAGTCACTGTGCCTAGCCAGAGAGCGTTCTGATGGTTGGGTCCCCTCGAAATACCTGTCCCTCTTATGTCTGAATGGCTGTAGTGATGGGAAGTATTGCCCCCAGCAGAGCCCGCTCTGTCTTACAGGCGTCTAGCAGGGACGGCTACCCTGAGTTGGGCTGCAGTGAGCAGCTGGGGCTGGCCCTGGACCTGGAGGGAAAGGGAGCCTTGGGGCTGGGGTGAAGGCAGAAGGGAGCTGGACACAGCACACCACGCCAGGCCCAGGCAGTTGGGAGCAGCAGGTACTCAGCATGGAGGCGCAGGAGGGCTTCGGGCTCCCAGGATGAGGAAAGGCAGCCGCGGGCGAGCTCAGGACAGCTTCTGCTTCCAGAGCAGCGGTCTGGGCGGGGCCTCTGAGAGCCCCCGGGCCCTGCAGCAGAGGGGATGGAGGAGGGACAGCACCAAGGCTTTAGGGCTTGACCGGGGGCTGGCATGGCCTAAATGGCTTGGCCTGGGGCTACGGTCACCAGGAGGTAGATGACGGGCTGCAGCCTCCTGCCTCTCTGCCAGTCTTAGGCTAGATCCCAGCAAGCGCCTCAGATCACAGCTGAGAAATCCCCAGATGTGTTTTCTGAGCTGGGACCAGGTGTGGCTGCACACCCCTGTAACCTTAGCACTACTGGGAGCCTGAGGTGGGAGGATTGCTTGATCCCAGGAGGTTAGCCTACAGTGAGTCATGATCGTGCCACTGCACTCCAAGCCTGGGCGACAGAGCGAGACGAGTCTAAAAACGGAAAACTGAGCTAGGTCTACCTCTCAGGCAGGCAACTTCAGGGTGAATGCAGACCTCACCCAGATCAGAACCTCAGCAGAAGGGAGGGAGGATTCCGGAGCCAAACTGCCGGCCCTGGGCAGGGCTAAGACGAGGAGGAGGGCTGAGCCCGTCCCTCCCTGCCCTGGAAGTGCGCCCTGTCCCTGAAAGCTGATGCTGCACCCCAGGGATCCTGCTTGTGTGTGCAGAGTCCCCAGGGTGACAGCCTGCAGCTGGGAGCCCCTCATCCCCTTCGATCTGACTCCAAGCCCAGCCTCTTCCCAGGTGAACACAGGTGCTGGAAACTTCAGGCTCTGGAGATCTGGCCGGGGCCACTTCTGAGGACAGGTGTTATGAGTAGGGCCTCAGTTGGGCTTTTTTCTTCCCCTTGTTGTTGATTGGTGTGTAATTTATATACAGTAAAATGTGCAGTGCTTTTTGAGACAGTCTCGTTCTGTCACTCAGGTGTAGTGAGTGGCTCAACGCAACCTCCACCTCCCAGGTTCAAGTGATTCTCCTGCCTCAGCCTCCTAAGTAGCTGGGATTACAGGTGTGCGCCAATATGTCTGGCTGATTTTTGTATTAGTAGAGATGGGGTTTTACCATATTGGCCAGGCTGGTCTTAAACTCCGGACCTCAGGTAAAGCGCCTGCCTTGGCCTCCCAAAGTATTGGGATTACAGGCATGAGCCACCACACCTGGCTGAAATGTGCAGATCTTTAGTGCTGAGTTTGATGGGTTTTGAGAGATGTGCCACCCCAGAAAGCCCCCTCCTGCCCCTTTCTAGGCAGGAACCCGGCCCTGAAATTATAGCACTGTCGATTAGAGTCACCTGTTCTTGAACGTCACAGGAATGGAACCATCTGATGTCTCTCTGAGCTGGGTTCTGTTCTGAGAAAGCTCATATCCTAGCAAATGGCACAGGGCCAGGCACAGTGACTCACGCCTGCAGTCCCAGCACTTTGGGAGGCTGAGCTGGGAGGATTGTTTGAGGCCAGGAATTTGAGGCTGCCGTGAACTATGATTGCACAGCTCCAGCCTGGGCGACAGAGACCCTGACTCTAAATAAACAAACAAAAATAAGATAAAATGGCACCACAGAAAGTTCAGAGTCCCCACGATTTTTCTGTTTCTGGGAGGCCGCCGTTGCTCACTCTGCACGGCGCCTCTGGCCAGGATTCCAGGCCCTGACTCCCTCTGCTTTGGTGGCAAACTCCTTTCTCATTTGCCCAGAGCAGAGGCGTTTCCCGAGGACCTTTCTCATTGGTGAGCCGTTGCCAAGTCGGCCTTTCCATTGAGAGCACAGGATCATGGTTAGGGGCGGAACGTGGGTGGGTTCTAGCAGCCTTCTAACCTTTCTGTGCCTCAGCGTCCTGCTCTGTACCATGCGGGTGCTACAGCGTGGCCAGCTCACGGGGCCGTCATGAGAATTCATGGAGTTAATGTGAGCGAAGCCCCGGGAGCAGTGTCCTGGTGCTGCCACAGCAGCCACCCAGGCTGGGAGCGCCTGGGGCATGAGCTTTGGCTGGGCCTGCCCTGGCCCTTCGGAGGGGGGCGGCACCTGGACTTCTGGGCTAGACCTGGGCGTGGCACTAATGCCCTCTCCCTTCCTCCACACCCAGCTGGGCCTCATCAGTGGCATCTCCATCATCGTGGGCACCACCATCGGCTCTGGGATCTTCATCTCCCCCAAGTCTGTGCTCAGCAACACGGAAGCCGTGGGGCCCTGCCTCATCATATGGGCGACTTGCGGGGTCCTCGCGACGCTGGGTAAAGAGACGTGGCTCCCTGGTGGGGCACACTAGGCAGGCGCTATCTGTGCCAGCCCTCGCCCTGCTGGGGTCCCTCTCGGCGCCTGTGTGGCAAACAGGTGTAAATCAGGCTGGTCTGAATGTCCAGCCTGGAGCTCAGGGCGGTCTGGCAAGGGCACACCACAGTGGCCCTCCATAAGAACACAGCCCCCAGGGGGAGGAAGGTTCCCTGGGGTGGGGGCAGTGCCTCATGAGGGGCCTGTGGGCCCTTCCTCTCTGTGTTCCAGGTGCCCTGTGCTATGCAGAGCTTGGCACGATGATCACCAAGTCTGGGGGTGAGTACCCCTACCTGATGGAGGCCTACGGGCCCATCCCCGCCTACCTCTTCTCCTGGGCCAGCCTGATCGTCATGAAGCCCTCGTCCTTCGCCATCATCTGCCTCAGCTTCTCCCAGTATGTGTGTGCGCCCTTCTACCCAGCCTGCAAGCCTCCTGAAATTGTTGTGAAATGCCTGGCTGCTGCCGCCATCTGTGAGTACCCGAGCCCAGGGTGGGGGTTCGAAAAGACCTGGTGCCCTCAGCTCCCCACTAGTGAGCTAGAGTCTCTGGTGCAAGCCCAGGCAGGGCCTGGCATCAGCCTTTGCTGTACCTGTGGGTGCCGCACACTTGGGACCCCCAGGCCCGTGGGGGCTACAGAGAGGGGGGCCGCAAGCTGTCCTGAAGGGCAGAGCCTGGGCTCAGGGCCCGGCTCCTTCTCTGGCATGGTGGCAGGTGCCTGTAATCCTAGCTACTCCGGAGGCTGCCTACCATGCCATGATAACTTTTTGCTGGCTGAGGCAGCCCAGCTGGATTGCAAAGGTCATCTCCAGGTGCATTTTAAAGGTCCTTAAGCTCCCATATTGGGATCTTTCCTCTTGGGATTTGGGAGATAAATGTGGTAGCTTGTAGGGGAGCAGGGGTGGGCCGCAGGCGGTGCCTCATACTTGGAATCTCACCACTTTGGGAGGCTGAGGTGGGAGGATTCCTTGAGGCCAAGAGTTTGAGACCAGCCTGGTCAACCTAGTGAAACCCTTGCCTCTACAAAAAAATAAAAACATCAGCTGGGTGTGGTGACATGTGCGGGTGTTCCAGCTACTTGGGAGGCTGAGGCGGGGGGATGGCTTGAACCTTGGACCTTGTCTCAAAAAATAAAAGAGGTTGGGCATGGTGGCTCATGCCTGTAATCCCAGCACTTTGGGATGCCAAGGTGGGTGGCTAACTTAAGATTAGGAGTTCGAGACCAGCCTGGCCAACATGGCAAAACCCGGTTTCTACTAAAAATACAAAAATTAGCCAGGTGGGGTGGCATGTGCCTGTATTCCCAGCTACTCAGGAGACTGAGGCCAGAGAACTGCTTGATACCCAGGAGGCAGAGGTTGTGGTGAGCCGATACCGTGCCATTGCACTCCAGCCTGGACAACAGAGTGAGACTCCATCTCTAAATAAATAAACATAAAATTACAACAATTGGATGTGAGGGCGATCTGGCAGGGACACCTGTCACCCCATTGATCGCCAGGGTTGATTTGGCTGATCTGGCTGGCTAGGCTGGTGTCCCCTTCCTCCCTCACCACTCCACATGCATCCCTCCCGAAGCCGCGTGCTCAGTCGAAGAGGACAAGCATCCCCAACAGAGGAGGACCAGCTTTTGGTCAAGCGTATACGAGTAGCTGCACCTCCCTGCTGGAAGCTCCAGGCAAACTCTACTAAAAATACAAAAATCAGCTGGTTATGGTGGCATGCACCTGTCATAATAGCTACTCAGGAGTCTGAGGCAGGAGAATCACTTGAACCTGGGAGGCAGAGATTACTGAGATCGTGCCACTGCTCTCTAGCCCGGGTGACAGAGTGAGACTCTATCTAAAAAAATAAAAGTAAAAAGTTACAAAGTATATAAAAGTAAGGAGACTCTCTCCAGGGCTTTGTTGAAAACCATAAATGCAGAAACTGCCCCCACCCTTCCAGTATTCATCACGACGGTGAACTCACTGAGCGTGCGGCTGGGAAGCTATGTCCAGAACATCTTCACCGCGGCCAAGCTGGTGATCGTGGCCATCATCATCATCAGTGGCCTCGTGCTCCTGGCCCAAGGTGACCTACAGGAGGATGGGCCCTGCACGGGCACGTACCAGAACCCCTTCCACTGGGAGCGGGACCAGCCTTGCCCCACAAACCCATCTCCAAGGAAGCATGGCAGGAACTCAGTGGGAGGGATCCTTAGTTTCAGAGAGTGTTTAATAAGCTGGGGTCACCATCATGCCCGTCTTCACGTGGAGGTGCACTCAAGATCTGGCTGGCTGACACCTGCTGTTCACTGTCTGACTTCATTACAGGAAACACAAAGAATTTTGAGAATTCTTTCGAGGGCACCCAGCTGTCTGCGGGAGCCATCAGTCTGGCGTTTTACAATGGACTCTGGGCCTACGATGGATGGTGAGGCATCCTGGGATGTCCCGAGTCTGGGGTGGGTGGGATTCTCCAGGCAACTTTACCTCCAGCCGTCATGGAAAGCAATGAGTTCCCCTTTCTAGCGTTTGGTGTGACTCTGACATTCACCCTCACATTTCTTTTTTGTGAAGCATGTGACAACCTCTAGGCTTTATTCCCAGAGACACCTTCTCAGTCAGCCAGAGTGCTCTGTGTAGAAACCTCACCAGGCCAACACAAGCTCAGCTGAATTAGAGGCAGCCCGGGCCCAAGCTTGGGTTTTCTGTTGTGTTTTGTTTTGAGACCGAGTCTCACTCTGTTGCCCAGGCTGGAGTGCAGTGGCACAGTCTTGGCTCACTGCATCCTCCGCCTCTTGGGTTCAAGTGATTCTCCTGCTTTAGCCTCCCAAGTAGCTAGGATTACAGGCGCCTGCCACCATGTCCAGCTAATTTTTGTATTATTAGTAGAGACAGGGTTTCACCATATTGGCCCAGCTGGCCTTGAACTTCTGACCTCATGATCCACCTGCCTTGGCCTCCCAAAATGCTGGGATTACAGGTGTGAGCTACCACGCCCAGCTTTTTTTTTTAGAGACAGGCTGTCACTTGGTCACCCAGGCTGCAGTGAAACAGCATGACCACAGCTCACTGCAGCCTTGAACTCCTGAGCTGAAGCCAGCTTCCCGCCTCAGCCTCCTGAGTACTGGGACCACAGATAGGAGCTACCACACCCAGATGATTTTTTTATTTTTGTTTTGTAGAGACAGAGTTTCTCTCTGTTGCCCAAGCCGGTCTCAAACTCCTGCACTCAAGCAATCCTCTCTCCTCGGCCTCCCAAAGTGCTGGGATTACAGGTGTGAGCCACCACTCCCAGCCCCAGGCTATTGATTAAACAAAGAATACTCAATAGCACTTCTATTTAACCCTGAAAATCATTAGGTTTGGGAGCCTCTCTGAACTGACGGTTTGGGGGGCTGTCCTACAAACAAGATCATACAGATTTTATATATTTATATGGTTTAGTGGGTGAGATTATTTTTGTCCTTTTTAGAGATGGAGTCTCACTCTGTCACCCAGGCTGGAACATAGTGGCATGATCTCGGCTCACTGCAACCTCCATCCCCCCAGGTTCAAGCAATTCTCCTGACTCGGCCTCCTGAGTAACTGGGATTACAGACACCTGCCACCTTGCACTGCTAATTTTTGTATTTTTCTTAGAGATGAGGTTTCACCATGTTGGCCCAGCTGGTCTCGAACTCCCAACTTTGAGTCACCTGCCCGCCTCGGCCTCCCAAAGTGCTGGCATTTTTGTCCTTTAAGGGAGAAGCATGACAGTCTATGACACTGGTCCTTCTCTCCTCCAGAGCATTTCTAGATTTCATTTGCTTCTCAAAGAATATTCCATTTTTTCCAGGCACCTTGGGGACTCACTACTCCTGATTATTCTTCCAAATCTGTGTGATTCCCAAGGAGGGCAAAGACTCAACCAGCTGACAGATGTGTTGCTCTGGGTAGGGCCCCAGGCCCCACCACTGCCAGGGCAATTCACCTGGAAAAAAATGCACCTGGAATTCCTGCAGGAGAATTTTCTCTCTGGCACATAATCTTAAATGAGGCCAACGTTTATTATTGTGGGTTCATAATAGAAAAATAAAATCAAGCCATGTCATGCTTGTTTCTTCCTTCCAGGAATCAGCTGAATTACATCACAGAAGAACTGCAAAACCCTTACAGGTAACAGTTGAGTCAGCGCAGGGGACGAGGCAGGGCAGGCTGATTTCTCTTCTCTTGGTGAAGGCTGGAGCTGTTTCCCTGGTTATTCCATGATACCCTTCCCAACAGTGAATGATTTCTTTTTTCTTTTTCTTTTTTTGAGATGGAGTCTTGCTCACTAATTTATTTTTTTTTTAGTAGAGATGGGACTTTGCCATGTTGGCCAGGCTGGTCCTGAACTCCTGGCCTCAGGAGATTCTTCTGTCTCGGCCTCTCAGGTGTGAGCCACTACGCCCAGCCATTGATGGGTTTCTTTTCTTTTTTTTTTTTGAGCTGGAGTTTCGCTGTTGTTACCCAGACTGGAGTGCAATGGCGCGATCTCGGCTCACCGCAACCTCCGCCTTCTGGGTTCAAGCATTTCTCCTGCCTCAGCCTTCTGAGTAGCTGGGACTACAGGTGCACACCACCATGCCCAGCTAATTTTTGTATTTTTAGTAGAGACGGGGTTTCACCTTGTTGACCAGGATGGTCTCCATCTCTTGACCTCGTGATCCACCCGTCTCCGCCTCCCAAAGTGCTGGGATTGTAGGCGTGAGCCACCATGCCTCGATTGGTTTCTTATGAGCTCACTGTGCATGCTTAGAGTTTGGTTTGGTTTGGGGCAGAGCAGTGGCTGCTAAGGAGAGGAAGAGTTTGGTCTTCCTTTATCTCTGGCTTTTTTTGCTTTATAAACAGTTCCATGTGAACTGCTCTGGAGTCAGAGGCAGCATTCTCATTTGAAAATGTCTCCTGTTCCTGCTGGGTGCTGCTGCCTACGAATCTTCTCCCTAGGATGGCCTCAGGGAGGGTGTTTGTCTCCCACGGGAGGCTCTCGTCTGACCATGGGTCTCTGTGTCATTGCACCTCCCAGAAACCTGCCCTTGGCCATTGTCATTGGGATCCCCCTGGTGATGGCATGCTACATCCTCATGAACGTGTCCTACTTCACCGTGATGACTGCCACCGAGCTCCTGCAGTCCCAGGCCGTGGCTGTGGTGAGTGCCTGGATGTTGCAGCTGGAGGGGCCGTGGCTTATGGGAAGGGGTAAGGCAGGTGTCAGCACTGGAGCTGAGGTCCCTCCCAGGGAAGGAGGACAATAGTCATGGAAGAGCCTGGGAAACCAGACAAGTCAGGCCAGCCCGAGCCCCACACGAGGTCAGGCATCAGCAGAGATGGGACCGGCTGCCTGGGTGCGAAAAGCATGGAGCTGGAGGCAGGGCTGGGCTAGCCAGGGTTGCAGTTTGACAGATAAGCATGAAGCAGAGGCAGAGGTGCCAGGAGTCAGGGGAGGTCATTATATTAGGTTGGTGGAAAAGTAATTGCCATTTTTGCCATTCCTTTCAATGGCAAAGTGGCAATTACTTTTGTACCACCCTGAATACTAGTGAATCATAGGAGCTGAGTGGTGAGAGGCCCTTGGGTCAGTGAAGAGGCAGCTGGAGACCTCCTGCAGTTGCCAACAGACAACCAAGTGCTGGGGATTTGGAAGGTGCGGGAGACACAGTGTGGATAACTGCTGAGGTCACCGACCACGAGACTGGGGCTGCTCAGGTGGGAGGGAGAATTCAGCCATTTCGGTTGGAGTGCAGGTTCGGGGAAGTGAGAGGTGAAGGTACCAGGATATTGACATGACCAAGAATTATGCAGCTGGGTGTGGTGGCAAGTGCCCGTCGCCCCAGCTGCTTGGAACACTGAGGTGGGAGGATCACTTGAGCCCAGGAGGTTGAGACTGCCTTGAGACATGATCACACCACTGTACTCCAACCTGGGAAACACAGTGCAATCCTGTCTCAAAAAAAACAAAAAACATCAAATTAAAAAATAAAGATTTGGCTGGGCGCAGTGGCTCACACCTGTAATCCCAGCACTCTGGGAGGCCAAGGCAGGTGGATTACAAGGTCAGGAGTTCGAGTCCAGCCTGGCCAACATGGTGAAACCCACCTCTACTAAAAATACAAAAATTAGCCAGGCGTGGTGGTGGGTGCCTGTAATCCCAGCTACTCGGGAGGCTGAGGCAAGAGAATCGCTTGAACCTGGGAGGCAGGGGTTGCAATGAGCGGAGACCTCACTATTGCACTCCAGCCTGGGAAACAAGAACAAAACTCCATCTCAAAATAAATACATAAAATAAAATAAAGACTTATCGCAGGGAGTAGTGGATAAGATTTCTCGGGCCGGGCGCGGTGGCTCAAGCCTGTAATCCCAGCATTTTGGGAGGCCGAGGCGGGTGGATCACGAGGTCAAGAGATCGAGACCATCCTGGTCAACATGGTGAAACCCCAACTCTACTAAAAATACAAAAAACTAGCTGGGCATGGTGGCGCGTGCCTGTAATCCCAGCTACTCAGGAGGCTGAGGCAGGAGAATTGCCTGAACCCAGGAGGCGGAGGTTGCGGTGAGCTGAGATCGCACCATTGCACTCCAGCCTGGGTAACAAGGGCAAAACTCCATCTCAAAAAAAAAAAAAAAAGAGATTTCTCTTGCCATCACAAGATCTGGAGACAGGCAAGTGGTGTTCTCCCCTCTCCTCTGCAGTGGAGGAGTTGGAGGCTATGCCCCGACCTGAGGTGGGTCCCCAGGTCCCCTGGGAGGCCAGAGCCCCGAGCTGAGGTGGGTCCCTGGGTCCCCTGGGAGGCCAGAATAGCTTTTGGGGGCTGGTGGCTCTTGGAGGCCAAGAAAGACCCTCAGGACTCATCTTGCTTCTCTCACCAGACATTTGGTGACCGTGTTCTCTATCCAGCTTCTTGGGTCGTTCCACTTTTTGTGGCATTTTCAACCATCGGTGCTGCTAATGGGACCTGCTTCACAGCGGGCAGGTAGGGGACCCCCGGCTGTCACTCCCAGGGTGGGCAGGGGCAGCCAAACCAATGTCACACCCAAGGAATACACACAGCTAAAATCTTCAGGGCTCTGCCAGGCGAAACCCACGCCCAGCACAAGTAGGAGACCCAAGTCCAGGGAAGGGACGTGGCTTGAACCCACCGCAAACTGGCTGAGAAGGCATGGATGGCCCTGCACACGGGAATTGATCAAGGCTGCCTGGAACCTCAGCCTTCCCACTCCAGGGGGCCCTAGTTCCAAACATGGGGGAAAGCTCTCAACCTCAGCACCAGGGGAAGGGAAGAGACGCTGGGTAAATGAGGTGCGGGTTTACACCTGGAACTTTTTCACCTAGTGATATTTTTCATCTAGTGATACTTCCTGAACATCTTCCCATGTTAACACACACAAACTAATTTGCTGATTAGCAAATTTGCAAACAGTAACCCAGAATTGGCTAACTTTCTCTTAAAGGGCCAGATGGTAAATATTCCAGGCTCACAGGCTGCATAAACCTTTATCACAGCTTCTCAACTCTGCCTTGATACCCAAAAGTGAACAGCCATGGTCATGTTCCAATAAAACTTTATTTGCACAAACAGGTGTGGTTTGCCCATCCTCTGGACCCTCTGGTCTGGAGACTGCCACCAGTTGTGTTGTATCCCACTTTCGGATGCAGCAGAACTTAACAATCCTTCACTCACACCTGGTTGTGGGTGGTTTCCGTGAACACTGCCGCAGTGAACATCCTTGAACACGTGTCTTGGTTCAGTTGTCCAGTGTTTCAGATGGATATATTTCCTTTATGTTTTTTTTTTCTTTTTTCCCTAATCATAGACCATTCCTCAGGACTGGATGGATATCTTTCTGAGTGAAATTGACAAAGTCTGTGTATGTTAGAAAATGAAACACCATAAAATCATTCTTCTACAGCCAAATCAAAATACTTGTAGTGCTAGGCCTCCAACTTCATTCTTTGTCAAAAGCATTTTAGCTAGATCCTTTGTATTTCCTTATAAATTTTTTTAATTTTTATTTTTATTAATTAATTTCGAGGCAGGGTCTCACTCTGTTGCCCAGTCAGGAATTCAGTGGCACGATCTTGGCTCACTGTAGCCTCCACCTTCATGGCTCAAGCAGTCCTCTCTCCTCAGACTCCGGAGTAGCTGGGATTACCTGAATAGTCGAGACTACAGGCATGCGCCACCATACCCAGCTAATTTTTGTAGTTTTAGTTGAGATGGGGTTTCACCATGTTGCCCAGGCTGGTTTTGAACTCCTGGCTCAAGTGATCCTCCTGCCTCAGCCTCCCAAAGTCCTAGAATTACAGGCATGAGCCATCATGCCTGGTCTTATTTTTAATTGGCAAATAATAATTGCTTATATGGGCAGGAGAATTGCTTGAGGCCAGGAGCACAAGTCTAATCTGGGCCACATGGTGAGACTCCATCTCTACAAAAAGAAATTTAAAAATTAGCTGGGTGTGGTGGCCCATGCCTGTAGTCTCGGCTATTCAGGAGGCTGAGATGGGAGGATCGTGTAAACCCAGGAGGTTCCAGGCTGCAATGAGTCATGATCACACCACTATACTCCAGCCTGGGTGACAGAGCAAAACCCTGTCTCTAAAAAATAATAGCAATAATTGCATATATGTATGTGGTACAGCGTGATGTTTCCATACATGTAAACATTGTGGAATGAGCAAATCAAGCTAATCAACATATGCATCACCTCACATACTTATCCTTTCTTTGTGGTGAGTACATTGGAAATCCACTAGCCATTCTGAAATGTACACCATTGTTAACGATAGTCACGTTGCTGTGCGATGGATCACCAGAGCTTACTCCTCCCATCAAACAGAAACTCTGCAGCCTTTGGCCAACATTTCCCCTTTTGCCATCTCAGGCCCCGCTTCCTTCAGCCTCTGATAACCAATGTTCTACTCCCTATTGCTATGTTTGAAATTTTAGATTTCGCGTATGTCATAGATGATTACAAGTATCTGGGCTCATGGCACAGAGATAAGAATTTACCAAGACAGTTGTTGGTCAAGAAAGGAAGATTGGCCAGGCGCAGTGGCTCACGCCTATAATCCCAGCATTTTGGGAGGCCGAGGCGGGTGAATCACCCGAGGTCGGGGGTTCGACGCCAGCCTGACAGACAGGGAGAAAACTCGTCTACTAAAAATACAAAATTAGCCGAGCGTGGTGGCACATGCCTGTAATCCCAGCTACCTGGGAGGCTGAGACAGGAGAATCACTGGAACCTGGGAGGCAGAGGTTGCAGTGAACCAAGATCGCGCCACTGCAATCCAGCCTGGGCAACAAGAGCAAAACTCCGTCTCAAAAGATAAGAAAGGAAAAGAAAAAAAGGCAAAATTTTTTTTTTTTTGAGGCGGAGTTTCGCTCTTATTACCCAGACTGGAGTGCAATGGCGTGATCTTGGCTCACCGCAACCTCCGCCTCCTGGGTTCAGGCAATTCTCCTGCCTCAGCCTCCTGAGTAGCTGGGATTACAGGCACGCGCCACCATGCCCAGCTAATTTTTTGAATTTTAGTAGAGACGGGTTTCACCATGTTGACCAGGATGGTCTCGATCTTTTGACCTCACGATCCACCCGCCTCGGCCTCCCAAAGTTCTGGGATTACAGGCTTGAGCCACCGTGCCCGGCCAAAAAAGGCAAATTTATTAGAGAAAGGAAAATACATTGTAAGGGTGCAGTGGGTGGGCAGGTAAGTGAGAGAGGAGCTGACTGCAAAGAGACAAAGGCTTGCTGGGATTTTATAGGCTGGTGCTTGTGCTGTGTGCTGGAGAGGGGTACGTGAAGTACTGATAATGCAAAGGTTGCATTGAGCTAACTGGCATTTTTCCATTAGCTGAGAGTCTGGCAATCACTGGGCACGGGAAGACTGTGTCCTGGACCAGGAAGAAAGGCAGGCTTGTAGCTTATCTGCTTCATCTCTTTTTGCTTTTCCTTGGTCCCACCAGCCTGACTCATTTTCCCTAATTACAGCTCCATAACATTTAAGGGAATACCATGGGATATTTGTCTGTCTTTGTCTGGCTTATTTCACTTAGCATCATGTTCTCTCGAGTCATCCCTGTTGTCAAAATATGACAGAATTCCACACTGTTTAGAGGCGGAATCGTATTCCATTGTATATATAAGATTTTTATTCATTCACCTGTTGACAGACACTGAGGTTGTGTCTGTGTCTCAGCTATGGTGAATAATGGAATGAACATGGAGTGCAGACACGTGACGTGGATTTCTTTATACTTTAAGTTTGGGGGCACATGTGCAGAATGTGCAGGTGTGTTACATAGGTACACATGTGCCATGGTGGTTTGCTGCATCCATCACCCCATCATCTATATTTCTCCTAATGTTATCCCTCCCCTCTCCCCCAACCCCCACTATCCCTCCCCTAACACCCCACCCCTCAATGGGCCCTGGTGTGTAATGTTCCTTCCCTGTGTCCATATGTTCTCATTGTTCTACACCCAGTTATGAGTGAGAACATGTGGTGTTTGGTTTTCTGTTCTTGTGTCAGTTTGCTGAGAATGATGGTTTCCAGCTTCATCCATGTCCCTGCAAAGGACATGAACTCACCCTTTTTTATGGCTGCATAGTATTCCATGGTATATATGTGCCACATTTTCTTTATCCAGTGTATCATTGATGGGCATTTGGGTTGGTTCCAAGTCTTTGCTATTGTGAACAGTGCTGCAATGAACAAACATCTGCATGTGTCTTTATAATAGAACAATTTATAATCCTTTGGATATATACCCAGTAATGGGATTGCTGGGTCAAATGGAATTTCTATTTCTAGATACTTGAGGAATCATCACACTGTCTTCTACAATGGTTGAACTAATTTACACTCCCACCAACAGTGTAAAAGTGTTCCTATTTCTCCACATCCTCTCCAGCATCTGTTGTTTCCTGATTTTTTAATGATCACCATTCTAACGGGCATGAGATAGTATCTCAATGTGGTTTTGATTTGCGTTTCTCTAATGACCAGTGAGGATGAGCTTTTTTTTATGTTTGTTGGCTAAACGGCTTTTTTTTTTAAGATGGGGTTTCACCATGATGGTCAGGCTGGTCTTGAACTCCTGACCTCAGGTGATCCACCCACCTCGGCCTCCCATAGTGCTAGGGAGGATTACAGGCGTGAGCCACTGCGCCCGGCATAAATGTCTTCTTTCGAGGAGTGTCTGTTCATATCCTTTGCCCGCTTTTTGATGGAGTTTTTTCTTGTAAATTTGTTTAAATTCTTTGTAGACTCTGGATATTAGCCCTTTGTCATATGGGTACATTGCAAACATTTTTCCCATTCCGTTGTTTGCCGGTTCACTCTAATGATTGTTTCTTTTGCTGTGCAGAAGCTCTGGAGTTTAATTAGATCCCATTGGTCTATTTTTGCTTCTGTTGCCAATGTTTTTGGTGTTCTAGTCATGTAGTCCTTGCCTATGCCTATGTCCTGACTGGTATTGCCTAGGTTTTCTTCTGGGGTTTTTATGGTGTTAGGTCTTATGTTTTAAAATCCATCTGATGTTTATTTTTGTATAAGGTGTAAGGAAGGGATCCAGTTTCAGCTTTCTGCACATGGCTAGCCAGTTTTCCCAACACCATTTATTAAATAGGGAATCCTTTCCCCGTTGCTTGTTTGTGTCAGGTTTGTCAAAGATCAGATGGTTGTAGATGTGTGGCGTCTCTGAGGCCTCTGTTCTGGTTCATTGGTCTATATGTCTGTTTTGGTACCAGTTCCATACTTTTTTTTTTTTTTTTTGAGACAGAGTCTCACTCTGTCACCAGGCTGGAGTGCAGTGGCACAGTCTCGGCTCACTGAAACCTCTGCCTCCCGGGTTCAAGCAATTCTCCTGCCTCAGCCTCCCGAGTAGCTGTGACTACAGGTGCGTGCCACCATGCCAAGCTAGATTTGTATTTTTAGTAGAGACAGGGTTTCACCATGTTGACCAGGATGGTCTCGATCTATTGACCTCGTGATCTGCCCGCCTTGGCCTCCCAAAGTGCTGGGATTACAGGCTTGAGCCACCACGCCCGGCTCCACGCTGCTTTGACTACTGTAGCCTTGTAGTATATTTTGAAGTTAGGTAGCTTGATGCCTCCAGCTTTTTGTTTGTTTGTTTGTTTTGCTTAGGATTGTCTTGGCTATGCAGGCTCCTTTTTAGTTCCATATAAAGTTTAAAGTAGTTTTTTCCAATTCTGTGAAGAAAGTCAGTGGTAGCTTGAATCTGTAAATTACTTTGGTCAGTATGGCCATTTTCATGATATTGATTCTTCCTAACCATGAACATGGAATGTTTCTCCATCTGTTTGTGTCCTCTCTTATTTCCTTGAGCAGTAGTTTGTAGTTCTCCTTGAAGAGGTCCTTCATATCCCTTGTTAGTTGTATTCCTAGGTGTTTTATTCTCTTTGTAGCAATTGTGAATGGGAGTTCATTTATGATTTGGCTCTCTGTTATTTCATTGAGTTGATCTTTATTTCATTGAGTTAATCTTCAATCTCTGATATTCTTTCTTCCGCCTGATTGATTTGGCTATTGAAACTTGTATATGCTGCATGAAGTTCTTGTGCTGTGTTTCTCAGCTCCATCAAGTCGTTTATGTTCTTCTCTACACTGATTATTCTAGTTAGCATTTCATCTAACCTTTTATCAAGGTTCTTAGCTGTCTTGCATTGGGTTAGAACATGCTCCTTTAGCTCGAAGAAATTCGTTATTAGTCACCTTCTGAAGCCTGCTTCTGTCAATTCGTCAAACTCATTCTCCATCCAGTTTTGTTCCCTTGCTGATGAGGAATTGTGATCCCTTGGAGGAGAAGAGGTGTTCTGGTTTTTGGAGATTTCAGCCTTTTTGCACTGGTTTCTTCCCATCTTCATGGATTCATCTACCTCTGGTCTTTGAAGTTGGTGACTTTTGGATGTGGTCTCTAAGTGGATGTCCTTTCTGCTGATGTTCAATCTATTTCTTTCTGTTTGCTAGTTTTCCTTCTAACAGTCAGGTCCCTCTGCTGTAAGTCTGCTGGAGTTTGCTGGAGGTCCACTCCAGACTCTGCTTGTCTAGGAATCACCCACAGGGGCTGTAGAACAGCAAAGATTGCTGCCTCTTCCTTCCTCTGGTAGCTTCATCCCAAAAGGGTACCTGCCAGATGTCAGCCAGAGCTCTCCTGTCTGAGGTGTCTCCCAGTCAGGATACACGGGGTCAGGGAGCCACTTGAGGAGGCAGCCTATCCCTTATCAGAGCTCGAGTGCTGTTCTGGGAGATCCGTTGCTCCCTTCAGAGCTCAGTTCAAAATGCAGAGATCACTCACCTTCTGTGTTGCTCTCGCTGGGAACCGTGGACTGGAGCTGTTCCTATTCGGCCATCTTGGTGGAGATCCTCTGACATGTAGATTTCAATTCATTCAAATATATACCCAAGGCTGGGTGCAGTGGCTCACACCTGTAATCCCAGCACTTTGGGAGGCCGAGGTGGGCAGATCACTTGAGGTCAGGAGTTCAAGGCCAACCTGGCCAACATGGTGAAACCCTATCTCTACTAAAAATACAAAAATTAGTGGGGCATGATGGCAGATGCCTGTAATCCTAGCTACTCATGAGGCTGAGGCAGGAGAATCACTTGAACCTGGGAGGCAGAGGTTGCAGCAAGCTGAGATCACACCAGTGCACTCCAGCAGTGACACAATCATGGCTCACTGCAGCCTCAGACTCCTATGCATAAGCGATCCTCCCACTGCCTCTCAAGTATCTGGGACTACAGGCATGTGCCACCATGCATGGCTAATACTAAGTTGTTTTGTAGATGTGAGGTCTTACAATGTTGCTCAAACTCCCACCTCAAGCAGTCCTCTCACTTCAACCTCCCAAAGTGTTGGGATTACAGGCATGAGCTACAGTGGCTGGCCTGATATCAATTTATTTTATTATTTTATATTTTATCTTATTTATCCTTCTGAGACAGAGTCTTGCTCTGTCAATTAGGCTAGAGTACAGTGGCACAATCTTGGCTCACTGCAACTTCCACCTCCAGGTTAAAGTGATTCTCCTGCCTCAGCCTCCTAAGTAGCTGGGATTACAGGTCCCCACCACCACACCTGACTAATTTTTGTATTTTTAGTAGAGACAGGGTTTCACCATGTTGGCCAGGCTGGTCTCAAACTCCTGACCTCAAGTGATCCACCTGCTTCGGCCTCCCAGAGTGCTGGATTACAGGTATGAGCCACTGTGCCTGGCTCACATTTTTAATTATGGTAACTTTTTCAAGAAATTCTGATTAGCCAGAGGATACCAGAGGCTTAAAAGGCTGGGGAGAAGGAGAGATAGGGAGAGACTTGCTAGAGTATACAAAATTACTGCTAGACAGGAGGTATAGGTTCTAGTGTTTTACACGCTGCAGGGTGGCTGTAGCTCACATTCATATTAATATATAGCTTCAGATAGCTAGAGGAGGATATTGCACGTCCCCAACACAAAGAAATGGTAAATTTTAAAAAAAATTTTTAGTTATTGTAGAGATGGGATCTCACTGTGTTGCCTAGGCTGGTCTCCAACTCCTGGGCTCAAGTGATCCTCCTGCCTCGGCCTCCCAAGGTGCTGGGATTACAGCTGTGAGCCACTGCACTTGTTCCTCACTCACTCTGCCAAAACCCACTCCTCTCCCGCGGGCTCCTTAGTAGACTGTGGAGCACACGTCCTCGGTGGCACTGGACGGATGGCCTGCACTCCAGTCAGCAGACTCCCATGTCATTATTTTCCAGACTCATTTACGTGGCGGGCCGGGAGGGCCACATGCTCAAAGTGCTTTCTTACATCAGCGTCAAGCGCCTCACTCCAGCCCCTGCCATCATCTTTTACGTGAGTACGAATCCTGCTAACAGCCCATCTTCAAGGCGGGGGCCCTCCATTGGAAGCCCAGTGGCCTCCAAATGACCCAGATGGGCTTATTCCTTGCCATCAAACGATATAGAAAGAATCCCAAGACGAGTCAAACAGTGTACCCGATAACTGCTCCTTTGTCTGAATTTATCCATGGAAGGCATGGTTTGTGCCCTCAATGCTTCTGTGTGCATTTGACTGTGCCTCGACCCTGGTAACAAACTCTATATAAAAACCCACTAGCTTACAGGGAAGCGGGGTAAGACATTTTACCAGGCGGTTACTGACAACCGCCTCTCGTTATGGTCTGATGATTGAGAAGTCACTAGATCCTTGTGCAATAAATCCCCTTTGACATCTTGTCTTTTTTTGAGACAGAGTCTTGCTCTGTCAACCGGGCTGGAGTGCAATAATATGATCTCGGCTCACTGCAACTTCTGCCTCCCGGCTTCAAGCGATTCTCCTGCCTTGGTCTCCCGAACAGCTGGGATTAAAGGCACATGCCACCATGCTTGGTTGGTTTTTGTATTTTTAATAGAGATGGGATTTTCTCATGTTGGCCAGGCTGGTCTCGAACTCCTGACCTCAGGTGATCCACCCACCTCAGCCTTCTGAAGCGCTGGGATTACAGGTATGAGCCACTGTGCCTGGCCACCCCTTTGACATCCTCTGATGGGAGCTGCTCCGTGGTGCATGGTCCTTGTTTGGTGCAATTGCCTGGGCACTGAGCAACCGTCCACATTCCCAGCCTCAGGGGTGGTCTATACCCCTCCCCCAGAGGAGAACCATTGCGCTCTATCACTCTGAAGACAGGAAAACACAGCTGGGAGATGCCAGGCCAGGGCCACGCAACTAACATAGACCACGAGTAGACCTGAGCTTCCAGTCCAGGGCCGTGGCCCACACTGAAAACCCTCTGTGAGGAAAATTCGCAAGTATGAAGCTGATAGAATATTAATACATATTAGGTTACTGCAAAAGTAATTGTGGTTTTTGCCATTACAAAATAGAATTACAGGCCAGGTGTGGTGGCTCACACCTGTAATCCCAGTACTTTGGGAGGCTGAGGTGGGCGGATCAGGAGGTCAGGAGATCACGGATGGTCTCGATCTGGCCAACATGGTGAAACCCTACCTCTACTAAAAATATAAAACCTAGCTGGGCATGGTGGTGTGTGCCTGTAGTCCTAGCTACTCGGGAGGCTGAGGCAGGAGAATTGCTTGATCCCGGGAGGCAGAGGTTGCAGTGAGTGAAGATCACTCCACTGCACTCCAGCCTGGCGACGGAGCAAGACTCTGTCTCAAAAAAAAAAAAACCACAATGACTGGCCGGGCATGGTGGCTCATGCCTGTAATCCCAGCACTTTTGGGAGGCCAAGGCAGGTGGATTACCTGAGGTCTGGAGTTCGAGACCAGCCTGGTCAATATGGCGAAACCCCATCTCTACTAAAAATACAAAAATTAGCTGGGCGTGATGGCGCCTGCCTGTAATCCCAGCTACTCGGGAGGCTGAGGCAGGAGAATCGCTTGAACCCAAGAGGCAGAGATTGCAGTGAGCCAAGATGGCACCACTGTACTCTAGCCTGGTTGACAGAATGAGATTCCATCTCAAAAACAAACAAAATCCCCCCAAAAAACTGCAGTTACTTTTGCACCAACCTACTATTTTATTTTTCTGTTGATTAAAATCACAATTTCAAAGATTCAGAAATGTCGCAGGTATTTTCTGCAGGCTTCATTGGAAAGAGCTATCATAGCCAATGTCAGTTTGACCCCAACTCTCAAGGGATGCCTAGGAAGTTCCTCTCATGCTAAAATCACAAGAAAAACTGCTGCTTCGGTCTTCTGTGACATGAGAACAGTGTTTTGTGTACTAATGACCTACAATTTCGTTCTTCTTTCTATCAGGGTATCATAACAACTATTTATATCATCCCTGGTGACATAAACTCATTAGTCAATTATTTCAGCTTTGCTTCGTGGCTCTTTTATGGCTTGACGATTCTAGGACTCATTGTGATGAGATTTACGAAGAAAGACCTGGAAAGGCCTATCAAGGTAAGCTTGGATTCCCAGAAGTCACAACTGGCTTTGGGTTTTTTGTAATGAATGAGATAGAGGTAACTCTTTCAAATGCTAGGGGCATGCCTTCTAGTTCCAATCTGACTTGATTCTTTTAAAATATTTTAGAATGGAGTTTACTCTTCATAGCACAGTTTATGATCCACTTAGCTGCCTTATTATTCATTTTTTTAAGTGATCAAGAATACCTGTGGCCTGTCTCTGTAACCGCAGAGGTCCACTTCTCTCTCAACTGTGCTATTTACTTCTGATGATGACAGACATTAAGAAAAAGTTAGGTAAGCTAAGGGCTGAAGGAACTAGGACAAGAATAAAGTTACCATCTTTAGCTTTAGAGGACTTTGTTTTCAGAGATGTGTCCAGGGGTCCTTTCTGGCCTGTGTCTTGACTATGGACAAGTCATGGCACAGCCTGCCTGGAGCCGGGCAGACCCACCGCGGTCACGTCATCGCAGGCAAAATCATCATGGTAGCCTAGACTTGTAATCTGCACAAAATCCCTCCTAGAAACAGACAGAGCCTGTGGGGTAGCAAAGGAGAAACCCTTCAGCCAACATCAACGCAAATTGAGGAAATGAGGTGTCACCGCCAACTCCAGACTCCAAGTGGATGCCCACTAGCTCCAGCCCCATGTGTCCCTAGGAGGGAGGGCATGCTTGGAGTGAGGTTCTCAGTGGGAAGATCAGAGGACCCCCAGGGGAGGTGGTGGAGCAGGGCTGCAGTGACTTAAGCCCTTGAGGACCCCAGAAACTCCCCACAAAAACTCCTTTCCAGAAGGACAGAGGGGCCACTGAAGACAACAGCAAGAGAAACAACTGCTGGAGAGAGAAAGGACACGGCACTTGGCAAGAACGTCAGGGTCAAGGAGCTGGAAGGGGCTGCACAGAGAGAACATGTCCCACTGGCACTTCAGAACATCATGTTAGAGAAGAAAATCACTTAAGAAATAAAGAGTGTGCAAGAAGGAGAAGAAGGAACACAGCCTGAGTGTGGTGATTCATACCTGTAGTCCCAGCACTTTGGGAGGCCAAGGAGGAAGATCAGCCCCAGGAGTTCAAGACCAGCCTGGGCAACAGCAAGACCCTGTCTCTACAAAAAGTACCTGGGCATGGTGGTGCATGCCTGTAGTCCCAGCTCTGTGGGAGGCTGCGGTGGAAGAACTGCTTCAGCCCAGGAGGTCAAGGCTGCAGTGAGCTGAGATCGTGCCATTGCACTCCAGCCTGGGCAAGAGAGGGATCCTGTCTCAAAAAAAGAAAAGAAAGAACATTAGAGCAAAGAAACCTGCTAGAAAACAGAGGCTCAAAGGAAGGAAACCAAAAAAAATATCAGACTGAAAAAAGCTAAACTTTTGGGTCCAAGAAGAAATATTAATAGGAATAGGACATAAAAGTATATTAATTCTGGCTGGGCGCAGTATCTGTAATCCCAGCACTTAGAAGGAACTAATCAACAGAAAAAAAACTTAAGGCAGGCAGATTACTTGAGGTCAGGAGTTTGAGACTAGCCTGGCCAATCTGGTGAAATCCTCTCTCTACTAAAAATACCAAGATTAGCTGGGCATGGTGGTACATGCCTATAATCCCAGCTACTCAGGAGGCTGAGGCAGGAGAATTGTTTGAGCCCAGGAGGCGGAGTTTGCAGTGAGCTGAGATCACGCCACTGCACTCCAGCCTTGGGGACAGAGCAAGACTCCATCTTAGGGTGGGAGCGGGGCAGGGAGAAGGAAAAATGCAATGACACAGATGAAAACAAAACAAATCCAGCAAACTGAACTCTGCCTCTGGCTATCAGGTGGGCAGAAATCCAACAGTCTAACCACAGTGAGGCCATGAAAGGGTGGTCGCTCACACACTGTTAGTGGAATACGAATGGCACAGCCACCACAGAGGGAGATTTGGCAACATCTAGCAGGCATGAGCCCTCCTGTTTTGAGAAAATCTATCCCAAAATCAAACTGTCAGAAATACGAAATATATACAAGGTCATTGACAACAGCATTCATTGTAACAGCAAGATGTCCAACACAACCCAAATGTCAACTAACAGAGGACTGGTTGGATAAACTGTGTCACGTCTAAAACAGTGACACACAGCAGTAAAAAACGGATAATTAACAACTTCATATATTACTGTGACATACTAGCTGGAATATATTCAAGGAAAAAGGGTGCAAAATTGTTATTTGCTATCTTTTATGTGAGAGTAGGGGAAAATGAACATGTGTGTGTTTCTTCACATATGTATTCATTCAAAAAGAAAGAACGGGAGAATAAAGCAAAATCAAGTTAAAAATTATATTGGAAAACAAAATTAAAAAGGAAAAGGTGAATCTCAAAAATGGAAAACAAATGGAGGTAAACCTTACTCTATAACAAGTAGGTAATATAACCACACAGTGAAAAGAATGATCAGAATTAATATTACAGGTTTTTTGTTTGTTTTGGAGACAGGGTTTCGCTCTGTTGCCCAGGCTGAAGTGCAGTGGCTCGGTCTCGGCTCACTGAAAGCCTTGACCCTTTGGACTCGAGTAATCCCTCTGCCTCCGGTCCTGGAGCAGCTAGGACTACAGGTGCACGCCACCGTATACAGCTAATTTTTGCATTTCTGGGTGTGTGTGGAGATGGGATCTCACCATGTTGCCCAGTCTGGCCAGAAACTCCTGGGCTCAAGTGATCCTCCTGCATTGGCCTCCCAAAGTGCTGGCATTGCAGGCGCGAGCCACTGCACCCAGCCTCCAAATGGTCTTTAAATGCCATTTCCTGCTAAAAGGAAACAAAGCTCTCTGGAGAGGTGGATGAAAACCCAGGTCTGGCGGCACTTCCTGTCACCCGGAAAACAAAGAGGCTTTTGAAGAGCACTAGTGTTCCACCCACAGGGCCCAGGCCAGCGTGAACGACTCCTGCTGCCTGGCACAGGACCTTCTGAACAACGTGAACATTGACTACCGTGGACTGAAACTCACCACGTACAGAAAAACCCATGGGTTTGAGTTGCCTTTGGAGGTCTCAGGGGCTCAACTTGTCATTCTGAAAACACACAGAATAGAGCATTTATGCTGCCTTTCCCGTACAAACTGCAATTCAGAATAACCAGAAAGTTGGAGTGCTTCATATAGCATTTCAGAGAATTAAGGAAGGAATGACAAATTAGAAAAATCACCATTTTGCAACCCCTGATGAAATAATGAAGTAAGGCAATGATCATCAGTGCATACTAAAGCCATTAAGCAGTTTATCTTTTCTGAGACGGAGTTTTGCTCTCATGGCCCAGGCTGGAGTGCAATGGCGCAATCTGGGCTCACTGCAGCCTCCGCCTTCCAGGGTCAATCGATTCTCCTGCCTCAGCCACCCGAGTAGCTGGGATTACAGGCATGTGCTACCATGTCCAGCTAATTTTTTTTGTATTTTTAATAGAGATGGGGTTTCACAATGTTGTCCAGGCTGGTCTCAAACTCCTGACCTCAGGTGATCCACCCACCTCGGCCTCCCAAAGTGCTGGGATTACAGGTGTGAGCCACCGTGCCTCAACAGTTGATCTTTAGTTTCAGTCTAAAACCATGAAAAATTGATGGAGAAATGTAGAACAGTGGGGTTAAACGGCTCCTCCAGCCCTGAGCCTGCTGTCAACCACAGCAGTTCAAAGGTGGGACAGTTAAACATCACATACCTCATGGTGTGTCACGGAAGGAAGGGCACTGCTCCAATGGGGAAGCATTTTTGCCCCTAAATCTCACAGTTTGCAGGAAATACGGGAGATGGAGGAGCAAGTTAAATGGCACCAGGAGGCGGCAACCAGGGAAAGCTCCCACTGAACACCGCACAGGGGAGTCATCCAATCTCGCCACAAACTGGCAACAAGAGAAAAAAGCAGAGGGGGTGGGAAGCATGATAAGAACAGAAAGTCCTCATCAGGTAGAGGTGCATACTGATTTTGTACAGGTAGAATCACAAGATGTCTGATATTTTCCTTATATTTTTGGGAAAAGAAAGGTGGTAGACAAAAATGAACTTAAAAAAAAAAGCGATTTTAAAGTTTTTAAAGACAGAGTCTCACTCTGTCAACCAGGCTGGAGTGCAGTGGTGTGATTTCAGCTCACTGCAACCTCTGCCTCCCAGGTTCAAGCGATTCTCCTGCCTCAGCCTCCTGAGTGGCTGGGATTGCAGGTGAGCACCACCACACCTGGCTAATTTTTGTGTTTTTGGTAGAGACAGCTTCACCATGTTGGCCAGGCTGGTCTTAGAGTCCTGACTTCAAGTGATCTGCCTGTCTTGGCCTCCCAAAGTGCTGAGATTACAGGTGTGAGCCACTACGCCCGGCCCCAAAATTGTTTAAAGAAAATTTTTAAAAGGTGGAGTAGATGAAATAAGCTTGGCAAAATTACATTAAAATTATTGAAATTATAGGAGGGGTGCATGGCGTTCATCATGCTCTCTTTATATCAGTTTTTTAAGTGAAAATTTTCAAAAGAAAATGAGTGCCCACAGCCACAGCATGCCCTGTGTTTTGCCTCCAGGTGCCCATAGTCATCCCCGTCTTGGTGACGCTCATCTCCGTGTTTTTGGTTCTGGCTCCAATCATCAGCAAGCCCGAGTGGGAGTACCTCTACTGTGTGCTGTTTATATTGAGTGGCCTTCTATTTTACTTCCTGTTTGTCTACTACAAGTTTGGATGGGCTCAGAAAATCTCAAGTAAGTACCAACAGAAGGGCTGCTTGGCTTCTGTGAGGGGCAGGCAGACATGGCGTCCTCACCTGTCCTGCCTCCAAGACCTCTGTCACAGTGTCTCACCTATAATAAGTAGGGAGGGAAAGCAGCATTTTCTGGTTTTTCTTGGGTGGGGGGAGCGGGAAACAGTCTTGCCCTTTGCCCAGGCTCAGGTGCCAGTGGCGTGGTCATAGCTCACTGCAGCCTTGAACTCCCAAGCTCAAGCTATCCTCTCACCTGGGCCTCCCAGGTAGCTGGGACCACAGGCACGCACTACCGAGCCTGGCTATTTCTTTTATTTTTTGTAGAGACGGGATCTTGCTAGGTTGCCCAGACTGGTTTCAAACTCCTGGGCTTAAATGATCCTCCCACCTTGGCTTTCCAAAGTGCTGGGACTGCCACCAGCCTGAGCCACTGCAACTTTTTTTTTGAGAGACACTCTCACTCTGTTGCCCAGGCTAGAATGCAGTAGCACAGTCTCAGCTCACTGCAACCTCTGCCTCCCAGGTTCAAGGGATTCTCCTGCCTCAGCCTCCCAAGTAGCTGGGATTACAGGTGCCTGCTCCCATGCCGGGCTGATTTTTGTATTAGTAGAGATGAGGTTTTGCCATGTTGGCCAGGCTGGTCTCGAACTCCTGACCTCAAGTGATCTGCCCGCCTTGGCCTCCCAAAGTGCTGGGATTATGTGAACCACTTCGCCTGGCCCATTTTGCTTTTTTTGTTTTGAGATGGAAGTTTGCTCTCATTGCCCAGGCTGGAGTCCAGAGGTGCAGTCTCAGCTCACTGCAATCTCTGCCTCCTGGGTTCAAGTGATTCTCCTGCCTCAGCCTCCTAAGTAGCTGTGATTATAGGCACCTGCCACCACACTCAGCTAACTTTTTTTTTTGTATTTTTAGTAGAGTCGAGTTTCATCATGTTGGCCAAGCTGGTCTCGAACTCCTGACCTCAGGTTGATGCACCCACCTGAGCCTCCCAAAGTGCAGGGATTACAGACATGAGCCACCACACCTGGTCCCATTTTCTCTTTAATTGCAAAAGACACACAACATAAATGTTGCTATCTTAACCACTTTTTAGTGCAAGGTTCGGTAGTGTTAGGCATATTCCCACTATCATGCGCCTCATTCTCCTTTGCCTGATATGCAGACGTCATCTGAGAGGACTGGCAGCATCACAAAGACACTCAAAGTCATGGACTTGCCCTGGGGAACTGGGCCGTGGTCCAAGCCTTCTAATGCCAAAGGCACGGGGCTCATTGTTTAGGAGTCCTGACCCTCATCAGTTCTAGGACAATTGTTTAAAAGTTTGGCTACAGTGGCCACTTTTGCTTCTGAAAAGAAAGCACTTGTGTCAAAGTACATCAAGAGAAACTGAATTACACCTTTAAAAAAAGTCTGTATATATTCAGTTTTTATCCAAAATGTGCAAATTCAACTGCAGAAAACGCCATTTATAAAAGCCTTTAAGACTTCTGGGCACCCTCACGGGGCTGTGAGCTGATCCGTTTCCTGGTCTCCCTGTTCCTCTCCCAGGAGCTCCTTGAGGACAGGAATTGGGCTGTGTACAATTCTGGCTGTGGCAGCCGGAAACAGCCACTTAAGACTGATTATGTGAATGTGATCAAGAGCCTGGCCAACATGGTGAAACCCTGTCTCTACTAAAAATACAAAAAATTAGCTGGGCGTGGTGGTGGGCATCTATAATCCCAGCTAGTCGGGAGGCTGAGGCAGGAGAATCACTTAAACCCGGGAGGTGGAGGTTGCAGTGAGCAGAGATCCCGGAAGGCAGATGTTGCAGTGAGCCGAGATTGAGCCACTGCACTCCAGCCCGGCCAACAGTGCGAGACTGCATCTCAAAAAAAAAAAAAAAAAAAAAAAGCCTGCCTCTTTCTCCTCTTCAGCTTGTCAGAACTGGAAAGTGTAAGCAGTCACCCCTCCAGATACTCCTAGGAGGTTTTTTTTCTATTCCTGCAATTTTGGGAGAATACACAAGCCAGGAAAGCGTGAAACCCAACCAGAAGGCAGGAAAGCTGCCAGGGCCTCTGGACCCCGCTCACAGGGGCGTTCTAGTGCCTTTCTTCAGGCTGGGCGCATGCCAGATCCTCTCCCCACCTCCGTGATCTCCTCTGTGAACCCCAGGACCGTTGCTTACCTGACAGTGGTGCTGTAACCAAGGGAGAGAATTGATTTCATGCTGATTAACAAAGTGGAAACAAAAGCAAGATATGGTTATGTTATTCCACCAGGAATTTTCCTTTCTTGAAATAGCTCCCTACAAACCCCACCTCTTTTTAAAAATACATTTATGTATGTATGTATGTATATATGTATGTATGAGATAGGGTCTTGCTATGTTGCCCAGGCTGGTCTTGAACTCCTGAGCTCAGATGATCCTCCTGCTTCAGCCTCAGAAAGTGCTGGGATTACAGGGGTGAGCCCATGCACTAGGCCTACCCCCACCTCCTTACTCTGATCCAAACCCTCAGCTGAGGAGGAGGGGTTGCAGGCACACTTCTATAGAAAGAAAATCTATTCTTATAAAGAAAACAGCCATTTCCCCCCTGCCGCTGAACTTGGATTTGATTATACTGACAGAATCTACCCAGGATATCTTAATGGTACAAAATATGTCTTATTTCTCAGCTCTAGAATATTTAACCAAGCAATCTGTATTTTAAACAAAATGCAGTCTTAGTGACTTCAGACTAAATAGCCAACTCTTGGTCTGTGGTGGGAAATGTATACACATAATCGAGTCATTTAATTTTTTCCTAGAGTGTAAGTAAGTAAGTTTGGTGGCAATAAAATTCCTAATTCTTTAAGAAGAAGTAACTTAACTCCAAAGCACCAGTATGGCAATGAAGGATGGTTCTGGTTAGCTCTAAACACCGGCCATCCCCTAAGTGCAGGGTCTAGGTGACACATCACCAAAGACTGAGAACATCACCACCCTCATCCACAACCCCAGTGAAGCTTTTGAATTTCAGTCTTCTAATTGCACTCATTTTGACTCTTATTATTTCAGAGCCAATTACCATGCACCTTCAGATGCTAATGGAAGTGGTCCCACCAGAGGAAGAACCTGAGTAACAAGCTCCATCTCCTGTAGCTAAGTCAAAGCTGAATTTTCTTAAGCAAAATTTGCGGTTATTTCTTCTTGATTTTTTTCTTATGAATAAAATGTACTCAGATGTTTATAATATTGTTACTTTTAGATATTCTTAGTTCCCTGGGTGGGGTTTCCAGAGGGGAGCAGTGGCAAGTGTTTGCTATGGGTGAGATGTCACCTAACAGAAGGCAGAAGCTTAGGGAAGGGCCGCATAAAAGCCACCATTACAGTGGCAACTGTTTAACAAAGGGCACATCACACTTACTTAAAGGAAGGGTGTTCTTTTTTTTGAGATGGAGTTTCGCTGTTGTTACCCAGACTGGAGTGCAATGGTGCCATCTCTGCTCACCACAACCTCCGCCTTCTGGGTTCAAGCAATTCTCCTGCCTCAACCTCCTGAGTACCTGAGACTACAGGCCCGTGCCACCATGCCCAGCTAATTTTTGTATTTTTAGTAGAGACAGGGTTTCACCTTGTTGACCAGGATGGTCTCGATCTCTTGAGCTCATGATTCACCCGCCTCGGCCTCCCAAAGTCCTGGGATTATAGGCGTGAGCCACCGCGCCCGGCCTGGAAGGGTGTTCTTTAAACTCAATGTCAATAAAATGGATGACATTTTTGCTTTGATACAGATTTTAAAAAATAGTAAATGACTGGCCAGGCGCAGTGGCTTACGCCTGTAATCTCAGCACTTTGGGAGGCCAAGGCAGATGGATCACTTGAGTCCAGGAGTTCAAGACCAGCCTGGGCAACATGGCAAAATCACGTCTCTACAGAAAACCACACAGAAATTAGCCAGGCATGGTGGTGCATGCCTGTAGTCGCGGCTACTCAAGAGGCTGAGGTGAAAGGATCACCGGAGCCTGGGAAGTCTAGGGTATAGTGTGCCATTATCATGCCACTGCACTCCAGCCTGCATGACAGTGAGACCCCAACTCAAAAAGTAAATAAATACATAAAAATATTGAAGTACGGAGATCGATCCAAGATGGCCGACCACTAACAGCTCAGGATTGTAGCTCCCAGTGAAAACTCAGAGAACAAGATGACGCCACACTTTTAGACGAATTTTCGTCACTCACCGATCAGCCGATTCCCAGTGGAGGAGCCCCACGGGTCACCAGCGCGACTCTTGTGGCCGCCGCAGCGGTTTTGCCGGCGTCTCGGCACAGCAGCTCTTCATGCAGAGCCAACGGGACTGCTTCCCCTACTGACCGGAGTTTGGAGCTCCGGGAATTCAGAGCCGCTTGTTGCGGACTCAAGAGGGAAGCCAGACCAGAGATTCCCGGGCAGAAGAGCACCATCAGTCTTATCGCTGCTATTTAGGCTGCCACAGTGGGTTGCTCGGATCCCAGCACTGGGAATCAGTAAGTCGGAGGTCGACTCAGAAACCTAATTGGAAAGGCGGGTCATCTACAATGAAGGGAAAAAAACAGCCTAAGAAGGCCGAGTATACTCAAAATCAGAACCCATCAGCAACGGAACAAGCCCTGATGGAAAAGGATTCATCAGCAACCGAACAATCCCTGATGGAAAAGGACTCATCAGTAACGGAACAAGCCCTGATGGAAAAGGACTGTGTTCCATTATCTGAAGTAGGCTTTAAAAGGTGGATGATAAGAAACTTCTGGGAGTTAAAGGAACTTGTTCTAACCCAATGTAAAGAAACTAAGAACTTGGAAAAAAGGTTAGATGAAATGTTGAAAAGAATAGACAATATAGAGAGGAATACAAATGAACTTATGGAGTTGAAAAATACAACACGAGAACTTAGTGAAATATGTACAAGCTTAAACAGCCGAATGGATCAAGCAGAAGAAAGGGTATCAGAGTTCGAAAACCAACTTAATGAAACAAAACGACAAGACAAGAATAGAGAAAAAAGGATAAAAAGGAATGAGCAAAGTCTCCAAGCAATATGGGACTATGTGAAAAGACCTAATATACGCTTAATTGGTGTACCTGAATGTGACGGAGAGAATGAATTCAAGCTGGAAAATACTCTCCAGGACATTATCCAGGAAAATTTTCCTAATTTAGCAAAGCAGGACACTAGTCAACCCCAGGCAATACAGAGAACACCACAAAGATATTCCTCAAGAAGACCAACCCCAAGGCACATAATCGTTAGATTCACCAAGATCAAAACGAAGGAGAAAATATTAAGGGCAGCCAGAGAGAAAGATCAAGTTACCTATAAAGGTAAGCCTATCAGGCTTACAGCAGATCTCTCAACGGAAACCCTACAAGCTAGAAGAGATTGGGGGCCAATATTCAATATACTTAATCAACAGAACTTTCAGCCCAGAATTTCATATCCTGCCAATTTAAGCTTTACATTTGAAGGAAAAATAAAATCTTTTAGGAACAAGCAAGTACTCAGAGATTTTATTACCACCAGGCCTGCTTTACAAGAACTTCTAAAAGAAGCATTATACACAGAAAGGAACAACCAGTATGACCCTTTCTAAAAATACACCAAAAAGTAAAGAGTATTAACATAAAGAAGAATTTTTATCAACGAAAGGACAAAATAGCCAGTTAATATCAAACGGCAGCAACCCTAAATTTAAATCGACCAAATCTCCCAATCAAAAGATACAGACAAAATCTAATGGTATATCCAAAGATATACATAGACTCAAAATAAAGGGTTGGAAAAAAACAAAAAAACGTACCAACCAAATGGAGAGCAAAAATAAATAAATAAAAAGCAGGAGTTGCAATTTTCACATTTGACAAAATAGAATTCAAAGCTACAAGGATACAAGGGTAAAAGGATTAATGTAATAATAAGAGATCTTAACACCCAGATACATAAGACCCATAATGAGATTTCGATTCAACGAGACAGAAAATTGATAACGATATCTGGGACTGGAACTAAGATCCAGAACAAATAAACTCAATAGAGCTCTCCATTTTAAACACACAAAATACACATTATCCACAAAATCTAATGATATATCTAAAGATATACAAAGACTCAAAACAAGGGGATGGAAAAAAAACTCACCAACCAAATGGAGAGCAAAAATAAATAAATAAAAAGCAGGAGTTGCAATTCTCACACTTAATAAAATAGATTTCAAAGCTACAAGGATGCAAGGGTAAAAGGATTAATGCAACAATAAGAGATCTTAACACCCAGATATATAAGACACATAATGAGATTTAGATTCAACGAGACAACAAATTGATAACGATATCCAGGACTTGAACTCAGAGCCAGAACAAATAAACACAATAGAGGTCTCCATTTTAAATACATAAAATATGCATTAACCACTTTAAACACTCAAAATATTGATCGGCCATTATTGAAACCCATTTTAGGAATGAAGTAATATTCCTTTTTCCCTCTTTTTCTTTTTTTCCCCTTCTTTTTCTCTTTTTCCCTCAAAAAAAAAAAAAAAAAAAAAGAAAGAAAGGCCTTCAAGAGAAAACTACCCCGCTGGCACCTTGATCTTGAATTCAGCCTCCAGCACTGTAAGGAAATAAATTTCTGTTGTTTAAACCAAAAAAAAAAAAAAAAAAATTGAAGTACAAATATTTATCACCCACTATCCCCAACCCAAAAGTACCGGCATCCCATACTGACCCTGTGATGTGCATGGCACGTATCTGCCAGGATCAATGTCAAGAGCTGAGCTTCTATCCAGAACCCTCCACAGCTGGCGTGCTCGTCACAAGGGTCCCCTGCGTCACCAGTCAGCATCACTGGCTCCCCAGCAGCCTTTACGGGCATTTTAGTCCAACCAGAAAGTGTGGTGAAGAAAGTTTTATTTTATCTTAGCATTCAGGGAAAGTATTGTTTAAAAAATTTAAAAAGCAACATTTCTGTGAAAACACTGAAATTATTTTATTGCTGATGATATACTGCAAAAGACATCCACACCACAACTAAGTGTCAGTGATTTTAGAAGCTAGAGACAAAGGCACTTTCACTTTGCATTTTAGATATTTGCCCAAAACTTGAAATCAGACATATTCACAGCAGTGCAGAAAACCAATTATTTACTAATTGTTATATAGTCAGCATCCTATGTCCCACGAAATGTTATTTAGAGATTCAGATATTAGAACATTTGAATGTCTGAAGAAGGAAACAATTTTCCTCCCTGCACGGTAAACATGTTCTTGCAGCTCCATTACTAACTATTACCATTCGCTATGCTGTAGAGAAGAGACTCAGCACACCCGGGCGTGAGCAGCAGGCAGCCGGTGTGCACAGGGAGCCGCAGGATGGCCGCCCACAGACCTCCACCGAGAGGGGCAGCAGCTACATGCAGAGAAGCCGATATTGATATGGGCGTCAGAAGTGCTCCACAGTCAAAACCTTTGCCATCAAAGACACCAGAACTTTCTACTTCCCAAGAGCCTGCCCAATTTACGAAAAAGGAAATCATCTTATTTCATGGGCCCATTTGATACCTGCCAGTCACCTGCAAGGGTCACCGCAGTGACCTGGGCACACTCCCTGCAGCTGTCTTGGCTGCACAGCACATTCTCCCTGGGGCACTCGGTGGGTGCTCCCTGAGACAAGGCCAGGCCACACAATGAGGGGAAGTCTCATTTTACAGATGAGGAAACTGAGCCAGAGTGTGATCTACACCTGCTCACAGGACAGCCTGGATGACAAAGTTCACCTGTAGTTCAAGCGTTGGCTTCTACCTGGGACATACATAAGCCTGGCACTTTCTGATGCAAAAAAATCAAGCTCTGGGGCCATCACACAACACTCATGTTCTATCCAAATTCTTTTCCACTCCGAGGCAAAGCTGACAAATGGATACTGAACGCACAGGACTCTCAATTTCTCAGGTCACCTTTCTACTGAACAAAGAAATCCAAAGCATGAAAAACCAGCCTCTGGGCGTGGCCACGACCTCATACACTCCTCCAAACCTGGTGACCCCAGGTGCTACAGCCACACGAGATGGGGTCGCTAATGTCTTCAGGGCTCATAGCATGTAGGTGTTCAAAGGTCACCTCCAGGCACCACACAGGCCCTTGTTAAGTTCCCACTAAACAGCAACCTTTGTGCATTTGCTCAGGACTCTGCAGGTCCAGGGGATTGTTTAGAACCAG